AACTACTGAAGTATTAATAGAGGATAATTGAAAATTGCTAAAAAAAATATAACATACCTTTGTACTGAATTAAAAAAAAACATTGAGAAAACGGCGCAGTACACGTGGCTAATCATCATAGACTAGTAGATGCCGTTGACAAAAGATAAGATTTAATTCCGCTATCACACGTTTTTCTACTCAAAATCAAAATGAATTGGTAACACCTCATGATGCTCAACATGAAATTTCATAATCTACGATTTGCTTACATATTTAAAACTTCGTTAAACACGAGTTCCTGCAATAGCTGGTCATTCAGGGAATTTATGTCTAGGTGTGTCCACAAAACAATAGTAACAGTTGTAACTGTATTTAGTTGAAGAGCAGGAGCACGAATCCAATGGTCAATTTACCGACGAGGAAATGAATATCTTTGATGAATAGCCAGTTGTCAGGTCATTATTGTCTAACTGCATTATAGTTATGAAGTCTGTCCGTTCTCGAGGAACAGTTTGAAATATGGCGCATACTTTAATGCGACAAGATGCTCAGGGTCCTTGTAAGTCTTGGGTTCAAGTTTTTGTGAAGCAGTATTCATTAATTTCTACTGAACATAATGATTCGCTTATAATGGCCAACAGCTTGGTTTATTGCAGTCTCCAGCTTCAAGGTATTGTAACATGATTCTGTTCGAGTTGTTAATTTTTACATTATTCTTATAGGTTTTCCAGCAATTTTCTTTCTTTATCCCCTTCATCCTCGGATCCCAACGACCTTTTCCCCTGAACTACCGATCACTTCCTCACTGGTGGTCCATTGACAAGCTGTCTAGAGGTCAACTCCACTGATACTCCATCCAACCGATTGTCTGCCTGGCAAAAGTTGCTGAGGTTTGTACAATTTTCTGCTTCTGAACAGTGTTCCAAGCTTTCAAGAAGCAAGCCTTTGCAATTCCAGCAACATGATTGTTACAAGACATATTGGTGTCCTGACATTATTATATCTGGTTCGGAGTCATTTATCTTTTTGGCATCGAATTGAACCTGGTTACTTCCACCCCAATTTGAAATCACCCTTAGATCCTCATTAAGATATACACCCACGTGGTGCCAGTGAAGATGTGCAGCTGATGTCCTGGAATCCAAATGGAATGAAGAGACAAGTGTGCTGTCGTCAGCAATAAATCGTTGATATACAATAAAAAGAGGGTTGAAGACAATATGGATCCCTGGGAAACACCTGATTCGACAAGCCATAGCACCGGAGTTTAGCCAGCAAATCCTCTTGCCACACACGGTCAAAGGCTTTAGAAATATCGAGCGCAACACCTCTTGACTTTCTATGTTTCTCGATGGAGTTTTTCCAAATATGGGTGACATACGATGAAAGGTCGCCTGTTGATCTTTTTTTTCCTAAAGCTATATTGATGATCGCTCAAGATGTAGAAGTCTTATAAATATTTAAGGATATGGTGGTTTACTGAGCTTGAACTTCATTGTGTTTTTCGAAAACTAATTCAATGCACACACTATTTTCCAATTATAAATTCACGAACTGAATTATCTTTAGATTCTGCTGTTGAAACGAATCTGGAGTTCAAATAAATTGAAGGGTAATCTGCCTATTTCTTTAATTCTTAATGGTGTACTGAAAAACAGCAAATGAGTGATTCTTTGTTGAATAATATAGAAATTCCATATTTGTTATCACGTTTTTAATGTCAATCTTAAAAAACAATGTTTTTTTGTGTGCAAAAAACATACAAAGCACCTTGAAACTGAAATTATGTAATGATCTGTGTGAAACTTTTCTCAGGCATCACTTCTAAAATGCCAAGATTCAAAATAGCTTGTAGTAGTTCCGTGTAAAAGACATTTCTAAGAGACACTCCACAATTACATACGTTTAAATTATAGTAATCAACTCGTACCGCTGAGGAGGAATAACTTCCTAACATGTTCGAAGAACACTCATTCTAAGATGATTTTAAATAAGAAACGTTCACTTTCTCTGCGATTTCAAATCGCAATTCAGCTACAGGCGATAGGTAAAAGTGGATTTGTGTGTACAAAGAAATTGAATTAGTAACATATTGCGCTTTCAAGACTCGGAATAACTCGGTTTCTGTAGCCATGAACGAAAAGTTGAATCTAATCCTATTCACATGTTCAGTTCAGAAATTTTCTGAAAGTTCCACGCGTACAAAATGAAACCCACGTAGAAAATAATAGAGCTCACAATATCAATTCCTTTATATACTTATCTTTCCAGTGATATTAATTGTGTTACAGTCCTTGGTTGCCAAATTGACGCATGCCTGAACTGGAAAAATCACTGCCAGTCACTGGATAACCAAATTCATCATCGTATCAATTCAGAACCATTATTGCAGAAGGACGATTCTGACGATAAGTATGAAGGAATTAAAGAATACTCCAATTCTTGTTCCCAAATGATCAAATTTTGATTTGAAATGCAGATGCTATTGTTATCGGATAAGTCGATATTGAAATTTTCCTCAATAATGATACTCAATTCAAAACATTTGAATAGAAATACTGAAGAATGTTTTCAATAGATGTGTTGAAAAATACAGCCCATTTTGAAATTTTCTTTTCAAATGTTCTGTCAGTAGCATAAACTGAGCTACCTAATGTCTATATAGATTTTTTTTCAGATTCCCCAAGTAGAAATTCTCTAAATTACCGCCACACAAACAAATGAAGTTCAAAAATTTAGAGATGTTGTATAAAGTTTCCAAAATCCGTTTTTCAGCCTTATATCTTTGTAAAATGTAATTTTTTTCATATTGATTGCTTTCTTCCTTTATTTGGAAGACTTTCCACATTTTTTGTATAAAGATGGAGAAGTAGAAAGCCAAAAACTTTCTTTCTCAAGAATTATTCTCTTCTAAAAATATACCCTTTCAATTTAGGAAGAGGATGTAGTTAATGCTCTGAAGAAATGAACTTTATTGCTGTCGAAATACATCAAAAGTCAGAATTCACAATCTGTACAACAAGTTGTAATACAATGGTTAGTAATTTAACTCGGCATTAGATTCCTTCGTCGAACAATAGAATGTTAAGAACCTTGGTTTTAACAAACCAGGCGCACCTACCTTGTGTAGCAGCTAATAACTACCTTCGACAATACTCACGTGTATCGTCTATGAAAACCTATCGGTGTAAAAACTCTAAATGCTTCTCTCAATGTCAGCGATCATGTAACAGCTTCCCACACGAATTTGCTTAGAATGGGATCAGTTTATTTTTGGTGGCTGTTCTACGTAATGAGATGCAAATTTATTTCGGTTGCAGAAACCGAAAATTTGAATCTAATCAAAAACGTTCGGTGCGAGCAGAGGCGTATCAAAAAAAAAAATTGTCAAGAGGGGCATCGGTTACAGTTTAATCAAGTAGAATTCAGTTGAGATGAATTATAAAATAAATAATAAAAAAATTGTTTCGAAAACAAACTTTCATTTACATTTTCTAAACAGAAGATAAGAAACTTGCTTTTTTACAAAGGTAAATTTCACGATAAGTCTCTATGAATATGAATTGTGTATTGTAAGAAATTGATGTTTCATTTGAATCAAAGACTATTTTTTTCTTCAAGTAAACTTTATTGTGAGATTTTCATTACACCAGTGTATTTAAGTAGAACATGTTTATTTTTTGTAATAAAATGCAGTTGGTTTATGAAAGAGGTAGGAAAATTATTTGCTTTTGAACGGAAAAAAATTCAAGACCATTCATAATTATTAAAACAGATAAAAATAAGATTCAAATTACATTATACCTATTAATTTTCCAATTACTCTACAAAATTCTTATGTGAATAATAAGATTTAAATTTAATTAAATAATGAGATTTAGCCTCAATGCCTTAAAAATAAAATTATTATTTTTCTGTTGATATTTTTAATTTCTTTCAGGAATTCCAAATCAATTTGTATTCTATTAGACAATGGAAGCCCGAACTGATGAAATAAAATAAATTAATGTAGCCTTATGTACTTTATGATATACGTTGTCATGTGACTTGAGAGTGATTGAATTACATTTCAATTATTGACTTTGGATTGAATAAATAAAATCTTGTAGTTTTTTAGAATTTGAACATAGTTAACATATATACTCTAATACAACAAAGATCTGTCTACATTCAGATGTGTTATTCACAACAACAATATTAGGAATGAGTTCTTCAACAAAAATTTGCAAATAAAACAGTTTTATGCGGATATCCGCTTGTTATTGCTCTCTGTTATTACAAAACGAATACACTTCTATGAAACATATTCTCCTGTTCCTCTCACTTCGTATCATACACCTTACTAGTTAATCATGTAGTAATTACTGAATATTTCTCATCAGTCCTCCCTCCATATCATTCAAACATTCCGAAGAATCACTTTCGCTATCGCCTGACGAAAGTCAAGTTCATGCAGAGAATGAGTCTAATGTCAGGATTTTGCTGTGAGAATAAGCTGTTGAGGATTGAAGATTGTGAAGGAGGAAATAAAAAAGTTAAATGATCATGACACAGTTATCAAAATGTTAGCGTTATACGTTTTAGAATATTATACGACTCATCTTTATCATAACTGGTGTTATTTGCCGATATTTGCCAACAGATTGGGATAAACTTTTTCAGTGTTTAAAAAAAATATCAAGCTGTATTAAATCATGCAAAATTTTGAAGTTGGGTTTGCCAACCCGTTAATATGAAGAAAACTGTCAATCTTTTAACGGAAATCGATTTTTATACATAGAATCGAAAACAACTTCAATAGTATAAACGATCACAGTGATTAGAACAAATTTCACTCTATTTATACCATCTAGTTTGTTTCAGTATACCTAGTAGTGTAACATTTGTAATAAAAATGAATGTTTCAACACTCACCACTCAACATATAATTTCTTACCCCCTCTTTCATATACATTTTCTAATAACATATACTAGATCTGAATGAAATAAAATATTTATATAGTTTTCTTCTTTTTCAGTCATGTAGCCAACTGATCGAAACGGATTTCCTGCCACAAGTCTCAGCCACTTGCAAAGCCGGTCATATGAACATCAAAGTGAACTTCAACAGTTCCTTCAGTGGTACTGTCCACGCGCGGGACTTCCGCACTTCATCCTGTATGAAAAATGGCGACGGATCCAAGATGGTCAATCTTGACATCAACCTTTTAGCTCAAGCAGGAGCTCCAGATTACTGCGGACTTCTGGTGAACAATGTAAGTATACTTCGAACGTGAATTTACTACAGGTGTTCTCTGAAACGGGTGACTGGAAGGTTACGTGTTTGTCCTACAATATTCAACCACTTCAATTCAAGAGAAAATAGGTGTATTCTCTTCACCACATACATGCATCGTTTGTCGTATAATGACAGGCGATAGAAACTAACTTGTGAACACCCACTGAGATCGGCCCTGAGATCCTACGTATTTATCGGAACCGAGAATAGCGTGTTATTAAGTCGTTGCAATTATATACAAGGCGTGTACAATAGACGCCCGTGTATAATCTACCGAAGTGGAATGTTGTAACATCGATAACATGCGGAATATTAGAAATATGACTGACAAACCGTGGTACCCCACTGAAAGCAGCATCAGCTTCGAAATTAGAACCCAGTCATTGTGTTGCAGAACCCCATTATTCATTTGGAGATCCAAATATACAGAGGGTCCTAAATGGCATCCGTCTCATCCATTCTTTTTAGGAAACTTGGAGAACTTGTTCCAATCGTTCAGCAAATTTCGGTTATTTAGTGATAGGTGCTCCCTGTCATCATCTTTTCTATGAAGAAGGAGAGAAGGATGGCACAAAAAACACTAACGCTCTAAAACACTCTAATATGTCTTATATATCTTATATTTATATGGCCAGTAAGCTTCAACTTTCTGTTTCCAGGCGACAACCTTTTAAATAAATATTACTGGGGTTTTTTCCCAATACCAAACACCTCGACACGTGTTTCGATCACCAAGTGACCATCTTCAAGAAGAAGATCAAACTGTCTGATGATGATTTTAAAATTTTAGTGTATGAGGTCCTCTCACTCAGTTGACGCATAAATAACCATTGTCGTAACGATTTACGGCGTCCATCCGTAAATCCTGAACGGCTCTCATAAATCCTGATCACTGCCTGTCCTGCGTCGTCCTGAAGACATATCCGCTATAGGGAACAGAATATAACATTCACAATTTATAGTGGCCGCAACGTGGATAATAGTAATTGACGGTGAATTTTCCAACTACCATAATGAACTGTTATTATTGATGACAATGGTCGACGAACCACAGAGCAGGGTGTGTGCGAATGATGTTGCAGGGCCGGAGGCTTTGAATATTTCATAGGATATTCATAAAATATATATGAAACGAAATGAAAAAGATCCAGTTGTAGATGGATCACTAAGATTTTTATTTGTTGCGATCGGTTTCAGTTTATTGACTCATTCTCAAGTAATCTGACGCAGTCACTTCACTTGAGAATGCGTCAGATTACTTGAGAATGGTTCAATAAACCGAAACCGGTCCTAACAAACACAAATTTTAGTGGAAATTAGAAGAAACTTATTTTTTCTATCCTATATCTGAAATCTTTCATTGTCCCTCTACACGAAATAAAATAATATTTTATAAGACATTTTCATCATTTAGAATACAATATTTGGTGGTTGAATTTTTGATTGATAATATACAAAATGCTTTGGTGTGTCTTTTATGATGAAAATACTTGTATTCATAAAAATCATATCACAAAAATACAGAACAGGGCAATTATTGAATACTTGTGGCATTACATGCGGGACTATACTTACCAACAAATTATATCCCAATAACCTCGTTCTTTCATGCCAATAATTGTGATGCAATATTCATGAAGTGACAAATGACTCATTTATCCTACATATAAATTTATTATGCAACACCGAGACGATTATAACCGCTTTTATTTATTAGGCGATGGCTTAAAGACATTCAAATTGATTATTAACTTCTGTAAATCCGAAGAGTTAGTATATTCAAGGCCCGTATTACGGATGTGGAAGGGGTTTTTCTCTAACTAGAGTGCCTGCTTAGATGAAGTAAATTTCATCCAGGCAGTCACTGTCGCAAGCTCGTTATCATAAAAACACCAATTCTAAGTTGACGCAGTACAAATATCCCTGTAACATCAGCAGTTGTTCCGCCAGAACGTTCTTTTATTACCCGTTCATAGGGCCGGTTGAACAATACGATTGTGAAATTTTATTATTTCGATATTCCTTCCAACATTCACCAGATGAAAGAGACACCTTTTATGCGTTTACGATGTTGTAAAATCGAACGAGGTTTTATCGTTTTTTGAGATATTTGCTATTCGACTGGGTCGTCGACTTCGTGTGCTTCTGGCCAAACTTGTTTATGCAAAATGCATCTAGAGGCAATGAAATAACAAAAACTGTAGGTTAGGACAGCATAAGATGTCCACGTTAAGTTAAATCCGTAACCGAACTTAGCTCATCTATTTTGTTTTATTTCTGAAGGTTTTTAAAGTTTTCCTTTTTTTATAAATTAGTTTTAATTGTGTCAACCTGACCTAAGTTTGTAATTTCAAAAATTCTAAACATACAGAGAAACTCAAAAAATCTAGAATGCTTGCGTTAGATTTATTTCTAATCTGAGAACAATAGAAGGGAACCACTTCACCTTCTTTGATCCTCCGAAACACAACAGTTCGTGGTTGAATGGAAAAGTAGCTTATGCGTCTTGTGGAGGCTTTACTGAAATTTTGTCTTTTCAATCTGACACTTTCTCTCTTGTTTTCCCAAATCACCATTTCTTTGAAACTTCCAAAACCAGCTAAGTCTTCTCGGAAGAAAAAAACTACAGCACTTAACCCTGTATCCTTCCACTTAACCCTGTGTTCTTCCACTTAACCCTGTATTCTTCCACTTAACCCTTTCTTCCACTTTTCTACTCCATTATTCTTATCCACACTCAATGAAGAGTAGATCAGATGAGCTTTTCCTGTATCCAGCATTGAAACAAAAATGTACATTAATCAGTCTTCCACTTAACCCTGTGTTCTTCCACTTAACCTTGTATTCTTCCACTTGACACTGTGTTCTTCCACTCAACCCTGTATTCTTCCACTTAATCCTGTCTTCCACTTTTCTACTCCATTATTCTTATCCACACTCAATGAAGAGTAGATCTGTATCCAGCATTGAAACAAAAATGTACATTAATCAGTCTTCCACTTGACCCTGTGTTCTTCCACTTAACCTTGTATTCTTCCACTTGACACTGTGTTCTTCCACTCAACCCTGTATTCTTCCACTTAATCCTGTCTTCCACTTTTCTACTCCATTATTCTTATCCACACTCAATGAAGAGTAGATCTGTATCCAGCATTGAGACAAAAATGTACATTAGTCTGGACATTTTTTCAAACGAAAATTTCCACTGTCATAGAGCCGCCTGTCCCCACATTCTGCATACAAAATAAGTACTGAATATTCATGGTAACTGTTCCAATTATCTCTCTTCACATAAGTAAGTCATAATACGGTATTAAATATGTCCATGCGTCCGACAATAGTTATGTAAGTGGGTTCAGTTAAGTGGACATCTTGGTATGCCGCACAAAGGAAAATTTTTATTTATTGATGCCTGATAGAGCGCGAGGTTAGTCACTAAGAAGGTACGCTTCGAGAATATGGATGCATGTCATGTATACGCCGGGGCCGGGGAAAATAAAGACAGTAAATGCTCGATTATTTATCTACGCGCCTGAGGTATTTAAACAAGGTGTCACAAGTTATGTGGAACCACTACATACTGTCTTTATATTGTGATCACTCGAATTTCTTAATGGTCAATGTGATAGCTGATGAGAGAAGTTGTTTTCTATTGGTTACTACAATAGCTGAGAAAGAAAGTAATGGCTTACTTCTTTTCCACATGTTTATACAAAATAAAATGTGGAAATCTTCCAAAGAAAAAAAGAAAGCGATAAATTGTACGGATTTTGTCAAAATCAAATCTATTCTTGTGTTTATTCTTCTTGGGCATGAAACACTCCAAAGATTTCCTCCAATATAGGTTTGCAGAAAACAGATAACACCCATTCCAATAACAAAATCGTAGTTACAAACATTCTGGGTCACGTTCTAATGTACATCTGATTTCAATTTACGAAAATGGTGATGTTTTTTCCAACTGAATAGTGGTGATTCTCAACTGATCTCAAATAATTATCCAACATAATCATATTCTTTTCAGAAAACAGAAGAACGTTCTGTGCCCATAGCAGTCCGAATCCACCGCACTCTCGAGCTGGCAGACGACAAATTCTACGTCATTACTTGTGGTAAAGCAGGCTTCAGGAACGCGAGGAACGAAACGTCTCTGGTTTCTCTTCGGCTCCTTGACGACAACAGGAAGATCACGGAAGCAGTTATCCATCGTCCTTATACACTTCGAACTGAACTATCAAGGCCGGATGGCACATACGGATTCAGGTCAGTACATATACTTACGTTTTTCATCTGCCTTCACAAGAGATAAACCTAGACATGCCGGTGCAGATTTAGATGATGCCTACTCAAATTTCAAAAAGATTTAATCGAAATAAAACATTTAAAAACGAAAGATTTCATTGTGTCTGAACCTGTTTCATGGTCAGATCTCCGAATGAAACCTTGGGGTACTACTATTGTGGAAGGTATTGGAAATTCACTTGTTTCCGATCTTTCAAATATACTGTCAATTAGTCATGCCCTTTATTTTACCTCCCTCTAACAATTATGGAAGAAGATTAGTTGCAGAAACTATAGAAACTTAATTTATTGATATATATTTAAGTGAGTATCTGAAACTCGCAACATCACATTCTAATGAGTATAATATCTTGCTTCCAATGAAAAAGACACTTTCGCTGTTCATTGGGAGGTCAATAATGAACCTCCTAGACTTTCTGTTGTCTCAGCGCCTCATTAGTCTAATCAACAAGTACAAAAATAGAGATAAAGGTCTAAAAAATAAAAAAATCGATCCGGAATCATCTCTAGAAAAATGTTTTTGAAGGATTTTGGTGCAGGTGAAAAATTGCAATTGTTATTAACAACATAAGAAAATGTTTCAATAATGTTTCAAGCATTATCGAAATTCAAACATTGTTTCAATCAATTTTTATGTCTATCAATGTATGTATTGAAATAGAAAAGCTTTTCAGTTGGTTCAGCCATCTCTGAACTATTTATTTCTAACTCTATTTTCAACTGCTAATATCGTCTTGACCCTGTCGTACGTTCATAATAAAATTTATTTGTGCATTCGGCAATACAGCTGAATCAATCACTTGTTTACGAAATTATGTCTTGTATTGAACAAACAACTCACTTTCTTTTACTTCACTTCAAAATAATATCCGGAGTTTTGCACCCTTTAGGGGCGATATGCCAATCCTTTATTGAAAGAAAGTAAGGTTATGTACAGTTATTTATTATCGGTCTTTTCATCAGTTTAAAATATACAAAAGAGGTATCCTATCAAGAGCGTCTAACCATGAAGACCCCATCCATGTCCCAAACCGGCGTGTCCCAAACCGAGACCTCCAAGTCCCAATCCCAAACCGATGGCACCATGTCCGTTAGGTCCGGTGGGTCCTACAGCTCCGGCTCCAGTGACGATTCCGGCTGGTCCAGCTGCTCCTGCTCCGGTAACTACTCCAGAAGGTCCTGCAGCACCTGCTCCAGTGACTACCCCAGATGGTCCAACAGGGCTCAAAGCCCAGGGGCTGATGACTCCAGCGCCATGTCCAAGACCGAGTCCGCCAAGTCCTCCCCATCCACCGAGTCCAAGACCGATGTGGGAAGCGGATGCTGTGGCGACGACGGCCAAGAAAGCGAAAGCAACCTAAAAGGAGTGATCAATGTTAATAGAGGTGTCATCTTTTCCATACCCAGATTGTCCAACAAATGACACGAATGTCTGGTTCTAACTGAAGATTTGGTGTCACCAAGATAATAATTGGATTGAATTTACATTATTGAGAAGGGGGTGAAGTGAAAAAAGTGAGGTACTTTTATTTCAACAATCTAATAATTGAATTGAAATAATATGTATATTGGCTGAGAGAATCGGTTATTAGTAAACTAAGAGTTTGGTCAGTGAAAACCACCTTAATTGAAATATTCAGATACTTACCATGGAGTTCATGATGATGATTGTTGATTCAAGTCACAGGAGTAAACTGATAAAGTTGTTACAGTTTTTCCGGTATATATAGGTCTCGAAGTGTGGGTAAACGACCTTGATTACACAGCGGAATGACCATTTTAAAAAAATGCAGCTTTTATAACGGTTTCTCTGAGATATGTTGATAATTATTGAACCATTACGAACGGTCGTATCAGGATTTTTTCTGAATAATGCTACACCCTTGAAAACCTCTGTAATAACTATTTGAAATGTATTATATGTAGATCTGTCGCATATCCGCTTTGGTGAAAGGAATGGGCGTTAGCTGTTGTCGTGGTATTTCGCACTATTTGTGGTATTTATCGGTCTTCCGACGTTCAACCTTGGTTGCACTATTCGTCGTTACGCTGACTTTTCAAATACGATCTTTGTATTTAGTTTTGCTCTAGTCTTCCATTTTCATTCAATGACTACGCACATTACCTGAAATGGGTCTTTTATAATTGTGGAAATGGAGTGAGTTCTTTTTTTCTGTCTGTACGAACACCTGGAAGGGTTCCTTCAAAGGAGTGTTCAAAAACTCTTTCAAACTCAACTCAATTACTTCAACAATCAATCAATTCAGTTTGTGAAACGGCCTACCTTCCACGAATGCTCTAGCACCACCAAAAGTTCACCTGGCTATACAGGATGGTCAAAAACATGACGTGAAAACATTAAGATAGCAAGTGGTATCTCAATATTAAATCTTTGAAGAATATCTTTCAATGTGAATAATTTTCTCAACTGGAAAATGATCAGTTATCTAACATGGATGCGTCTTGTGAGAATTCAGATTAAAAATGAAAATTTCACATTCGAGGGGAGCAAATCAAGAATTTGGAAAAAATGTTCCGCAGTTCGTAGTTTTGAAAACTTTTCAACACGGAGAAATATCAGAATAACTTTCCTGTTGAAATATACGTTGCTTGGGCTCTGATTGTTTTTACTGTTCGTAAGACCGTTCTAATAACGAAGAATATTTGGCCATTATTTTTTCACGAAGATACCCAAGACCGAACACTTCCCCTGGAAGTATCTATACAAAGAAGATGGATCCCAATCTTTCTGGGATGTTCCAGAATATCAGGGTTACTTGTGATGTGGGGATCTCCAATCAAGCTGATGCTCCTTTCCTCAATAGTATTTAATAACCTCAGGATATGCTTAGGGGAGGAGCTCCACATTTGTGAGTGATATTTCAAATACGAACTGACTTGAGTTTTATAAAACTGAAAGTTCCTGAGCTGTTTACATCTTTCTCGTTCAAAAGAGTTCTTCAATCTTGTACACAACATAATGGAATCTGATTTGATATTGAATAAATAAAATGGCAAAGCTAGTTTTGTACATTAAGTTTAACGGAGATATCTGACTTCGCGTAGCCCCGAAATGGAAGAGGGGGAAGTTTTTAATCATTCCATTATTGATAACAGATGAACAAACATATTTAGGTACTGAAAAACGTAAAAATACCAAAAAAAAAAACTAAGAATATTCAGAATCTATTCGAGTCGAACGTAAAAGTACTACGCTGAAGATTCAATTCGGTTTTTTGCTGAATATTACACAGCATGGTAATGTCCTAAAACGAGATTTCGATAACAGACTGTGATCAACAATGAACAACTGTTAAAAATCTGTTAAAAATCTGAAGTTGAAACCCTCAGGAGTCAAAACTTTTGCGAGCTAAGGTCCTATCTTTCAATGTGTGATTCCTAACACGAGCTGACTCTGTATAATCTTATTTATATGAAAGAGGAACTTGATCGCGGAAACTTCTTTGTCAGAGTTGAAACATAAATTTATTTCCAGAATTTTTCCGTAGTTTAAAGCAAAATTTGCTTTTAATTATTTACATCAATTTTATTTTTGCAATTTTCATGTTGTGTTCAATATTATGAAATTTTCTATAAACTTTTCTTCAAGTTTGAGATTGAGGATTTAGGAATTCATATAGACATTTTTAGATTTATATCAATGGAAGTAAAAATTTCAGATTGACTACTTTCCTGAAACAAATATGGAGTTATGAGTTTAGGTTTCAAACCCCTACCTTCTAAATGAAAATCATCATAATTGTGATCGAGCTCAAGCCCCTTTACCAAAAAATAATTTGAAAATATGGAATTTGTCTTGACATTCAACTCTATGCTCTTTTATTCTTTGGGAGAAGGTTTTCCTCGTTTGGACAATATATAGCTTTAGGCAAGAACCAAAAGTAGAATTGCATACTCCTCATCTATCTTATACTGAAGTTTTGTTTTCATGATTTTCAGTAAATTTCTCAAATTGACATTATTTGTTGTGTACGCCAAGTCCAAGTTTTCTTTCAAAAGCAGAGCAATATTATTGGCCGAAGTATAATCATTAAAAATATTTTTTTATCCCAGTTCAGTATGTTTTCATCGACATTTTCATCAATTCACATCATCATCAATTCACTTCAATAACAGAACCATTTCTGTTATACAGGTCTGTTGAAACTTCTGTATACACAGAGATTTCTGATCGATCAGTGAATTTGTAGAACTTCTTATCCCAAGTAGGTTCCAAGGTTTAAAATAATTGTGAACCTAAATTTGTACCCCATATTCATGATGACTCTGTTGTTTGAGGTCGTATGGAATATGAGAACCAAGAACAGATCTTGTGACATAATGAGTTCATTTGAATATATTCATATGTCAATTGAAATCCTAATGGGTCGATTTCTACAAAACGTTCAGTATAGCACATTCATCAAAAAGTCATTTAAAGAACTGATCATCATTAAAAATAATATATTTGTAGCCTATTCATAATCAAATTAACATTTCAAAGTCTATCTTCCGTGGAGTCCCAAACCACCGAGCCCGAGCCCAAGTCCACCGAGTCCAAGTCCCAAACCGGCACCATGTCCCAAACCCAATCCCAAAGCTGGAGCCAACGCAATTCCAACTCCGTTAGGTCCAGTGGGGCCTACAGCTCCAGCTCCAGTAACGATTCCGGCTGGTCCTGCAGCTCCGGCTCCGGTAACAACTCCGGAAGGTCCTGCAGCACCGGCTCCAGTAACTACTCCAGAAGGTCCTACGGGGCTCAAAGCCAAGGGGTTGATCAGACCTACTGCGCCAAGGCCTAGGCCGATGCCTGAGGCAGCGGTGGAGGCGATGAGGGCAACGAAGGCAAAAGCAACCTTGAAAGATAAAAATTCAACTGTTACATTTTTAAAATTTGGGATGTCCTCGAAAGAATAATTTTGGCAAAGTTTATGGAAACAGTTTCTTCTCTGAAAGGAGTTTTTCTGAAATTTTTGACATTTATAATCTTTCAGAACAATTTTACTGAAGAAAATATCAAGAAACCTTGAAGCATCATCAAGGAATAGTCAGATTATTGTGGTAACTTACCAAGGAGTTCATGTTGATATGATTTGATTTATCAAGTAACTGATGCTGTTCATGTGTTGATCCTGGTATATATAGATCTGAGATTAGCTGATGCAATTGTTAGTAAAGTATCGTTTTCTATCATATTCGTATGAAAATGAAACAGTCCGTGACTTACCCTAGAATTTTTGCCGGCCTAGGTTGGTATGCAACTCACTTCAATAAATCAAATCGTGTTCAAGGCTATGCACAAATAAATGCATTTTATTTGTTCTAGTGACATGTATGACATATAATGAGACGTGGATAGGCAAATTGAAGATAATATGATAGGCAATATGAAGATAGTCTGAATTTTCACCTTCAACCTAAAATAGACATTAAAACTCTTCTACTCCAACAATAAATTGGAACCAACATATTACTTTAAGTCAAATATTTCCTATTCATAAAACATTAACTGATTCCTCGTGCAAATTAGAAGATACTGAAGGGAGACATTTTCATCATTTTGATTTTTTGAGTTGCAGTAAATAGGGGATCTTGAACGATTTCGTAACATCATAACAATTCAGGCAAATTTAGAGAAATAGATGAAAAAACTGGAATAATCACAGAAAATATCTTGATTATTTGAGGTTGTTTTTGGAAAACTGAAAATAGAAGTGCGTCTCTGAATGATTTTGGAATTTGAAGTTGAAATTGTAATCACCAAAAGTAAGGGAGACAGTATAACATTTTCAGTGGAATTGATACTGAAAACCATTTTAGTATAGTTTTCTTTATGACAGTACTATTGAAGTTTTAGTTATATTGTATAATGAAATAGACCAAAATTTCAATTTACTCTCATCAATTCTACGGGGTTCAATTGTAAAATGGCTTCGATAAGTAAAATTGGAAGCTCTAATCTGAAGAAAAGGAACTAAACAAGTTTCCTTCCTCTCTGAAGCGCTTTTATTTTATAGTTCAAATCGAACAGTATATTTTGTAAGACTCGACTTTGTGTAAAACCAAAATTCAACTGGAATAGTATTAGAGTAAGCCATAACACTGATTCTTCGTCAAAAGAGAGTTCTGGAAAATTCAGTCAAAATTATTATTGATGAGAAACATCTTAATGTATAAAGATAGGAGTGGAGAAAGCCAAAATCTTTTTTTCCTAAAAATTAATCTCTTCTGAACGTATGCCCCTTTCAATTCAAACAAGAGTTCTATGGCTGGGATTGAATCAAATCGATGGCACGAGTAGATTTAACTCATTCCAGACATGAAGTCGTATTTTTTTGAACAAGTTGAATGCTCCATTTCGTGATGCTGTGTGATGCTGAAGAGGCAATAAGACTAATGTCTCATTCCAAAACATCAGATGTCCGATTGAGGATGACAGTGTTCCATGTGAGTTGTTTGGAAGCTATTTTTTCTCCCGTGTAATTCATGTTTATTTGAAAGCAGATATTTCGAGTGGGTTTTTTCTTTCCAGTTTGTTTATACATTCTACAGTCAAAAATATATTGACAACAATACTGATAATAGATTATTAACAGTAAAATGACTATTTCAATCTCCTATTTTTACAATGAATCAAACTGGGATCCGGAATTTTATATTACATCAAGTTTCTACTTTCATGATATAGCACTGGGTTGAATTGAATCAAATATCATAATATTTCCGCAGGAATAGCAACTTTATTCAAATTATTGGTGATCATTATGATACAGTGTATCTATTTTATATAAATAATATTGGAAATTCAGCCTATATCCAGCAACAGTGGTGTGTTTGAGAAAATTACTCAAACACCAAGACAGCCAAAATAATGGGTATTTTTTAAATAAAGGAAATACTTCAACATTTATGATAAATCTCGACCCCCAAATGTGAATTAGTTTAAAATTATGTTTCGCTCGTATAGAAGCCAGAGGCAAGCAAAATTTTTCTTTGTGAAGCCCTGATGATGAATTGAACAATTTCGAAACGTCGACAAGAAATATATACTTTTTCTATGAACAAATTCATCCTCATCCCTACTAATCGTGTGAAAAGTTAATAATGTCAGGACTCTGTTATTTCCATTCGAATTGAATGACTTGCATATTTTCCTTGTCGATTTTTTATTTTTTCATCACCACGAGAAAATATATATTTTATTTTCCCGAACATTCACCAAATAAAAGAATGACGTATAGTAAAAAAATTCTATATTTCCAGTCTATCAAAAATCATTCATTTTTCCAGTCTAACAAAAAAAAATCAATAATCGAAAGTCTATCTTCCGTGAATTCCCACACCACCGAGTCCAAGTCCCAATCCACCTACTCCAAGTCCTAATCCACCAATTCCAAGTCCTACGCGTCCCAATCCCAAAGCGGGTGCCAATGCAATTCCAACTCCGTTAGGTCCGGTTGNTTGTTTCCTCTGGCAAACATACGCAGTCGACATAAAGTGAACCCATAAAAATCGTCGATCATATTCTTATATAACAAACTCACGGCAGAATGGAATATTAATGAACATCAAGAATTTCATATATACTGTAGGAGGAAAGCTACAAACGAGTATTGGGTGTGTTGGAACAACTACTTTGGTCATACTCAACTGAACACGACAATCTTTCATGGTCACCCTTTACCTTATAGTTTTTAGTTTTTCATATAGTTAGTATTGCATTGGTATCAGGTGAAATATACGAGGGGTATGTTGAAGTTTTACTGGTATGGTTGCGAACAGTCATGATGTTATCAAAAGTCAAGCCTAAATGAACGGATCTTTAGGATTCGTAATATTTAGTGTAGTTTTTGGAATTGTGTTGAAACCAAAATATACTCAGAGAAATCCGTTTTCTAAACAGCAGCATGATTTGAATCCATTCCTTCTTCTATACACGAGAACTGCAACACTTCTCACAACGTGAAGTGGCGTCATCGGGAGACAAACTTTCACATTTTTGTATAAAGATGGAGAAATAGAAAGCCAAAATGTTTTTTTCAATAAATCATACCATTCTGTTCTTTAAATTTTTATTTTTCTATGTGAGCTCCTCTCCTCTAAAGATTATATAGTCATTCAGCTGAGGAATGGCTCATATGAAAATCAATTGAGGTTTGGAAGAATCTCAAAAATGCATTCAGAGTGTTGACTAAAACTGATGATTTTAAAAAAACTGTCTTAATGAATAGACGTTGATTTTATTATTTGGTACATTTGATGGAAATCGACGAAAGGAAGTTGTCAATTATGTCACCAACTCAAATATGACGTAGGAAATCAGTTTCCGTGGTGCACGTACCAGAAACATACACACAATCTATCAATGAAGACTTCCAGAAACACTAGTACAATGAAGTACATTTTAATGTAGTTGTAAGCAATAAAAAGCCAATGATGAACATGTAACATATAAAAAAAAAATTGAGTCACTCAATAGTCTCAAGGTCAAAATTACCATTGAATGTTGTCACTTTGTGTTGCTTTGTATAGTAAAATTTATAAATGAATCAATCCAGTTTCTGAAGTTTTCAGAATTTTGCAATTATCTGATCGTGACTTCAACAGATAAACAAACTTTTCGATGAAAAACATTCCAAACGTCGAATAAGATAAGTTCTGTGATGCTGAAAAGATTCATAAATTCAATTTTGCTGACTAGATATGTGTGAAACTCTACTTGTTATCTGATTAATTTGAAATGTTTCAGAAAAATATAATCTTTTTGATTGGAACAATATGCGGAATACTTTACCAGGTATTGAGTAGAGGTGGATATTCTCTGAAATATCTTCAAAAAAGTTTCGACAATTTCAACCTCTTCATTTATTGATAAAAGTCTCAATTTCAATTCCGAATGATATAATTTTGAATGGAACTGAATAATAAGTGATATTTCTTGAGAAACCTCAGTTGCCTTAGACATTTTTTTTGAATTGTTTTCAGTTGTTTATGTTATAACTTATTTGATGTGAATGAACGAACATTGCAATTTTTCCTTCATTTCAGGGTTAAAAACTGTTTTGCCTTCAACAAACTCAATGACAGTGTCCCACTCATCGATGAGAGGGGCTGCCCAGTAGACAAAAATATCCTAGGACCGTTCACCTATGACGAGAAGAATGGAATCGCAAATGCACCTCTTAAATCTATGTTCAGATTTCCTGAAAGTTCTGAAGTGCATTTCCAGGTGAGAAAAATAATAAACGCACCACACTCTTATAACAGATTCAAGAAATACTTCATCATGAGATCTTCACCAAACAGTTTTACAAAAAACGCAACAGATGTTTCGTTAAACAATAGCTTCTCCAGGTGTGTTTTTATATTCCACCACAGTTCTTATGACAGGTTGAGTTATGGGTTTGATGTTGAATATATGATACACAATTATTGAGATGGGTTCTTAAATCTGTTCGAAACCCTGATGATTAGTCATCAGGTTTTCGAACCCTGATGATTAGTCATCCACTTTTCGGTATATGAAGTGAGATAAATATGCCTCCACTACTATGGAGTTCATTTCCACTGGTAACAATTTTCATCAAAGAGAAAATATTCGTACTCTTTTTATAAAGAAGGGTTTTACTTATTGAATTTTTCAATAATCCTCGCAATAATAATGATATAATAATGAGTATGGAACCCTTCGAGAAGGAAGCAAACAATGAAACGAAGAATAAAGTTATATAAAAAATAAAACAAGGCATTCAACTTCAAAAATGAATTGAGAAAGGTATGAATTGAAATTAAAACAAAACAAATTATGTTATCAAAAAAGCATGTAAAGATACTGCTTTCCAATAATGATTGAACCTTGTGAATCTGATTCAGCTTTCCCAAACTCTCTCTGTTGGATTAAACTATAAGAAATGTCAAAGATTTATTCAAAATGAAATGTAAAAATTTGTTTTTTGCAAGCCTTACGAACAAACCCTTAGGTAAGTACTGAATTGCACTTTCAACACTGATCACATGTTCTAAGACTTTGCTCGAGGGACTCAAAACAAATTTCAAACACTTTTTCAATAGATCAAGTTGATTCCCATCGAAATATTGACTCGAAACCATGTTGATAACTTTCTTCGACTTTGTGTTCGTTTCTTCAACTCCAAGCCTCCTGTTCAAGTGAGCCATTTTCCTAATGAATTTTGATTCGAAGACAAATAATGTTTGTTTCTAAATATCATCCCATATTTCATTTCATTCACATATTTCAATTCAAGCATATTTCGTTCATAAATACGTAGATTTCTAAGTCTACGTATTTCCGTCTGGCATAAGCTACACTTTTTCCGCGAGAAGAGATTTCCAGAATATTACCCTGAACAAATATTTGCAGCTATTACCTTAATCTTAGTGGTGAGCTTAGATTTATAGGCACTGAATATCTTCAAAGAATATAATTTAAGAAACATATCCGTGTTCTAGTGTGACGTGGGCCTCTGTAAAGGCAGCTGCTTGATCCCCTCCTGCTCTGGGGACCTGCTCCAATCGCGCGCCCTGAACAACGACGAAGGCATCCTCATGGCTGCTACCAGCGTCTTCGTCGTGGAGCCGACCGACGCTCCTCGAATCCAGGAGCTCTGCGATGAGACGGGTGCACGTCCCTCCTGGCTGCTGTGGCTGTGCGTAGCGCTGGGGATTCTCTTCCTGCTCATGCTCATCATCAACATCTTCCTGTGTTCAGCTATGACTTGCGCCTGCGCCAGGACGGAGATCATCGAGAAGGAACCCAGTATCATCGAGGATTATGATCCGTACAGGAGTTGGCATGGGAGTCAGTACGGTTCCAGGTAGGGAATTTGTTTTGAGCAGCGCAGGAGATAATTCTCTTTGAATGACATAGTTGAACCTCAATGAAGTCTTCACACATTAAATATCTATCAGATGAAGGAAAATTTGTTGAAATCTTGAATAATATAACATTTGGTACAATGACGAACTGTTGCTATTTTATAATTCAGTAATATAGTAGTAGTATTGCCGAGATGGAAATCTTGAGTTTGTGGAGGTAAGGACATGGTTTGACTTTCGATTTTTATAGGAATTCAATTGAAATTATTAAAAGGAGTCTTCAAATCAACTGATATCATTTGGATTCTATCTACAGTAAATTACAGAAATATTGTAGCTACTCTGTAGCTTATCTCAACTGTAGGTTAACTCATTTGCACTTACATATGGCACCCCTATAAAATAATGAATAAGGTTTACCTTTGTCTAATATGTAAAATGATTCTCGCCCGCTCACGGGAGTAGAGGAATCCTTGTAGAGGAAAGGCTTAAATTTCGCCATTGCGCCAACATCTGTGCCCACTTTGGAGACAATTACGGCAGTGGAATCCACCAGTTTCCTTATTGACCAGACCGAGGCAGAAGAATTCATATGGAAAATCAGAGAATAGCTAGATCGAGAACCAGTTCCAACATCTAACATCAGCAATGAAGAACGTAGAGCTCTAAACGGCCTACGTAGAGACAACACAATCAAGATCCTACCTGCAGATAAAGAAAACGGTACTGTGGTGATGGATACTGTTCTCTACGAACAGAAGATCGAAGAGGTTCTCCAGAAGGGACGATACACAGATCGTACGGGATCCTACTGCATCAATTGAAAGGAAATTGTACCAGATTTTGAAAAAACACCAAGTCTATTTTTCGGACAAGGAAAAATCATCGCTAACACCGCACCACAGTAAGCCCCCTCACTTGTATGGACTGCCCAACATCCACAAGAAGGGCGTTTCACTAAGACCGATCATCAGCTCCAGAGATTCGGTAACTCACAACTTGTCGAGATTTTTACTTCCCATAATACAACCATTACAAGAAAGAACATCGTGTTTTGAAGAATTCATGGCATTTTGTCGAACTACTAGGCTCAATTGAAGTCACACAAGAAGATCAACTGATTAGCTTCGACGTGGAAAGCCTTTATACTAACGTTCCGGTCAAAGAAGCACTCCAAATCATACAGAAAAAGCTATCCGAAGACGGAAACCTGAAAGAAAGAACGAATCTACCCATAGAAGTAATTATGGAATTACTAGGATGTTGTGTACGATACTGTTATTTCCAACTGAAGGACGAATTCTTTACACAAGATGAGGGACTGCCAATGGGATCGCCACTTTCAACAGTCACAGCCTACATATATATGGAGTGGTTTGAAACCATTGAAGAAGCCCACAAGAAACCTCGGGTCTGGTTGAGATATGTTGACGACACCTTCATAATATGGAACCATGGGAATACTGAACTAGACGCCTTTCTGAAACACATCAACAGCNGATTGGTCTGAAATGTTCTAATGTTGATAACTTTTAATTTTTTCGAACAGAAGTTACTTTACCCACCATCAGGAGAGTTTGAATTTTTTCCATTCTGGAAACTCTTTCTATGTTCCTTCATGCGGTAAATATTTTTCCAGTAACGTAAAACATGGAACATTAACAACAATTATAGTGATATTTTTAGAATATTGAATGTTTCAATCTTTAAGAAGTTGATCAACTTCTGCTTGAAGAAGCTAGTGTTGCGGTTTTGTTAACCTTGTATACTGAAAATCAAAATAAATCCCATTAGTAAGTTTTGAAATGAATTTTCCCAATCAGATTGTGTTCGAAATTTGATTCAAGTTTCTGGAATGTACTCCTCTGTAAGGTTGGAAATAATATCAACCCAAAGTACTACAAACACTACGAAAGAAAACCCATTTCATAGATAAATCTTTTCAAGACAAAAGCGAGTAATTTAGTGGAAAAAGCAACACATCATATATTTTCGTTATCTTAAAAATATAAAAGAAAAGTTGTTTCAAATAAACGAAAATCTTTTTTTTACGTAGATTTGATGAGTCGAATTGCATTAACTCAAAGCTATTGGCAGTCTGAAATATTGTTTATCAAAATTGTGTCGGAAAACTTCAAAAAAACGAAAATTAACACTGCCGGCTAATTAGGAAGTCTTGAAACTTGAGCTTTCGCCAAACACTTCAATTTTAACGGTTCCTTTGTTGTAGTAAGTTTCTTGGAATATTATCACAATACTGTAGGAAAACTTTGACATAACCATACAAAAGTTATGACATTTCTTTCTTTATCACTTCGTTAACAAGAACTTTGAATTTTGATTGTTTTTCTACTCAAAAAAAGGAAGAATAATGTGTTCTGTATGCAGAATTCAGTAATCAGTGTAACAATATGTCCAGAACAAAAGCTTTTATGTTTTATGGTATTTTGATAACCCGATGCTATAATTTGGCGAAAGACCAGTACGGTAGATTTGGCGAAGGCACCGGTGATAGAAATTTACTATTCTGGTGAAGGCAGAGGTGTAATCGAATTTAAATTTCTGCTATCTGACTTCAAATGAAACTATGTTATCTCAATTTGAATAGATTTTTTTTCGAAAGATCCATAATAGAAACATCAAAATTGTTTTTTCTAAGTCTGAAAATGAGAAGCAAATAAAAGTAGCAAAATATTTATTTCAGTCGAATCCCTTTCACAAAAAATCGTTTATTTTTCTTCGTAGCAAGCACACTCTGAAGTTGGGCAATTTTTGGATGGATATACCAAACATTTATCGATACAGTGGACGTCAGCTCCCAACTTTCCTTTGTATTTTCCAATGGCCTCGCATGTGTTTCTGAAAATGAAATCTTCATCAGTACTTGCCACAAAAAAGTGATTTCACTGAAATTTTCGAAATTTCGAAGTACTGGATCTCAACAATTTATTCATTTTCTACTGAAACTGTGAAATACACTAAAACTAGAATTGAACATCCCGTTAGCCGTGAAAACTATTCTTATTAACTCGCCATATTCCTTAACAAGAAATTTTCATCTCTTGTCATGGGACATCTCTTGTCTCGTCCTTTGACAAGAAATGTTCATCTCCTGTCTTTTCATTTGACAAGGAATTATTGTCTTTTGTCTTGTTCCCTGACAAAAAATTCTCATATCGTCATATTTCTCAACAAAAAATTTCCATCTCTTGTCTTGTCCCATGGCAAAAGATTCTCAACTCTTGTCTTGTCGCTTGAACAGAGATTATCGTCGTTTGTCTTGTCCTTTGACAAAATATTCTCATCTCGTCGAATTCCATAACAAGAGATTATCACCTCTTGTCTTGTCCAATGGCAAGATATTCTTACCTCTTGTCTTGAAAACCATGGAAAGTTTCGTTTCTCTTTTTTCATCTTGTCTTGTCCCTTGACAAGAGATTATTGTCTATTGACAAGAGATTATCATCTTTTGTCTTGACGTTTGCCAAGAAATTTTCTCTCTCGTCTCATTTCTCAACAAGAGCTTTCATTTCTTATTCTTTAACAGAGATTCTCATCTCTTGTCCCATCCCTTGACAAGAGATTGTCATCTCTTGTCTTATTCCTTAACAAGAGATTATCATTTCTTGTCTTGTCCCTTGACAAGAGATTATTGTCTATTGACAAGAGATTATCACCTTTTGTCTTGTCGCTTGACAAGAAATTTTCATCTCTTGTCTCATTCCTCAACAAGAGGTTTTCGTTGGCAAGAAATTATCATGTCTTATTCCTTAACAGAGATTCTCATCTCTTGTACCGTCCCTTGACAAGAAATTATCATCTCTTGTCTTGTCTTGTCCCTTTACAAGAGATTATCATCTCTTGTCTTGTCTTGTCCCTTGACAAGAGATTATCATCTCTTGTCTTGTCTTGTCCCTTGACAAGAGATTATCACCTCTTGATCCCTTATTGGTCACCATTAACTGATGAAGCTACCGTGTAGCTTGTTAAACAAAATTTATTGTGGAAGTTCTGAAATTATTATTGGAAAAAATAACTATTATATCTTCCATTGCATTTTGATGTAATATCTGTTGTATATACTTTATAGTTCCACCAAGAACTTGTTTGTTTCTTTTATATCGCCTTTTGGGCACTAAATAATTTTTTGTGGTAATGTTGGCCATTCAGCGATCAATTTTTTCCTCCCCAGTATCAATACTTCAAACATCTACAACTACTAGTCATTTGGATGACTTAGATATACATTACCAGTACCAAAACAATCAAGATTTATCGCACTGATGAACATAATACGAAAAAATAAAACACTTACGGGCATTCACAAATATCCTTGGGGCAGTTGGGGGGATACCTCAAGCAATTACTCATGCACCAATCCCTAACACCAGGGATCTTCTTGTACAACCCCGTAGGGATACACATCTGGTCCCTGACCACCAGAGGCACCACGTTGTAAGGGGCGGGTCTCCTATGGTCCTTGTAGTAGAGCTGGTGGGGGTTCAGATTCTCGACGAATAGAGGTGGTACGGCGCCCCCCGTGCTGGAGTGTATTGCAATGTCTGCGCAGTTTCTGAAAGTCTCGGATTCACCGCATCCCTGGGCTTCGGTGCCGTTGGGGCAGGTGCCCCACTGGTTGCCAGTGTAGTAAGTCCACTGCATGACGCACTGGGTGCAGGTTACGTAGGGTGGGAGTTGGACTTGGTAACTGGAGAAGAGAGTCGAAATTATAATTTTATCTTATCTCATACTCTATGGCTTACATATTTTTAGTTGTGAATATTCCCATGAGGGAGATTTTTAGGAGAGATTAGTTTTTTAGTGAGGTTTGCTCTTCTCTGTCTTTAGTTTTCAGGAAACAGTTTACTTGGAAATGATTCTCAAAGATAAATATTCTTTTGGTTTCATAGTCGTCGCCATGTTCTTCTGATATTCAAAGTTGCTTTTTTCGGAATAGAAACAAGTTTCAAATTTCAAAATAATATTCTTTCACTTAGTATTCACAAATATTGTTACTGATATATAAACGAAGGTAATTGAAGTGTTTTGATACTGACAGAGTGAGTGTTTTCAGCTTATTCGACTTAAGCAATCATACATAAGTATAGAGGGTGAAATAAAATGATTTTTTTCACATTAGAAAATAATTCTGAATAGTTCTGTAGGGTGCTGCAACGTCTGAAGTGCAAATACCACTTTTAGGGCAATTTATATATCATGAGTCTCAACCTTCGAATTGGAAACCATACATAAGAATAGAGGGTAATGTAAAATCCTTTTTCTACATCAGAAAATAGTTTAGTATAGTTTTGTAGGCTGTTACACCACATGAAATACAATTTACACTTTAAGGCCAATTTGTACATCATAATCCTTATCTGAGTCTCAATTTCATATTGGAGAAGGAAGTTCAATGTGTGTTTCCAAAAAAGCATTTATACGAATTTTCATGTCCTTGTTTCATTCTTTGTCCAGAAAAATGTTCTCCTTCTTCAACAAATCTAATTCAAGGATCTAAAACTACAAAGGTGGTACATGGTTCAATTGAATTCAGTTATTTGTTGATAAGTAAAGGTAGAAGATGCTTGGAAAAAAATATAATTTTATGGTAGTTGAGTTTATTAAAACAAAAAATGAGCCTTTAAAGCCACATTTGTTGAAGTTGTTTGTCGCAAATCTCACAATAACGTTTCGGTTAGTAACAGTGGATCTCATATGTCAGTACTATTAATTTTAAGGATTTAAATTATACTGTATAAATTGAACTGTTTTAGAAATTCTCAAAACAAAGACAGAGTGTGACGAAATTGAGACAATGACTACGATGTATAAATTGATCTGAGAAAAAAGGTTCAATAAAAAAAAGAAGACAGAGAGTAGAGATATGGATTAAAACTGAATATTTATATTTTCATAAAATACCATTAATTGTGTTTTCCCTTTTTTGGGTTATTGCTGTGAAAAATTCTGAATAACTGATATCAAAAGTTGAAATAAATGATATTTCCAACTCATTGCTGTTTTTTAATTATCACGCTGTGTGAAATTTGGTTATATAAGATGTAATTCTAATCAAGCAAAAATTCATTTTGACAATATCTTCAGATTCTGCATATATTTTTTCAAGATAAATAGATGGAAACAAACACTCAAACAACTCACGAATTTATTTGCTTAATCAACAAAACTCCTCTGGCTCATTCCATATCATAAATTTAAATACTGGAATGCGAGATATTTGCATCTTGGTTTAATAAAGAATATTATATTTCTGAAATACATGCAGCGATTTCCATATTGAACGGGATAATTATTTATGTTCGTTATAGGACTAGAATTGGGTTGAATGACTCCTTAATCCATTAAATGGAATTAACATTTGGACTTCGGATTTTATGACTTGAAATTATTGATGATAATTGTTTGTTGTTCAACATGAGCTCAGTTTTTTTGTCATTAGTATGAGAATTATGTATACATTTGGCAATTAGGATTTGAAAGATGTCTTTGTTGATAATTTTTCCATTTTCCATTCTTTATTTTGAATGATATTTTTCACAAAAGAAAGAGAACGACAAAAATTAACTTATTTGTTCAATGAATTTCTTTAATCCAAACTTGTCTGTAGTTCGATGTTACTTGAAAATTTCGAATAAACATTTAAATACTAGAAAATGTAACTTCAAAAACTATAAAGTCCAAAGGGAACGGTCGAAAATGGTTTAAATAATCCTTTTTTCCTTCCCGCAGAAAGGAAAACTACAATACCGACGCTGTAGATGAAGAACTACTCGATTTAGTGACCTTTTTATGATTCCATTGTCATTTTTATCAGTAAGTGAATTTTTTGCAGTCTTCTTTCAAAGTGTTTTTAGTTAAAAAAAGCTATCTTAGCAGAGTATGAAAACCCCAATAATTGTCTCCGTCGTTGACCCCGTTAAATTAACCGCCAGTCAATGTTTCGGCTATCAATATGCAAGAAACACTCTTCATATATTGAATTATCAATGCAATGTTATATTCGATGCTCATTGGCATTCAATTAGTGTCGACAGGCGTTTCATTTCAACAGAATTATTGAGAGTTACTACATTCATGATCAGTATCGTACATTTCGATGACTCATTTCACTATTTTTGGGATTTTTCAAAGTAACCAATCCGTCGAATGTTACTGGTTGAGTACAAATCTAGTTTTTTTTTTTTCGTCAAATTCCCGAATATATAGCTGCCTTTCCAGAAAATTAAAGTAACTTGTTTATTAGATTCTACCGGAATTGTATTCAATTGAGTAAACGGTATCAAAATCTTCTTTTCTTAAATCCAGAATGTACCTATTTCAGTAATTGACAGAAAAGAAGATATTTTTCAATGTATTGTGTAGGAAGGATTGAAAAATAAATGAAGAAATTCTCAAAACTCTCTCACAAAGTAAAAAGAGTTTCATTGAATCTCCCTTTTACGTAGCATGTTGAGGCATTGATAAATAAGAAAGTAAGCAAAAACCTTAGCAATGTTCTTTTCAGATGGTATCCTTTAAAAAACTGTAAATAATTTTCATCGCAACGTTAGTTTAAAACGCCTTGTCAACTTCTTTTGTATGTTACAACACTAGATGTCAGTATTTTAATTCAAGCTATAAAGTTCGTTAACTTCAAGTCTGACAAATGGTTAGATTAACGGAAATGTATAAAAGAACAGTTTTACAAATGATTGGTTACGGAGATATTGTCCATATATTGTCGTTATTGTTCAAATCATCGACCTATGTTGCTCGCTGTTGACAGTGATTGCCTGGCCAACGTCGTTCTCAAAGAAATATGGACCGAGGACGTCGCTATCCCAAAATCCACACCAAGCAGTGACTTTTTCGAAGTGTATTGGACGCTTTTGGATCTCATGTGGATTGGTATCGTTCCAAGTTCGACAATTTTGTTTGTTCAGAGTTCAGAGTTCAAATAAAATATTAACTTAATGAAACTTCCAACAGAATCTAATAGGTTTAAAAAAACATTTCAATTGCATACTAATGGGCTCAACAGATTTCAGTATAATCATCTCCTGCCTTTCCGGTAGGTTGTATTCTATAACCTATATTATCTAGTCTTACTTGAAAACTGCTTTCTTCCTTCCATCGTCTGGTATCTGGAAAAAAACGTCTTTGGTGTTCACCAGATACAGCGGATGCTGATCAAAACATTCCTGCGTGGCCTCTTGAGCAGGATTGTTATTCGGGCAAAGTAACAGCTCAAAACGGCCCAAATGGTTAGCAGTAAGCTCGATTTCTATATCTATAATCTGACCCACACTGTAGTGTCTGCTGGTGACGCCTTTGGCAAACTGACCACCAGCTTCGTGGGGACGAGGGTCTTCCACGTGGTGTGGATCTCCACAGACGCCGCATTTTCCTTTGTTCTGCTGCCATTGCACTAGAAAAACGGTGGTTTAGGTAATGGTTTCAACATTGACTGTATTTTTTTGGTACATTGTTGAACATTATCATTGAAGTAGAACTTCTTTACGTGCGCTTGACTTGGGGAGTAAACGGAAGATTAGAGAGAGCTATAAGTTAGTGACGATAGAAAGAGGGAGAGTTGTTTCGTATATTACTGTAGGGGCAAGAACTAGACCATCAAGTAAAAATGAAATGAAAGTAAGTCATGCAGTTTCAATATACTGAAGGCTTATACAAAGCACTATGAGTTTCTATAGAATATACCTGCAAATCCACCACAAAACAGCTCATTATCGTTGTAGTTTATAGGAGTATGGAAACCAAATCTCCACATGGCATTTCTAGCAGGAGGATCCATGAGTCGTCCATGTCCCAGAACTAGTTCTCCCAAGCTGAGGGTCAGTAAGATAATTCCTAGTGAACGGATCATTGGAAAAAGGAACTATAGTTGGATCTAAAAATGATGATATTGATCAAATTCAGCAGTAAGGATGATTTTGTATCATTAAAACTAACACCACTTTTAAAGTGAACTGATTCTAATCATTCTCAACAACAACAGTGCATGTAATCTTAAATGATTATGCTAATTACCATGATTAAACTCAGCACACTCCTTAAATAACACGTTATTCTTTGATATTGATCAAGTTTTTGTAGTCAAATTAGAATATACGATAATGATTCGTTCAATTTAATGATAGTGTTGCTATCGTGCAAATTGAATTACATTATTACGTTACTTTTCGTCAATGTAAATGATATTTATAATGAATTTATTTTTGATTGATCATAAATTATATAAAAAATAGCTCAAATACATGCACGTGTTTATACAGTACGTTCGAAGGTAACGAAAACATTCGTTAGGAACTAAATAAACAATAATAACGAAAATTCTCCAGAAACAGGTTGTCTTTTTATTTCTATATACTCTTTTTTTGAAATAAATGTTGATGGTAATGAAACAATACCTGCTTTTATTATTAGGTGAATCTCAAAAATTTCAAGAAAGTTTCCAACATTGAATGATATACTATTGTATGTCTTCTATGAACTTTTTGGAATACATTTCCAATTTTTGAACGGTCCTTGAGAAAAAGTGTCTTTGAACGGAATAAGAAAGTATGAGACTATAGTGATATATCTAGAGCCTAAAATTTCTTTTTCAGACTCATAGTGAGGAAAATTTTGAAAGGTCATAATAGGCAGAACAGTTGAAAATCATTTAGTGTGCTGCTAATCTGTCACAAAGAAGTTCAACAACATTTTGCTAGAAATTATTCATATATTTCTGACTATTAGTTGATTGACTGTATAAAAGCAACAGATGGTTGGATGAATAATTGAAAAATTTGAATAATTGTTGAGATATCAGATAAACATATTAACAGACATGAATAACAATTGTACTGGTCTCTGATTCATGTTCTGAGAAGTTCAATAAAAAAGCAATGATTTATTCATGCAAGAAACGCAGTTAACTTGTACAAAAAATTCTCAACCGCAAATTTACAAATTCATATTGGATTTCTTATGAAGATTTTCTACAAAAATGTTGTGGAAGATATTTTTTATGTACCTATATAAAAAAAAATATCGAAATTTGATTGCAGAATACTTTTTTATTGGTATCTCATCAAACTTCTTTCATCAATAAGCAGTTCATTGTTTAATTTTTGTTGAATGATTTCATTTCATTTTTGATCAAAGTACGACAATGAATGTGAAAACAGTACTTTTATCTAATGAAATTTTCATTTATTTTCGAAAACTGATGCACTGATTTTCAGTGAAATGTATCAAATAAAATTGATCTATGAACACCAATTCAGAATCTCGTTTTCAAATTATCATACATAAACAGCCTTGGCATTTCAAGCAGGCCTAATTGACAAGATTAAATTCGAGGTGTGACGGACAATGAAAACAAAAGCATGTAGGATTCCCCACCCAATGAACAACAACCTGAAAATCCAGATTGAAAACAAAGAAAACGATTTTATGCACCTCAAACTAATAATAGGTGGGTTATCAGGATCCAAGGTTCAGTATTCGTAAAACGGCGTTATTTTTTCAGATTTTGATTATCTTGTTTTGATCGACAAGGAGCAGATCAAACCTTCAGAAAATATATTCAAAACAATGTGTTTATTGTCTGGCAAGTTTATCGAATTTGCATTTCAGGTCCAATGAATGTTTTGTCATATTTTTAATTTTCGATAACTTAACTTCGATAACAACTTAAAATCATACGTTCTAGAATTTGGTGGAAAGAATATCTGACTTTTCATAAGTTTTTGGTGAACATTGATGAAAAATCACACCTTTTTATACTTCAAAACAATTATAAAATCTTTGAAAACTAACAACCCCTATATTCACCACTTATAAAAACTCAACATCATACCTATGAAAATCATGTGAAGGACAAAATTTTAAAATCATTATCAATCAATCATATATTAAATTTTTTATCTTCAGGTTATCCATAAAAGAAGTGGAGTTTCTAGTATTTTCCATTGCAAAAATACGATAAATAGTGGAATACTGAATTGTTTCATTTCATATTTATAAAACAGTCTATAAAGTCTTTCAAGGCATCAGTTCAACCCAAATTACCATCAACACTGGTGTTCCCCAGGGATCCATATTGTTTCTAAACCACGCTTCATTGTATATCAACGACATATTGGAAAAAAACAAAGAATCCAATTTATTGCTTTGCTGACGACAGTACACCTGTCTTGTCATTCCACTTTGCACAGCTTCACCGGCAGCAGAAGGTTGCATCGGTTGCATTGGTTGCACTAAGGCATCGGTTTTCTCCAAAAAAATCAATGTTCCGAACCGGATATAATAATGTCAGAACAGACAATTACGCTTTCTGCTTCGATAAGTTTGTTGGGGGTAAAATAGGCAACAATATGTCTTGGCACAATCATGTCACTGGAACCGCAAAGGCTGCTTCTCACTTTGAATAGAAAAACCAAAAAGATTTTCGAGCTCTTTCCAAAAGACATGATCAATTCCTCAAATCACAACAGAACCTTATCGCTCGCATCGAAATATTTTTGATGAAGCAGGAAGTACATTAGCCACCGTGACCTCAAACTCCATCAATCATAAATAAACGAACACTCCTCAATTAATTTCAATAATTAAGATTTCAAACGTGAAATATTACGCGACTGGCAGCTTAGCATATAGAACAAAGACGTCTGACCTCTCACCATACCGCAACTTTTGATTCCAAAGTGCTTAACAATTTTTTTCACTCATTATGAACGGTTGAAAAATGTAAAGTTTATCGACCTCTGCGAGCCATCGAAGATGAGCTCGCCAATAAGAAGAAGAAGACCCTCATCAGCAGAAATGATAGTGGGCGAAATCCAAAGGCAAAAATGGAAATTCTCAACGGCGAGAGATAAGTTAATGGATTTCCAAGAATGCACGGTGATAATAATGTCAACAAACCTCTATACCTGCTGCTAAGTGATTGGAGGTAACCGGTTGAACCACTGATTTCCCCCCATGTTTTTGGAACTAATAACACGAAAGGGGTCGACCGAAACTACAGAATAAAAGATACAAACTCGAGCTTGAAATACACTCACGTGAAGTTCAGAAAAATATTGTTCTTATCATCGCCAGCCCTAATAATGAATACTGAGGTAGATATTTTTTACATTTCTGAAGGTTGTCGCCAATCATATTTCAATATTACGAGGAATAGAGTAAGAAAGAAGGAGTGAAAATTAATACAATATTTCCTCAAATATTTTTTTCTATCTTGGCTTGTCAGTTCCTACTAAGAACCGAAAAATACTGCACTCAAATCCACCCATCTTTGTGACACACACTTCAACAATATAATTACCTGTGGTAATTGGTACAGGAACCGAAAATAACGTTCACAGTAGAGATTGAACATGATGGTCAACTTCCCCTTCCCTTTATGTAATGCTTAAGCAGTCTCAGATCATTTTACTTCTTTGATTGACAACTTGTTTGTTTTGTGGAAATTCATGTTCATCAGTCAGATCATTTTAATAATACATCGAAAGGAAACATTTATATCACCTCCACTACACGTCAAACCATCATGCGAGTATTGAAAACTGTAATGAATTATTTTTATAGCAGAGTAAAAATAATTTGCAAAGCAGCGCTGAAAAGTTTGATAAAGAAGTAGCAGTGATAAAATCTGAAAAAGAACGCTTCTTCAGATTCGTTGGTCGACTCAACGTTCAATGCAATTGATAATAAACAGCTAATTGAAAATCAAGTCACTCTACAAACAGCAACGCCAATTCAATAATCAGCAACTCAACAATTACCGACTCAATATTCCAGAAATATCTGAAAAGATAAAACGAATTGGAACTTCTTACAAAACAAGTAAATACAGTATACTCCTACTAACGAAACCAAATGACACAAAAGAAATAACAAAAAATTGCATTTTTAAAATTACCGTGTTTCTTGTAGTGAAATTTATATTGTTAAAGCTTCAAGACCATTAGAAGTGCGCGAGAATTAACATCGAAATGCTTTCAGAAATATACAATAAACATGATCAAAATTGCCAGAAGTCATTTTGAAATCAGACGCTGAAGATCGAGTAGAATGGAAAATGATTGCTGATGAACCACACGCTCAAAGATTCAGAATATACTTTTATATCTGAAGAAAAGTGTATTTTAAACAGCTCCTAATGAATGGACCACCTGTCTTGAAGGAATATTTGGATAATGGCGAAATTGCAACAGAATAATATCAGAGAACACCTTGTACTACATCGAATGCTTCAGAAGTTAACCAATCAGTATCGGTGAATGTTTCGACTACTACTGCGGCAGGTATCATCAATGGAATATGCGTTGACTGCGCGGATGAAAGTTATGTCTCGAAGTCTCTCCAACGACTGGGTTACTAAGTTTTTGAATCCTTCATAACATTCTAGACACAAAGTGCCATCTCATTACCAAATGAATAGTCAGCAGTAGGTACCTCAATCGAATATATCCCTGTCTACCGAATAGGGAGGCGTGGATTGATGGAGTTGCCAGTACGATCCCCTGATTTGGTGTCATTAGACATCTTCCTATGGGTATAGGTGAAAAAAATGTATAAAATGATATTCCTTGATTCAGCAGACTTAGCACACAATAAACAGTATCACTGATTACTTTTTGAATATGTCAAAGCAAATATCAGTTATCAAATTTTCTAAAGTTGAATTTTGCAATAAATTCGAAACAACTGAAGATGTGTTGTACGATATTGTCAATTTTAAAAATTAAAAAATATACAGCGTCTTGCGTTCAAAGCAAGGAAGTTAATATTGGCCATTGTTACATGACAAACCCTGTATAAAAAGTTTTTGTTTTTAGCGTTTTTTGATATTTTGTGTGGAATTCTTTATTTCATAACGGAAAACATTGAAAGTGCTGTTTTTTAAAGAAACGAAAAATTAGACTTTTTATTATCATTCATCAGAAATTCAAAAATTTTTGATTTGATGATTTCAATTTCTTTATCACTCACAGTTTAGAAAAAATATCATTGGTTTTTTATAACCAAAATATTATATGCACATGAAAAAAATCCATACAGGGCTTTATGTTGAAAAAACATCCGTTCCAAAAAATTAAAAATATTCATGTGTATTTTTGTTTTTCGCATCTTAATGAGCATAAAGATTGTTATTAGTGTGGTATAACAATTTCATTTTCATACTTTGGTTAATCCACCAAAAATATCGCCTGTTTTTTGAAAAAGAAAAACTTGGACTGAGTTAGAACAAATACTAATAATTCAAGAAAATGTTTCGGAACCAATGAAGAAAAAACTTTGGTGTTTAAAAATCAGGAGTAAATGATTAGACTTGCGGCTCTTGCCCAAACGTTATATTGGCCAAACGGAAAGAAATGTTTCCCAAAGAATGAAAGAACATAGCAGTAGTTTCTTGAATATTGAGACTACATTTGTAAATCATGAGTTCAATCACGAATATGAGGTGTTATGTTCAGAAGAAAAAACTTTTGAACTCAATCTTTTGGCATGCTTGAAAACCAGTTAGTTTGAGAATTGGGAACATTAACTTAATGACCAAACGGAATTGAATAATCCATCACATTTTTTTTTAAATTTGCAGTTTGTTGGTACAAAAACTTAGTTGAATTCAAATTGAAAAGGACATAGTTTTATGAGAAAGTAATTTTTTGGAAAAAAAGGTTTTGGATTATTACTTACTTGAATTTATTTTATCTCTAATCTATTTCATTGAGTTCGCTTGTTAAATTAGTTTCCTATTGTTTGAATTGGTAATTATTTAAGAAAAATTCAGTATTACTTGAATACGATTTTCCACTTATTTGAACTACTATTTTACCAAAAAAAAATTCCAAGAAGAGAAGCTCATTATTCTCATAGAAAAACAATCGAGCATCCCCCATAAGGTACTCACCGATGTGTGCTAGTATGTCACTGTCCAAAACGGTCGAAATTCAAGTGGACACTGTCGCGTACTCTTCAACAGCGAAGAACGTGGACTCTCGATGGCCCGTTGAAGCGCGGTCCTTGACGAGTGTCTAGGTCGAGCTCGGCTTTCGGGAAGGTCGTCGCCGAGACATCAGCCCCATTGAATTCCAGCGCCAGCAGGAGCGCGACTCGCAGGAAAACTGGCAGGAAGCGAGGGTAGGCAACACGTCGTGCGCGCGCGTGAGTTGTGTGTTGCGACGATGGTTTTTTAACCAAGGCGACTTATCCAAGAAGGAGCCGATAAAGTATTTAATCTACGAGGATGAGCCAGAAGTACCCGGTCCAACAAAGAAAATATTTGATCAGAAAGTCATACGATACAGGGGAGAACATTTCAAACTATAGGTATGAATAAAAAAGAAAGAAAAAATACAAAAGTAATCAAAAATGTTTTCTATTGAATACTCCTACAAAACACAAATGTAAAAGTGAGTTCCTCCACACTAGATGTATAGCTCACTTTATGAAACTTTTTTCTAATAAATTTAATACATGCATGCTGCTCTTTTATGTAGAATAGTACAGGTGCCTTCAAAAGTATCTGAATTTGCCTTACTCTAACGACAGAATCAAAAGTAATACTAAAAATTAAATAATATTCTCAACTGAAATGTTAATTCTAACGTATACTTTCTAACACAGTTACAGTTTTTCTTCCACCTTCAGTTCCACCAGCTTCTCGCTAGCCTCCCAGATATCGTTGCAGAACTTCTCGTTCCAAGCGCCAGGTGGAGCTGGAAACATCCTGCAGTCCCAAAAATGTCTACCAGTAACCCCTTTCAGTTGATTGGACACAGCCAAGTGAATTGTGGTCTGAGCGCCTTCTTCAATACTCTACAACATAAAAAAAATGCTACAGTGTGTCTCTCGAAAAAAAAAATCAGGTTCAGTTCTAACCTTTCCGTAAAAGAAGAGAATGACGCTCCGGACCAGACTTGCAACGGTTTCCAGACCAACGAACTTGGCGGACTTCATGAAGATGTCAGTATTGACCATTCCTGGATGCAGAGAGTTGCTTGTGACTCCAAATCCCTTCAGTCTTTGGGCGAAGCCATTTGCAGCAATTACGTTGGCAAGTTTGGAGTTAGCGTATATCAGTGAGGTGCGGAAAAGATTCAAGGGGTGACCCTTGGGGTAGTTGAGGTTCTCCACGCTTAAATTGCTGCAGAAGGCGAGAGCTGAGCTTACGAATATCACTCTGCTTGGGGCGGATTTCTTTAGCAAATCTGTGAATCGAAACAAATCGATCAAAAACCATTATCAGTCTGTTATATCTATACAGGGTAGCTACTTGAAAATGAAACGTTTATTCTGACTCATTCTGAACGCAAAGTATGAGATATCGGTCTTGTTTTTCACTTTGTCCTGTATAATGCACAGAAACTGGATGCAATTATGGATATATTGCAATTCTGAAGCTGGGAAACAATAAAAATCGAGGGCAGACTTTCCAAATTTTCAGAAGTTTCTGTCTTAACCTCAACAGCTAATTCATTAAAGAGGTTTGTATATAAATATGTCGGAGCTTTCTTTTTTATCTGGGATTTATAATTCTAACTGTTCTGTAGTCAGGATAGATTCGATATTTTTTGTAGTACAACAATCTTAAAAATTTGCAGCTAGACAGCTTGAGTACCTGAGAACTGAGAGCAAGTCATTAATAAACATAACAAAGAGCAAGGGTCCTAAATCGGATCCTTGTGGTACTCCAGAATTAGCTTCATATTTCCCCGGAGTATTTCCATTATGCTTAACCACTAAAAATCTATTTTCAAGATAACTTCCGAACATTTTGTAATTGTATTTGAATTCCTTTAGGTTTTGCTTTTCTTCATGTCTATCAGTATTTATATTGTAATATCCAAGGCAGGATGATAAGCATCCTGTATCCTGTATTGGAATGGAATCTAAGTGGATTTTTTTCATTAGGAAATAGTTTTTTTATCAATAATTTTGAAAAACGCATTAATTGGTTAAGAATCGAGCCTTAAACAGGTGTGATTGTGGTTTGAATCCAGGCAGTTTTTTTTAAATGATCACTGACATTTCCTGGAGAAGTTATTCAATATTTTTCAATTCTATTTGAAGAAATTGATTTTTCGAAAATGGTTTTTGAACGGGAAGGTTTTGAATGCCTGCGTGAAATGTTGAAGTTGTCTATTATTTTCTTACATTCTACCGGCCTTTATTTAAATGATCAATTGATTTTTTTCAATCCTATTGAGTTTCTGTCCCAAATATCCATCTCATCTTCCATTGAGCATTCAATTTTTCCCTTAATATGAAGTAGTTTCCACGGAATTAAAACCTTGTACACTTACCTGCCAGCAAATGCGTCAATAAAAACGGCCCAAAATGATTAATCTGCATGGTGGCATGTAGACCGTCATCAGTATATTTGTTCCCCTGACTTCCCACCCCCGCATTATTAATCAGAATGTCCAGCCTGTCCTCCGTGGCGTTGATGTCTTTGGCAAACTTCCTCACAGACTGTAATGACGTTAAATCGAGTAGCTTCGTTTCAATGTTGGTGTTGTTTGTTAAGGATATTATTTTGGATTTGGCTTTCGAAGAGTCGGTTCTGTCCGCTATTATAACCCTACATCCCCTTGAGGCTAGCAACAGGGCTGTTTCGAAGCCAACCCCTGGAACAAAATGAGCATCGATATATTTGTTGAAAATTGTGGACCAGCAGAATTGATGCAATAATCAGGGCAAGTCTGGAATATATATAGCGTATATATTTTGTTAAGTGTTCTATGAAACTTAAGAATCGAAAGATAAGGATCAAAGTATTCGTCATCTTACTCAAAACTGCTGAAAACAGAGGTTGAATTCATTATTTTCCAGTGTTCACTTTTTCAAATCAATCCGTGAATCTAGAACAACAAAATTGTGGATAGTTCTACATTTTGATAGAAACCTCGAATGGAATGATAAGTGATCAAGTTCAAGCCTTCAAAAAGAATATCTGCTGATTTTTTCATACTCGTTTCTCTGTTTTAATAGTAGTTTCTACTTGTAGAATATGAGTAAGACCATTTGTTAGGATTTATAGTTGTGAATAATTGTGTAATTCTCTCCTACTGATGATAACTCAGATGATGCTTTCGTCAAATAATTCAGTATTCAGAGTAATTTTCATGAGTTTTGAAGAATATTTGCTGTCAAAACTCACTGATACAATTAAAAGCACAATTCAATTTCTTTTGACCACATTTCTGATTCATAAAAACCAATATAAAGTTTTCGAAACTAATCGCTTTTCGAATCTGGAAAGGAAATGTTTCATTTTGATTCAAAGCCTTTGAGAGGTTCAGAAAATCATGGACACTAACTGACATTCTTTGACTTTTTATGCATTACAACAAATTTCAAACAATGCGAAAATCAAGCAGAGGAATTATATTTGTTGCGTAGACTGAGATATTGGATAAACTTAATGAACTGTTGAAGTATGTTTCAAAGAACATAGTGCTCGTATTTGCTATGACACACAAGAAGGGTCTGGTTGTTGATCGGAAAATACTTTGTAGAATACTTGATTTCTCAAACTTCTACTTATTTCTTGAAAAAATTCATCTAAAATTTCTATAATTTTTCTTTTCAAAGTTTCAAAACAAATTTTTGGAGTAAAAATTGCAATTTCACTATACAATTGTAATAATTTCTGCAATTTCGCTTGCAGAAACAAGCATATTACAAATGTAAGAGAAAGCTCATTGAAAAGTTTCATATAAAACTCTAGAACTTCAACTGAAATTCCACACGAATAAACAACCAGGATGAAGAAATTGAAGAACAGTTATTGACGGTAGGAATTTTTAAAAGCACATCTTTTCAAATAGCTGCAGTAAACAGTTGGTATTGCCTGAGAAAGAACATGTTAGTAAACTTTCCATGCATTAGTATTATTATTTTCAAATGCTTATCAGTTGGGAAAGAGATCAATAATTCTACGTAGATGAACAATGTTGTTTTTGCCAACCTTTCGGACTTTATTGAATGATGATGGATTTAATGAAGTCCGAAACGTTGGCAAAAACTGAACTGTTCATCTACGAATTATTGCAAATTCTCAAGTAAACCTTTCAAAATATTCCGGATGCTGCTTGAACAATTTTTTCAACTTGTGACATTTCAAAATCAAGCGTTGTTAGAAAAAATGAAGCCCGAAACTCACCTGAGCTTCCTCCTGTCACTATGGCAGTTTTCCCCGTCAAACAAACCAAGCTTCTCACCCTGCCAGCACTCAGCTTTTGGAAAATTTTGAGGAAAATCAGAGCAAAAACAGGAAAAATGGCCAGCGCAACTGCAAAGATGATATACTTCAAATAAAATGGATAACTATACACAATCATCTTCAATCTTTCTGTAGCACTTCACTCTTGAACACCGTAGCATCAACTGTAACCAGTCGCTATCCGGTGAAAGTATTAATCTCTCGAAGAAAGTGAAGAGTTCACCAAACCGTAAACCGGAGAAATGGGACTTGATACAAAGGCGTTTAGAGGTGGATATGTGGGATATGACATACTTTCTTATTGATGGAGAGGTGAAGAACCATCGTGCGTCTTTATGAGGATGTTGATATATTCCTCGGAGTTTTTAATTGAAGAGAACGAAGGATGTGCATGTTTTTGTTGAAATGAACTCAATAACTGGTATCTTTCTTTGACGGTCATTGACACAAATAATGTGTTTGAATTTGAAATTTTCCAAGGCATTTGCATAAATATTTATGATGAATTTAATATAACTATTATAGAAGCTTTGACTACACCAGAAGTTTCTCATTGAATGAAAAAATTGAAAAAGTTTTCATCTTCAAGAGGAAGATCAAACAGTTTGATCTTCCTCTTGAAGATGATCACTTGGTGATCGAAACACGTGTCGAGGTCTTAAAAATAACGATTTGGTGTTGGGAAAAAACTGCAGTAATATTTATGGTGACAGTAAACTTTTGAATAATTGCTTCACCAATATTGATATACATTTTACAAAGTCGTTGATAAAAGTGGATTGGAAATTGCTTCAACGTCTATATGTATTAACATAGCCACTCCTCAACAAAATAGAAATGAGATATTTCACGAATAATACCAACAAGTGAGTAATGAAAAGTAAAAATTCTTTACGAAGAAAAATGACGGGTTTACTCAGAAAAGATGTTGTACTGAAATACTTTAAATTTTTTCCAAAATCTTTACAAATTGTCAACAAAACTGAATTAGGTTATACAAACATTCTTAGAAGAAACTCGAAATTTGAAAGGCATATGATTCAGCACGTCTCTAATGATCAAACTAATGAAAACCATCCGATGGTAATGAATAACAAAGAACAAATTCCTTTCTGGTTGAATCGACAAACACCCATTGTACCAAGCTGTTAATTTGTTGCAATTAGAATAAACCACCCAGCCATGAAGATGGAGAGATATTCGTGGAAGCACACGCTTCCTTTGCCCTTTATTTTGACCCACATCCTGAATTCGCCGAGAATAAATCATAGGAGTGCCGATAAAGGAATTGGCCATTAGACGAATCAATCGGTGAATGATGGATTCACCACATGAAATGGGTAACTAGGGAAATGCGGGGATTTTCCAGGGCGTAAGGAGTGACTGGGAAACGGATTACTTGCCTTAAATTCATAGACTTCTCGTTTGTGGGTGAAAACGTCATAAACGCAGAGAAGGCATTTTCTAAAACAGAAAATCGTCAATACAGAAAAGTAAATTCAAAATGTTAGCAGGAAATTGAATTGATTTGAAATCCTGGTTCAGTACTTTTTGGAGCAGATGTACATATTATTATTTCCATTTTATTCTGTTTTCTATTCTTTCCATTCGTATTCTTCATATTTATTGGGTAATGTTGCATACTTTTCCAGTTATTGTTATCGTTCAGGTTTCTATCCAACTTTATTGTTATCGTTCAGGTTTCTATCCAACTATTATTATCACGGCAAGTTCCAAACTTACTATTCTTCTCTCTCGTATTTCTTCACCTCCTTTAACGGTACGAGGCTCAAAATGCACCCTTGTTTCACCCCCAAAACTGCCTCATATGCCTTCCGTGTTTCCTTTTTTTGTATACTTTCCATTAGTGGTGTTGGCTTTCCTTCATCTAAAATTTTTTCCAGATCTATAAAGTCCAAATGTATTTTTGAATTCTCCTTAACTGCATATTTTTCACATCATTATGAAAATTGAAAAAGTCATATCCCTGGTCTAGAATCGAATAGAATCTTTCAAAATACTTATATGTAAGTGCGAATTTTTCAGATTTTTTTAGCTACTTCATCGAAATTTTTGAAGAGAAAGGAATTTTGCTTTTGAACTGGTTCAGCTACTATGAAAGCTATATTTTTTTGTAACTTTTTTTTGTTTCAATCACTTTCCTCATTTTTTATGTCTGTGAATTGTTTCTAGTTGTAATATGTTTGGCTACAGTTCCTTTTTTTCCAACTTCCCCGCCTTTTTTATACTCATAAAGATGAATATTACCTTGGATTATCACGACGAAAACGAAGCCATGGACAATAATGGAAAAAACAACTAAGAGTAATCTCAATAAATAATTGAGAAATGTAGTTAATTAATAGTTTCCACAAAGGAATTCTCAACAGAGTGAACACAGGAAAAAATATAGAAAATCAATATATTGATTAAGGAAATTGATTAATGATAATTACTATTATAATACATAATTTACAAAACTGGGTCCTATAGAAACGAAATATTTTTTTAATCAAGTTTCATAAATGTTCAGTAAATTTTCCCTTGGGATCCATCACCAACGACAATTACCATCAGTATCACTTTCCGAATGATGATGATAATCATATTACGTAGCCACTGGATTTTCCGCTTCATAATTCCTAACAAGTTTACACTTGTGGGGCTTCATCATGTCATTAGCGGCGGTACACCACACATAACAGGATACCAAAATTCTCAAGGGGTCATTTGAAATGTTCACTAAAATCTGAGTGCTATTGTTACCGTTCATATTATTCGAATATGACAACTGATGAAGCTACTGTATAGCGAAACGCTCCTTAAATAAAATTCACTGCGAAAATTCTATAGTCAGTATCAGAGATAGTGTTGATGATTTTCGTGATATGATATCCTTATAATACTTTTCAAATATAATACTAAAAGGAATGTTTAATGTCTAAACAGGAATAAATCCCAATAACAAGACATATTAATATTATTAACAAGCATGTTACAGTTTTATATCCGCCTATATACACACAATACACATACATATATACATACATACATACTAATTTATCAACTAGAAACACCTGAAGCGAGTAAACAAAAAATAAAATGAAGTAAACAATTAGAAGAGTTAAGAAAAAAAATAGGTGGAACACTTGTGTGCAGCAAGCTAGGAGAGTAATTAAAAAAAACCATAAGTCAGATATAGAGCTTACAGGTAAAAACATAGTTCAGGTGTATTACAAAAAAACATAATTCAGCAGTAATACAGTAGTAGTAATAAGCTCACATGGTAGAATAACTTTCAATTTGGGCTCATGTATTTTGACTAGAGTGTAAAAGTTTCTCAACGTGGTTCTTAACTTGACCAATAGGTTCATAATAAATGTCGAGATTTTCACAGAGTTGATTATAAAGTTTGCTCATTGCAACACTGGTGACTTGAGTAATATGTTTGTTCTAGAATTTGGTAGATAAAAAGTCAGTTCATTTCTAGAATTGATTCGTGGAACGTGAAAGTTGAAGTGGGAGAGTAGTTCGGGACAGTCAATCAGATTATTCACTAGTTTATAAATGAAAATTTTAGAGTAGTAGTTTCTTCGGTTTTGAAGGGATATTAGATTAAATGTATTCAGTAGTATTCTGTTGTCGATGCCTTGTTCAGGGTAAACTCCTTGTAGCTTGTAACTAATATATTTCATGAAGCCTCTTTGTATAGACTCGATTTTGTTTATGTGGACATTGTATATGGGTGACCATATGAGGGAGGCATATTCCGGCCGAGATTTGACGTATGCATTGAAAAGAGTTAAAAAACTGTCTCTGTTACGAAAGTTCTTACAGTTACGATAAAAGAGCCCTAGCATCCGATTGGCTGAGCATGTTATTGTGTCGGAGAAACTCAGTTTAGGGTCAAATGTGACACCAAGATCCCTTTGATGAGTGCTTATTTGAAAAGGTGTGTTATTTATGCAGTAATCATGAGAAATAACATTATGTTTAAGGGTGTATTTTGAGTATTTACATTTGTTTGTATTGAGGGGAAGATTATTTTCGGTACACCAATTGTACAAAAAGTCAAGGTCTTTTTGTAAGATTAAGCAGTCCCCCTGTGATGTAATGGGCCGAAAGATTTTCAAATCATCTGCAAAGAGTAAGAAATTGCTAGAGAGAGTATTTCCTTTGTCGTTAATGAAGAGTGATTTCAAAAGAGGTGCTAAATTGCTTCCTTGAGGGGCACCACTGTTTGCAATAAATTGGAACGACTTGTGACCCCTATAATGTACGAATAGGATACGTTCAGTTGAGTATGAGCGGAAAAGGTTTAAGAGTTGGGAGTCGAATCCATATTGGTGAAGTTTATTGATAAGAATGTTATGATCCAACTTGTCAAACGCCTTCGAGAATGTTGTGTAGACAGTATCTACTTGTAGGTTATTATTAAGTGCATTACTTACTGATTGTGTGAAGCACATTAAGTTAGTTATAGTTGATCTTTTGCTAAAAAAAACTATGTTGATTGTTTAAAATTAAATTCTTAACATCAGGAAAGATTCTGTTGTACAAGCCTTTGCAAAGTTTGATAACAAGGTTATAGGTCGGAAATTTTGGATATTGTTCATGGCACCAACTTTGGTAATTGGGCAAATTTTTGATATTTTCCATTTGTTACGAAAGCACCCTGTACTTAGTGCTAGATTGAAGATTGTCTGTAATGTTATGGCTAGGAGGTGTGCACAATCTTTAACGAAAAAGCTAGGTATGTTATCATCTTCGCTTGTGAGTTTTGGTTTTAGTTTGTTGAGAGAATTGCAGATTTCAATAAGTTAAAAATGTTTTAAAGAAATGATAGGATTGTTTGAGGTAACATTCGTGTGTTCATATGATTGTAGGGGTGGAGAATATGCACTTTCAAAAAATTATGCGAATGCATTAACGATTTCGGAGGCATTGTTGTATGCAACATCGTTCCAGAATAGAATACCAGGAGTTCTTGATGTACCTTTCTTATTTTGACTGTACGACCAGAAATTCAAAGGATCTTCTTTGATTGCCCTTTCAGATTTATTTTCATATTCTCTGTATGCTAAATTGATGTTTGTTTTGATGGATCGACGAAGAGATCGGAATTCTTCTTTGAGAATACCTGAGTCTGTAGTTTTCAGTTTTCTAAATACTGATAGTTCTAGGTGAAAAACTGTAAACGATAAAATAATGGTCTATCAATTAACAGCCCTAAAGGTTGGAGTTTTTCCCATTCAATTGTCTGTCCTGCACGTCGAAGCATAGAAATATTTTTCATCGAGACAGGCAATTGCAACAAAACCTAGATAGAATTAATCGAAAACCTTTTCGAAAATTCCAAACACCCGCCACTGCCGGAATAACAATTCCAACACCAGCACATTTCGCATCGATCAGTGCCTATTTCCATACACATCTTAGTACCTGCACTTAAAAAGTTTGTATCGATTGTTTCCTAGCAATTTCTGAGTCACTTCGACCCAACGTAGGGAAGCGCAGTTCACCGTCCACCCACCAGAAATCAAGCACGCGGCGACAATGTTTTGTTCGATTTTTGTGCACTGAAGCCTGAAGAGGAAGCGGAAAACCGCGTTGTCACATGCATCGAGAGCAAAATGTATTCGGGATTAGTCCTAGCAACTGTTTTATCAGTGATCGCGAAAAGTGATGGGGTCAAGCAGGTACTTCGGCTGGAAGGAGACGTCAAAGTCGCCCTGCTGTTGGAGAACTGCAGGAACGACACCGAAGCAGTGCCTTACAGGCTCCAATCCCTGGTGTCTTCTTCCATCTGGACCACGGAGCGCATCAACTTCTTAGGAACCCTGGCACCTCTGAAACTGGGGCTTAGTGTGTACGAGACTTGCACTGGCAGTGACTACTTCAAGACCATCTTCCACCTCTACGAAAGCGATGACTACCTGCTGGGGCTTGTACATGAGGACAGGCTGGATGATAAAGTGCTGAAGTTCTGTGAGGCCCTGGATTTTCGGACTAGGCCTACTGCGAGGTTCCGAGGGTTCTTGTTGAAGGCTGGAATTCAGTTTTTGAGTACACTCGGTTGGGTGGAGAATGTCACGGTTTTTGCGCCAGACGATGATGTTATGAAGGAGTTTTATTTACACTCCAAGGCTGAGTTCATTTGTATCCAGGAATGCGTTGTCTATGAGTGAGTATTGAAGTCACTCTTTCAAGTATGTTTCTTTCAAGGTAGCACGACAAGTTATACACAGTAAAAATCAGTTTCATTGCATGGAACTCGCTTTATCTTATCTCTCAATGAAATATCTAGCGGCATAACTTTAATTCATTTATTGCTGAGCCGTGCTCAATTTTTTTTCGGTTCAGTTTACCATTCCAGCAAACATTCTATATTTTTGCAGATATTTTATTGCCACTTCATTTTGAAAGAATATTTTTGTCCCTCTGCGAAAAAAAATACTTCTGTTCTTCAAAACACCTCTTTCATTTATCACCGGTTCAAATGATATATAGATAAATATAATTTGCTGTCTTAGAACAACAAATAAGCAGGAACCAGTCAACAAATTATGGAATTCGCTAAAACTTTTTTGTCAACCATTTGTTTCATAATACATGAAAATTCTATATGAAACTTTTGTAAAAAAATATGAAGTCATGACTAGAAATTAAAAATTCCTCATAGCAAAGTTTCAATCTGAAATTCTTAGAGGGTATAATGTGACTTTTTTTGTAGACGCTTCAACAAGTTTCCTGGATCCTCTCATTTGGGGTGACATTTTTCAATTCAAAAATAGTGTGTTTGTGAAGCTTTTCACTTTCTGAGAACAGTGTGTTTTGTCCTTAAAAAAACAGTGAATTTTTTTATGAAGTTGACTATGGACAAGAAGTAAATCTCCATTTGTTCTTTGCTAAGTATCAAAGTTCAAAGATTCTTGGTACCCCTTTGGATTATATTTCGTAAGAATCAGGCTCACGAAATCCAGAATTAAAGTACTTGTGACAATCAGAATTCTCTGTTTCTCTCATAGAAAGTTGTTTTCACGATTATCAGGGCCCAGCGCTGCATCAATAATAAACAGCTCGCTTTTGCGAAACAAACATCGAGTGAAAAAAAAAATTACTACTGAATCCTCAAAATACAATGCTGCATCTATGCCAAAGAATAGTTTTTTTTTGCCATGGTTACGTTCAGTTCGCTTGAGAAACCCCTATAAAGTACTCTGATAGCAATTTTTTGAGTGGCAATTTTTTTATTCAGTTCCTCATTTTTGAAAAAATCTTAGAATTGTTGATATTTCTTATTTATTACGACTGAAACGTTTAGTTTTGAATCATCAAAGTCAAATTTGGAAGTGACGAATTTAAATTTTTCTCTATTGAAGCACAAATCATCCAAATCTACTTACAGATATTTTTTCCATCAAATTTTTCTAAAGCGAACAGTTTTGACAATTTCAACGCTCATCATTTAAACAAGTTTATTTGAACTGGCATCGTGAACATTTTTATATCGATTCTATTTCAGTACAATTTTTCAAACTCAAATCGATTTTTAATGAATGCAATCACTAACATTCAGCTAATCAGTGTTGAGACTAAATCAACATTTTCATACTTACACACCTCAAACGCAAATCATCACATATTCGTACGCTCTCTACTTTCTAATGACTCATAAATTAATTAATGAACCCATCCATCTAATGCAGGTGGTAAACATCCTGTGTTGTGAACGTGCACTTCCATTTGGATTATGTTGTTTCAAAAAAGTTTTGCCAGTTTCATTGTCATTTGTTTTTGTAGCTCCATATCTCAATAAATATTTGTTCTAATCTGTCATGGCATATACCGATCGATCACATCCACCTTTTCAGATAATAGTGATGTTTGGGGTGTCGTAACATCAAATTCTTCTTGGTTTCTGCCACTTCAAGCTTGATTTTTTCCAGACCTCCATTGAGATTCAAACCCTCATTGGCAGATAATCTTCGAAATCCAAATGAAAAGAAGAGAGAAGTCCCTTCCCAGCGGCAAAGCAAAATATTGGATTTGTAGTCTTTTCTAACAGATCGTTGATTCATAATAAAGAAACTGAAGAGACAGTTGAAATTCCTTATTTGAAAAAAAATTACACAGGAAGATCTTGTTTCCCAAAATACAATTTGCATTGAGTCTATGTAATTCCTGTCAATATGATGTTCTATTGAAAACTCATATGAAAAGTAAAGAATATTAATTTTGTTGTTACAGGAATAACTGCATTCTTAACATTAACAGTACAAATCCGTTAGTTTTCATTGGCAATCAACAACAAATCGACCACTTCGTGAAAAGTCAAGACTGTTGTAGCGGCACCGACGATATACAAATTCTCTTCATACCCTTGGATGGATCTTTTCCGACAGGTGGGTCGCAGAAATAAAAACACCCATAGACTCAGTTATATTCATTCATGAATCAATTACAGATCTTCCTCCAAGGAGCTTCGTGATCATGCCCCCACACAGCCCCCCATCAAAGACCTACCAGCACCCAGACAACATCCTGCCATCTCCAGTTCTTTTCGAAGCAGCAAAACCTTTATTGTCATATGCAAGTAACATTGGCAAGTTCCTTGAGAATAACTGCAACGAAACTCAATACAAGCTCAACTGCCTCAGGAACAAATTCCGAAAAAACTTTCGGCCTCTCCTCATATCCCCCACTGGCATTCTTGAAGCTTTGAAGATAGAACCTCTGAGGGAAAATTTCGTGTACCACATATACAGGGTTGAAACTGATATAAATATTACAGCGGTGCAGTCCCTACCCCTGTCTGTAGTATTTTCCTATGGCGTTTTTGACGGAAATTTGACCCTACTGGATCATAACTTCGACCTAGGCTTCAACCGCTCTTTGGCAAACACCACAGCAAAATGTATGAGCTTCTTCTCTGGAGGTCACTTAAAGTATGATTTGATCCCGAATGGAGAATTCAATTTCAGAACCGAAGCTTGGGTGTATGCCTTTCTGTCTCTATCCCTCCTTGGAGTACTTTTCTGCATCGTCATCCTCACCTTCCTCTTGATCTGCATATTCAGAAGAGACATACTCGAAGGGAACCCTATCCTAACCCTATCGCTGCTACTGGCCGTAATGGTGCTCTTCTGCGCCGTCTTACCATTCAGTCTTGAGTACGACAAGTTCACCAGCAACGCGCTCTGCATGGCCAAAACCCTGGGAATCACTCTAGGCTATGCTTTTGTCTTCTCTCTACTTCTATCGAGATGCATTCTCCTAGCGACGTCTTCTAAGGAGATAGGCTTCATGTCGCACATAGCAGGGCCTGTCCAGGCTTTTCTCTGCTTGTTTATCTTCGGCGTGCAAGCCGCATTGAGCCTCCAACTCATCAGCAAGTGTCTAGAAGTGTACAGATGCCGCTCCTTCATATACCTCATGAGTTACAACGTCATGCTTCTTCTACTTCTTCTCTGTCTTTGCCCGCTGATCTACAAGTGCCAGAGGAACTATAGGGAAGGAAAATACTTCACCATAGCTATAGTTCTCACCACTTGTTCTTGGAGCGTTTGGGTGCCGTTGTTTGGGGTTTTGAGCGAAGAGTGGAAGGAACCGATGCTGTGTTTGGGGCTGGTTTCTACGGCGGCGATCTTTCTGGGAGCTGTTTTTATTCCTAGGACGTACTTGATGACGATTGCTGCTGCCAGGGATAAGATTACTAGCACTCTGCCTTCTCTAGCTACTGGAAATAGCACTCTGGATATATACAGGGCGAATGTGCAGGTAAGTTTTGTATAGTTATCTATGTCTAGTTTTCAGCAGGTTGAATAAAAATAGAGGCTACTTGAGAATTTCATCTCAGTGTGGATATTGGTAATCATCAACTGATATTACTTTGTGCTAATTGATATAATTACCAAGGCATGCAAAAACTTCTTCACTTTATGATATAATAAATAACATCTAATAATTAGGACACCAAGTATATTTGATTGGGATCTTGCCTAGTCGTATCGCCAATAAGAAGTGAATAAATGAATAAATATTAATATCAAATACAGAATATGCCTTTCTAAGTTCAATAAGTTGTCTAGAATTCGTATGAGGTTCTGACGACTAACTTTTGTTTTTCTATTCAGCCTATCTATGACTGCGTTAATGTAGCTGCAATCAACGCCGTGGCAGTAGCCAGGGCCGGAGTTACAGCCCCCACGATGCAGACCATTCAGCAGCCGGACCTGTATTCATGTCCAGCCCTACCAGATGATGACGACTTTGATTTTAGATGCGATACTCCACCTACTACAGATAAGATAACTAGATTTTAGCAATTATAGATTTTATACAAAATAAGCTGATGAGATGAGTGAGATTTTCGATGTAACACAAGAAAATCTCTTTCGAAAGAAACGAAAGGCACGTTCCAATGTTTTAGTGAACTTCATGAATACTGAGAATGTTGAGGAAGCACATTTATCCTTGTTCGGATGGGATGTCAGTCCTGAAATATGTCTTCTAAGTAATACTGTCACTATATATAACTCTCATATTTTAAATTCAGTCATGTACTTAAGATTGAATCTAGGTATAACTTTTCAGATATTATTAACCGTAATTGAAGACTTGCCCTTTGAAAAAATATTAGTTGTAAACTTGGTGTATTTTTCACTTTTATGGAATATTCAACAATTTTTTCCACCTTCCCAGCAGGATATTATTCTGAAAATATGAGCTAATATATCAAAAATTTCACTTCCATTAATAATCACTCGAAAATCTGCTGCACTAGCAGATGAAATGAATAGCAAATCTTTCACTTTTATTAAAGTACACTCGTATTCAATAGTTTCTGCATCTGCAGGTTCACTAATTGCACCAATCAAATCCTGAATTATATTGGAGTGTCCATGTGCAGGTAGTCTAGTATTTTGTGGAAGGAATCGAATGTGAACTTGATATCGTTTTTCATTGTGAATATTTTTTTTCATCGTGTCAGATGTATTAGAAATAATTCTAGCTCTAAATGTGTATTCATTTGACGTTTTACGTAAAACTCTGTAACAGAAATTCCGTCCAAATGTAGAATTTTATAAAATAAATATACAAATAAAAGTGGTAAGAACATAGAAAATTTCAATCTCATTATTCATAAGAACATATGAAGTTTAATTCCTCACTGTTAATGATTATTACATCTCTTAAAGTCTGTTTCAACTGCAGCAATTATATTTTTACATATTCTAACATTCCAATAGAATGCAAAAGCTGAAAACAATCCGTGCGTTGAATTCGATGCTCCAACACACATACCAACAATTCCCGGAACGAAAATTCGTTCAACTTCTTGTGTGTTCTCCCATATGTTATAAAAATTGCCTTACGAGACTGTGGCGCGCTGATAACGAAATTCCTAACGAATCTCCAACGAAGCTGCAAATTTCCCATTGGAAACCGTCCTCGCCGCAATTTACTATCCTTCGCCAGGATAATCAAATCGACTCGGTCCAGATGCTACTCTATCGAAGGACTCCAGTCACAAATACAAATTCGAACCAGCAACATGCAAAGTCTTTACGACACACTCACGAAAAATAATATATTCGTGTTCGTTATAGTGTATTTGTCATTTCTTCTGGATAATGTGTTGTTGACTGTTGTAGGTAAGTATTCACCTGTATAAAAATAAAGCAGTTCAAATGACCAGGAGAATAGTAAACATCAAGCTCCCTGCTTTGCTATCCTGTAGAATTTTTAAACCAACCACTTTTTTTCTTCTTTAAGAAAGCAATGTCTACCAGTGTTTCTCAAATCAATCTTAATATCATGTCTTTACTCTTAGACATTCACTAATCTTCCAGTTCCCATCATCCCGGACTACCTGTTTTCCAACGAACTTAACGTGACGCCTGTGGATGACAACAAACGTTTCGGATTGGCATCGCTGAGCCCTCTTCAGCGCAAATATGAAACTTTGGAGGATGAAAATGGTCCTCTTGGAGCTCTGCTGGCGTCAAAAGCTTTCGTTCAACTAGCTTTTACTCCTCTAGTGGGGTATTTGATCGCTGCTGTGGGGTGTAACGTTCCTCTGCTGATTGGATCCTGCAATATGCTTCTAGCTTCGATACGTGAGTATTGGTTGAGAAGAAAAAAGTTGAAGAACATGAAAATGAATGTATCGGAATGCTACGTACTTTATTTTCTTTTTGTAACTGAAGACTGTCGTAACATTGATAGCATGCTACTGATTTTTTGTTGATCGTCTTGATACTTGAACAAAATAGTTATAACTCAGTTTTGTCTATCGTTACTATCATTTCTTTTTTATTATATCGACAATATCTATTCAATTCCATCGTAAACAAAACTTTATTCAATCAACAATTTACTAATAGATTATCCGGCATATTTTATCGACTAGCAACTGTTATAATTGATTTTGTGGTAAATAATCTTCATGTACAGATAAAGTGTTCACTATTTTCTAGTTTTCGCTTATGGAAACTCTTATGGGGTTTTGGTTCTCGCCCGCGCCCTCCATGGGAGTGCCTCTGCTGCTATTGCCATCAGCGGAATGTGTATTCTAGCCAAAGAGCTTCCCAGTAATCTAAGAATGAAAATAATGCCTATTGCTTTTGGTGGAATCGCTTTAGGAGTTCTTATCGGTTATCCTCTTGGAGGAGCTGCTTACCAAGCATTCGGAAAGACCGCACCCTTCCTATTCGTTGCGGTTTTCATCATCATAACCATGGGTAAGAATGAGAATGGTTGATGAATCGATATAGTAAGCAGTAAACTGTTGATTCATTTAATGTTTATTGTTACAATTTCTCACGTCACTCCCAAATTTTTCAGTTTCGACCCTTCTTACTTCACATTTCCTTCATCCACTTCCCTCAATTCATTTTATGAAACACTTGAAGAGTGTTTAGTCCGCAACCAAAGCTTGAATCTGCTTCTCTCCTCTGTAGGTTTACAGATAATGTATCTGAAGGAGGAAGACATGCAATCCGAATCATCCATACTGAGGAGAAACTACGAGGAATGTCTGATTCTTCTGAAAGATAAAAAATCGCTTATAGCTGCCTTCACAATTTGCGTCTGCACTTCATCGATGGCCATTTTAGAACCTTGCGTCCCAATGTGGCTGCTTGCTAGATTGACCCCACCACCTTCCAGGTGGCAACTTGGAGCAGTGTTCATCCCAGACAGTATTGGATATTTCATAGGATCACAATTTGCAGGTGAGTCAGTTACAAGCAGTGTAGGTTAGGTTAGGTTAGGTTAGGTAGGTTAGGTTAGGTTAGGTTAGGTTCGACCCTTCACTGCAATCCGGAAGGGTTTATTGTGGTTGACATTGATCTGACAATCATCACATGAACAGTCTGGCTTTGTGTAAAACTTTTTCCAAGTAAGCCTCCCAAGTAACAAGCAATGTAACTGCTCTCACGTTTTTTGGGAGCAACATTACCGGTGGATTCACTGAAATATGTCTTGTCTTGAGAGTTTCTTCTACCTTGTATATGATATTCACCGGAATAGATTCTGTTTTATACTGAACATCAACTTATTCCTGATTATATTTATAGAATTCGAAAGAAGCTTTTTCAACAACAATCAAATTCTAATCAAATTTATAATTTTTCTGACAGAAACTATTTTCCCAGGTTTACTACCAGTCCAACCTTGGCGAATCGCCATAAGTTCCCTGGTAATCACAGGCTTAAGCTGCTGCGGGCTACCTTTAGCAGACACCATACCCCAGTTGTCCCTACCCCACTTCGGTATAGGCTTGGGGGTTGGAGCTGTTGATGCTGCCCTCGTTCCCTTGCTGGCTTCTTTTGTTGACAACAAAGGAAGCAACCAATACGGGCCCATATATGCTCTTCAGCAAGCTGCAGTGTCGGTCTCCTACTCATTCGGACCTCTCTTTGGAGGACAGGCCATTCATATCCTTGGATTCCCGTGGCTGATGAGGGTGGTGGGGTTTGCCAACTTGCTGGTATGTCCGCTGCTACTGGAACTTGAGGAACAGAAGGTGAGAAATGATTGAAGTGAAACAAGAATTAGTTATTCTATTAACAAGCTTTGACTTGAAGTAAGGCCAAAATTTTGGTCGTGAGAATGATCAAATTGATTTTGATTCTCGTAGATAATGTAAGGTGTATAGGAAGATTATGGATTGAACTGTCTTTGTTGATGAAACATGATGAAGGTTACTTTTTAAATGCCGTAAATAACTGTTTTTATAGTTTTCGAATTCCGTCTATAAGGAAGAGAAATAGCAACTGAGTTACACAAATTCAATGCAATGATTCAGTTGTTTACCTTACCCAAATGGTCTCCCAACTTCCCGAAAACTGCTCAGTCGAAAAAAAAATGTACAAAATTGCATATTATTGAAATTGCAGTTCTCTTTAAGTTTCATTCTGTAACATTATATTTTGTGGTATCGCCCACTGACTGTAAACAAGGTTTAAACCTAGATCCACTACTTTTCTCTATTCATACCAGCCGGCTCGTTAACTTCCTCACACATTGTTTTTCTCATTTGCACGCAGACGACACCCAGCTCTATACCTCTTTCAAACCTGAAGACGCTGATGAGGCTTGTGTACAAGTTAATGAAGACAAAAAATGTCAGAGGGATAATTGAAGACAAAGTAAAAATAAAAATACTCGACAATGAGCTGTCCATTGTAGAACAAGCGCAAAGTCTGAGGCTCATTCCTGAGAGTAATTAAACATCCGAAACCCACGTAAAATACCCATTCAGAAGGCTTATGGAACTCTTTATGGAAAAAGAAACTAATTCAGTGTACGGTCCCCGCTCAACGAAAGCATATGAACAAAAATGCAAAAGATTAACAATTCGTGCTTATTTCACAGATTAATCATAACAAAGATTCCGATCTACTTACATGAAAAAATTTCATTTCGAACTGATGATCATACAATCAATATCCGATTCAAAGGTCTTTTAACTTCGCCAATTCAAAAGGTCCTTCACTTACCAAATTGGCTACATGTACAACGGTATACCAAAAGGAATTAAAATAATTGATATGATTAAGTTCAAGTACCACTTTTTGTGAAAGCAATAATTCAAATAACATATTTAACGATAATAATAATAATAAATATTTCTATTGTTACACAAACAACAATAACTAAGTACAAAGTGAAGTAATATTCCAGATTCTTAAGTTGTTAAGAGTCTCTGTACTTTTTTTTCAATGTTTTTCATTATCAACTCAATAAATCACTCCTAGTTGACAAAACTGAAGATAGATTGTAAAGTATAGCAGTAAATATGATTATTCTAATGGAAATGTCTTTGCAATGCATTCATTATTTCTTTTGTTTCATTTCAGGAAAAAATTCCGATCACGTGCAATTCCTATCAACCCTATTCAAGTGTTGCAAACAGCTTGGAACCGGAGTCTACAGAATGAAACTTCATCAGAATTAGAAACCAGATTACTGATATTTAACCTATCAAATTGTTATTGTTATAACTGTTAGAACAATCTGTCAATATCTTTTTGAAGTTATTCGAAAAATAATTCAGATTGCTGGAGAAAACATATTTTTTCTTTGTCAGTACAGTACCAATTTGATTCTCCTGTATATACTCGCCTAAGATGTCTTATGTGAAATACTCAATATGAAACTAACCCATTTGTCGACTCCCATGTGTGAACCAAATCTAAAATTTTCTGTAGAGTGGCCAGCGTAATTACCCGATCTAACTCCTGTGAACTCTGATAATCAATATTCATTCCAATATATCCTGCATTTTTTCACTCCCGACCTGTTTTATAAATGTGTAAATCGAAATTTCGAGTTACTCAATCAGGCATAGTCAAACAACCACTCCATCACCGCCAGCAGGAAATTTTATTAATTCCCAACGCGTGTCAGCGTGTTATTCCATGTGGACCGGCCGCAAATGGCAAATAAACAGAGGAGATTCTTCTTAACTTACTGTCCAAACAAAGAGATCAAGTTATCCAGGCATGCGGTGCCCCATGAAAACTAATCGAGTTATCGGGGTGTGTTTCCGAAGAAAAAAATTCATCGGTGTGGATTACACGAGATTTGAAACGATTTCAGATCTGAGTGGGCTTAGAACATACGAGGGACAAGTGCTTCACCTTGCTTCAGGGGTCAAAAGCAGGTTACAACAGAGTATTTCATTATCATGAATTCACACTTATAGATATAAAGTTTTCAGAAAAATATTTCATTTTTTCATAAATTCCAACAGTATGAACTTTACTAGCCTGCATTTTGTGAACTGTACAAGCCCAGCATAAAACAATTGGCAACATTCTACGTTCAGCTGTGCCATGGCCAAATTTACCTGGAAATTGCACAGATTTCGATTGAATAACGTGAATCCCATCTTTGCCGAAGTCGATACAGACTAATGGAATGTCCGTGTCATACATTTGTGCTCACCGGAAACAGGGCTATGTAATTTCTATTATATGACCGATGACACCATTCACTAGACCCTCAGACACATCAACATTGTATCGCAACATCACCTTGGCCCCCACAAATATTTCCAACTCTTTAGGCAACCCCCCAGTCTTGTTTATATCAGATTTAATTTTTTTTCTAGAAAAAATGTTTTTATTGAAGCCAACCCAGGATGTGGCATCTATTTCATGGTGGGCCTACCAACTGCCTACCATAAACGAATGCGTATACAAAATTTCGTGTCCCTGCTATTTACCGCTGAGGAGATCTCTCGTACGGAGCCGATCCTGGCAGCAGCATCAGGTCACGTTTATGATCAGGTTTATGATTGACATGCATTGTCATCGGTTCTGGACCAGCATGCAAAATTTCAGGTCAATCGGATACCGGGAAGTGGGTCGAATTAAACTTGCAAGATTTGTTAACATACATACAAGTCAAGTTAAATAAAAGCTTTTAAAAAAGCTACTGTCATACCCTAACAACTCTATATCGGTGCCATACTGGCGTAACAAAAAATACAGAGTTCTAATAGATTAATCTGATTAAAAATAATTCCTGATGATAGATTTCGCAACCCAAGAAAACCTGTAAGATGATAACTACATGCTAAATTACCGCTAGTAATTCACCAAGAAAGTTATACCAAGGTAAGACATTGTTCTAGTAAACAAGAAGTCAGGAGAGACAATAATTAACAACTGAACAAAGAACTGAAATATAGAGAATACCTGGATGATATAACAGTTTCAGTTGTCAAGATCGTATTATCAGTAATGTATGTAGTTCGCTGGAAAAGAAAGCACCCTAACTTCAAAACACCACAGTGAAGATATACTGTCATGAATTCTGCATTTAGCAGCCTCTACAAAATCTGCTATATGGAAATGATTCTATGCAAACTCTTCAACTACTTACGTAAACTTGACATTCGAAACAACAACATAATGAAGTTCATTCAACACAAGCACTTATTCTCAAACCACTAGCCCGATCTACCCTGGCCTTGCGTTGAACTTAGTTGCCATCTCAGTTTTGCCAACCGCTGGTATCCAACCATCAGGCCTACACTGATCGCACTCACAAATGCCCTGAACCAAAACAGGACTCGGCAATAGAGGTTGGGGATTGAACTGGGAGTTAAACAGCGGCCAAAAAGGGTACAAACTAAACGTTTTGCTGCTTGGAATGAAAGAAAAGCTGCCAGAGTGGGGAAGCATGTAGGGCTTAGTTTTTCCCACGTTGGCAACGGGTTTGAAAGCCGAAGAAGACTCTTCTTGATTGTGCTGGGACTCGCTGTCGCAGTCTTGCTTGTTGTTCAGGTTGAAGTGCTCAATGGCTTTCAAAAGGTCGTGGTTGCATCTAGAAGTACATATTCATACTGTAATCACACCTAAACCACATTCAATCTAGTCCTTACCTCTTCAGTACGAGTTCCAGTACAGCCCTCTTCTTGTTCGGAAAGAGTTTCGCCAGCATCTCTATCGAAGCTGGACTCACTACGATCTCCTCTTCTGCCGGATCTGAAGCCCCTTGACAATCGCTTTTTGGATCAGGTGAATCGGCTTGTGGGGAGGTGACTTGCATGCCGAAAATTCGACCTGGTGGAAGGTAGTCATAGGTGGTTCCGCTTTCTTTGGATGCTAGATGGAGAGCAATGGCATCTTCAGCTGCTTGCTGGCGTTTCAAAGCCACCTTGAGTTGAGAGGGTATTATTGAGAGATTATTTATACGATGCGGAATGGTTTGAGCTTTTCGAAATGCTAGATATTTTGATTGTTTCCGTAATGCAATTGACTTATTACTGACTTATTACTATTTTTCATGACAAATTGAACAATCGTACGAATATATCATTTAGCTAAAAGAGCTTGCAAGAAAATGCTATGTTATGGAAGTCTTAAAAAGTCATATGAACGTTGATGATTTTTCATTATAGCATATTATGGTGCAGCATAATTCTTTCTGAAAAATGGAATAATAGTTAATTATATCATATCACTATTTTCCACAAATTTAAAACACCAAAAGAATGTGCAGTAGTGATAGTTGTCAATGATACTTATTCACGTTAATGAGCTGAATGATATTGTATATTCTATTAGGTTCAGATACTCCACAAGAATGATTCTACACAAAAGCAAAATTGAAAGCTTCTGGTTTCTACTTCTACATCTTCATACAGAAAATGTGGAAAACTCTTGACGAAAGTAAGGAAACTATTGAATTTAGAATATTCCTCACAAAAAATTATAGATCATGGACAACAAAGCCCTTTCGAAACAACTAGTTTAACATGAACATTCAATTTATACTCCAATCCACATAGAATAAAAATATCTTGAACAATAAGAGAAGCAAGAGAAATATTAATAGCATAATCAGAAGTATTTGATGAATTTTCCTTTCACATAGAATGTAAAATATGTCGGTAACTCATTTGTTTTTTATATTTAAACGTCTCAATTTTCTAATAATAACGGATGATTAGAACTATTCATATCCTTTTTTATCGTGGACTAATAGAGAAAAATAAAAATCTTATGTCAAACATATAATTCTCCTTTTGACAAGAAATAAATAGAAAATGTTCCACACATTATATTTAATATATTGATAAATTATTTAAATAAAACTTTTCGACAGATCAGTTATTGTTATTACCATTTCCAATAAGCTCCGTTTCTTTGCAATTAATCTAATTTTAGTTTCAAAACTAAAAGTATTCATAATTTCATCGAAATTAATCAAAGTTCCTCTGGAGTGTCACTGAACTATTTTGAACACTTTTTCGAAAGACATGCATCAGAAACCCTATATGCATGTAGTAATTAGGAGGATTTTCACAGAAACTGACAGCTTTTTTTCACAAAAAAAGTTTAATAGTACATCTTCAAAAGCCAAGGGACTGCTCCAAAGAATAGCGAATAACTACATTACTTAATACGTTCAATGAGGGTGAATAATGATCAAGTTTATTCGTGCTAGTGGGGTAAAATCACGGAATAGCTATCGAATCAAGATATCGGATTTGCAATGATTACCAATGAGCGCGCTGTTTGCTCAAAAGATACACGATACCTCACTAATGGAATATCGATCATACACTTCACCATGTCATGATATCGGGTTTCCTACAGCGAAGTGAATGATTTAACATCGATATTGCTCAAATAGAAACAAAACAATATTTAGACACATCTTCATCATTAAAAGAAATTACTTTTTGAATTACATCGTTGACAAAACATCAGTATCAATGACATCAAAAAATAGACTGAATATTCAATAGTAGATATTTCAGCTGGAGTACCGCAGGGTTCTGTGCTGGGTCCGATACAGTTCATTTCATTAATGAATGATTTGAGTAAACTCATGGATGATATACAGCTTTCTTATTGGGAAAGGATAATATCAAATTACAGATGTAGACATGCTCAACTAATTTTCTTTGTCTTAATACAGAAAAAAACTTCAGTTGATCAAGCTGGGTTAGATTATCTCATTGTCTCTACAAAATTTTTTGGACAGCAAAAAGAAGTGGGGTGTTTTATGTATCAAAGTTAACTTGGAGTTCGTTCGTTATATAATTTTATAAATTTTTGTTTCGTGAATTTTCAGTTGTTGTCTTTTGAATGAGAATTTATGTGTAGTTGATTGCTGGAGCAATCATTGAATCTCTAATACGCGAAGAAATCGTAAACATATCCATAAAAAGACTAGTTTCGGACATTTCAACACAGTAATTCTCCCTCACCTGTGCAGCCATGATCCTCTGCCTCTCCTTTATTAGACCACACTTTTTGCAGGAACAATTTTTATAGATACACTGCTTCTTGTGTCCCCTCAATGTGGAAATCATCCCATGATTTCTGCAACGAGCACATTTTGGGACTCTTGCAGGTTTGTTATCATGGGCCACCATCCTGAAAATAAGAAAGATTGACATCTCCATAATAAGATGAACCATATCCAGAGTAATGATAAATATTCCAGACGTGGTGCGCCAAACTGCACTAAAAGAAATAATATTTCAACTCAAATTCATTGCATCCATGTCCTATGAACAATGAATAGTTCACATTAGTAAAAGCTCAAGATATCACAACTTCAATCGTACAACTTACAGCATATATTTTTATTGAAATGTCTAACATTTACATGCATATTTATATATTATGAGATTTTCTATGACATAAACTTAGATAGAAAAAATAGATAGATAGATAGATATTCATTTATTTCTACAGAGTATATGTAAATCTTGTAAAAAAGTTAAAAGAAATACTTTGTCCGAGAAATACGTCAGTGAACAAAATTACAAAAGATTAATAAGATACAAAATTTGAATACAACACGTCACATTCACATGTAAGTATAGAGTTGATAAGATAAAATTTAACATATACTGTTAAAATATTCATCTATAAATAGTATAAGGCTCTATATTGCATAAACATTTTTTCACAGACTTCAGAAAACCGCTGGCCAACCCAATGTCTCTTATATCCTGTGGCAGAGAATTAAAAAATTGAATCGCACTGTATACAGTACTTCTTTCATATAGAGTATTTTATGTATCGGATATAAAAAATCATTTCCAAATATTGTTCCATACTTATATGTTTTATGATGCTTTTCAAAGTAGCTTGGTTGATTAACTAAACATTTTAATGACTCAAAAATGTATATCGCTGGTACCGTTAATAATTTGTTCATTTTAAAGATTCCTCTACATGAGTCTTTTGACCTTCATACCAAAAAGTATTCTGATTACCTTTTTTGCCAGAGAAATACTCTGTCCAGCTCATGACTGGAGCCCCAAATGATAACACCAAACTGTATTGCAGAGCAAAAATTAGCGTAGTAGACAGTCATCAGCACATCACTGTCAACGTTTTTTTTGAGAATTCTCATAGCATATGTAGTTGAAGATAGTTTTCTGCAGAGATTGTCTATTTGATTTACCCAACTTAAGGTATCATCGATATATATACCCAAAAACTTCACAGAGGTGTTGCAGGTCACTCTAAAATCATTAAAAGTGATGGTCTTCGATGTCTCCATGCTGTTATCAATTTTGAACAGGACGCAATCTGTTTTTTCATCATTTAAAATCAATTTATTTTCCAGAAAAAAGTTTTTTGCACCTGTCAATAATAGGTTAGTATCATCAGCATAATTATCTATGTAATCTTCATTTGAATTTACCGCCATGTTTATGTCATTTGTAAATATAATGAATAGTATTGGGCCCAATATACTACCCTGTGGAACTCCCATAGACGTCTCCAAAGCCTCTGATCGTGCTGCTGTATCTTTCAACAATATAGTATGACTATAATTACACCTCAACAAATGCTCTATTTATTTATCTTTCTTTATCAATTCTTACTATTATGTTAGATTAATTTCTGAGTTTGCTTCTCCCTTATTTGCAAACTTATACACTAAAGTTTAGTGTATAAGTTTGCAAATGTCCTTATAGGACGAAACTGTAACATTAGTTACAAATAAAAGTGGTGAAAAACATAGAAATTTTCAATTCTCGTTTTTCATTATGATTTCCTACCATGTAGTAATGACTACATCCATCAATTTCCTTCTTTCCTTCTTTAATGTTCCTATAAATTATACCAACCTAAATCATACGATTTAGGGAACTCGAAATGAGCATTTTCTGATGTTGCCGAAGAAACATCGAAAACAGTTTTTGGCAATCCCTAATTCAGAATATTTTTCGTTCTTACCTTCAATTCAAGGAGATGTCCTTTGAAAATAGTCCTTGATGTCCAAAAAAGCACTTCAATCCACTCACTCACCACTGTATCACCGACCGAATATAACAAATCATTTATAAAGAATACAAGAAAAGAATGATACGATTTTCAGCGTTTTCATGGATGATACAGCACAGCATCCCAGTTTCAGCCAGTGAGAAACTTCGTTGTTTTACCCCGCCTCGCACCGGAGATGCCGTCCGCCAATAGCTAGGGTGGTAGTTCTGAAAACACCGCCCCTTTCAGGATGATATCCAGCGGTTTAATTTTAGGTGCAGGATAGATTTCGATTTGCTTTTAGATTTGGCAACAATAGAGCAGAGATGTCTGTTGTGTTTTGTCTGGTGTCAGAGAAAGAAACGTTTTGTTTATATGATTTTCAGTAATAGTTTGGAGAAATCACGGCTCATGCTGTCACAAAAAAGTGATATTTTTCGAAACGGAATATCGAATCTATGCCACAGATTATTACATAACTTTTTTAGGCCAATACAAATAATTTCTGAAGAGTAAAAAAAACAGTTTTGTGTGAACCGCATAATAGTTTTGTATAAAATTTTCAAAAGAGGAATTGGAAAAGGAAGTTTTTTCGTTTTCAATTTTTCCCATACAAAAACAAACTCTTTGAAAACCCTTCTTGTTTTGTTTCTATCATGCTATAACTTTTTTGAATTGAAATATTCAGTATAACATTTTATATCGATGGAAAACCTAAAAAAATACCTCATTTTCAGCGTAAAATACTCAAGTTCTGAAACACTTTTTTTCAAAATGAATAGTGGTACTATTTTGAATAAATCACTCTCCTTCGGATAAAATCATCATTTCTATGTAAAATTTGTCAGATAATGCAAATAACTGAAATTATGGCAGATCGTTTAGAGATTTTGCAAAAAACATGCCAAAATAATTCGTGTATTGGATATCACGTTCTAAACAATCTCGGCTGGGAATAATTATTTTTCAATATTCAAAAGTAGGTTCATCATATTTTAGTAACATTTATGAAACAGAACAATTCATATAATGATCATTTCCTCCAAGCAGATAAAATGAAACTAGAACTTGTTGAAAGTAATCAAAAATACACTCAATAATTGGTCCAATTATGTCTAGTAATTTACTGAATACCATCCATATGAAGTAAAAAAAATCCCAAACTTTTTGTGTGGACGGTTTAGAAGCCCGAAAAAAATAGAAATTGAAAATACTTCAAAATACACGCAATACACGCAATACACTCAAATACACTCAATACACCATAAATACACTCAATAATTGATCGTTATATCTAGTGATTTACTGAATATCATCCATATGAACTAAAAAACATTACAAACTTTTTGTCTGGACAATTTAGAAGCCTGTTAAAAAAGTAGAAATTGAAAATACATTAAAATATACTCAATACACTCAAAATTCACTCAATACTTGATCAAGTTATGTCTAGTAATTTACTGAATACCGTCCATAAGAAGTAAAAAAAAACAAACTTTGTGTCTGGACGGTTTAGAAGCCTGTTGGAAGAATAGAAATCAAAAATACCTACATTAAAATATACTCAATACACTCAATAATTGATCAAGTTAATAGACAGGTCGGGAAATATTGCGAATATAACGAGAAAATTAATTTAATCAAAAGTTGGTCCAAGTCGAGAATCATGAAATCTAGGGAATTTTCAGGAATGAAAGATGATTTTTCACAAGTTCCATCAAAAGTAGACCTCTTCAACTTTCAGGTACTTCACACAAAATTATATTTAACGTTCATCCCGTTCAATAACTGCGCAATATGAACCACTGAGAAGTCCAATTACTAACTAACATCTCGTGTTAACAATATTTGTCAACAAATTGGTTAATTTTTTGAAAAATTAAATTATTACAGGTACTTAGCTTTTTTTGGGATGATTTACGTTTCGAAAGTGATCCCTCTCCGTTCTCAAACTCTAAAAAATATTGCCAAGACCTCACTCGATTGGAACTAGAAACGTATATTTTTTTCGACGTTCGTCAACAAGAATCTGTCCATTCCGAATATTACGCCTCGAACAAATAAAAAGCCACCTAGGATATTTTCTGCCGAATGATCCATCCAATTGTAACTAGATATCAATACAAATTAGTCCGGAATATGCTCGAGTGTGACGTATTACTGTCAGTTTGTTAAATAAACACAAGTCCATTAGATTTGTTGCATCACACATGCCTGGACCACCCAGATTCAGCCGAAAAATCCTTATAGAACGGAACACCACCTTTGCAGTAGCGCACGGCGTCTCATATCTGTCAAAATAAACATCCTGCACATTTTGCGCTTTTGGGTGACGGGGCGCTTTTTTGTGTTTTGATAATGAATTAACAACATTAAACTCTTGTTCCCCATTTTCGTTTGTTTTCGTGCCTCTGATGTCTGTTATATATGTCTTCAACTTCTTTAACATAGCTAAAATGATGTTTGAGACCCTCTTATGAAAAGTATTCATAGAAATTATTGCTGAATAATGAAAAAATCAAAAAATATTCATGTGTGTCGTAAAGATTTGTGTCTAAAATCCATTACAATATTCCTGCCTACGTACACTCTAAACATTCACGGACTGTGACATGTTTCAGTTGTCAAGATGTAACATTTCACATATTTCGTTTTCTCAAATTAGACTGATTTGTTTGTAAAGAGTTACATGGGCAATTAGTGTTACAAGAGGTATAAACTTCAAACACCTTTACTTTTGTCACAATATATTAAATCTCCAGAAATATATGGAAACCAGATGCTAAAACTTTCACAGTTCACATTAAAAATATTTTCACCACGATTGAAAATCATTTGTTCAATACTCCTTCAATAAACACAATTTGATATAGAAATTCAAGACTGTTGCACTTGGTTGCTGTCTTTTCCATACCTAATAACAAACCAAAATAGTCTCAGAGTAAAAAAGTAAATGATCTCGATGAAACTGAGCACGCTGCAACCCAAAAACAGTCCAGCCATACCTCCAATATATACTAAAAAAACACATTCCATTACACAACTGATTATTATAAGCATCATACAGAAGTTACCTAGAAGATCGGAAAAGCTGAAAATAACGTCTCTCCTCAGTCGCATATTGGGATATTCCTTCAATCCCCATTGCAAATTGGATCCCAAAAACCACTCTCTTGTATCAGTGTCCTCAACAACAAAAATAACTTCGTCACAGTTTGTCAGGCAAGAACATTCATCCTTCAGAAGAATCAGTCGTTCTAAAATTCAATTCACTGAGATACATTATTTATTATCCGGGATAAACGGTACAATGTAACTTCATCAGCTACTGATTAAGGATACCAGCAAATGGTTACTGATACCAGTAACAGTACACAGTAATAGTTACTGGCACCAGTAATTAGTTACTGATACCAATAACCAGTAACTTGCACCACTAATCAGTTACTGGTACCATTAACCAGTAACTGGTCACTGATTTATAGTACCAGTAACTGGTTCTGAATAAAATTCATTGTGAAGATCCTATAATTGTCATGATTTCTGAGATATATAAATTATTATCAACGATACACGGTACACGGTAGCTTCATCAGTTACTGATTAATGTTACCAATAACTGATGTGAAGATCCTATAATTATTGTCATGAATAGTTTTATGGATTTTCATCAAGTAACGGGTCAGAATATTTATTATAATACAATTATCCATTCGTGTATTGGATTTCTGAGATATATAAATTATTGTCAACGATACACGGTACACGGTAGCTTCATCAGTTACTGATTAATGTTACCAATAACTGTTTACTGGTACCAGCTACTGGTCAGAATATTTATAACAATAAAATTATTTATTCACCCAATTTCTGAAGTATATTATTTATTATCCATGATAGACGGTAGCTATCTGTTACTGGTACCAGTAACTGGAACCAGAAACCAGTAGCTGCGCGACTATTGAGAATTAAAACGAGAAATCCAAACACCTAGAATAGTTTTGTGTCAAAAACAATTCAATCAGTAAAATAACTCGTATTTGACTCGTTTTTTGAACTTCCACGTTGGACTATCTCAAGTTTCTAGTCTGACGGAGTGAGACCATCTGGTATCTGGAGCAAAAGTTCTTCAAATATTTGATGGCTGGTAGATCTTGCAGAAATAATACTCACCTTTATATTTTGACAGGCAATGCAACCCTGGAACATCGCAAATCTTCTCCTTCTCTGAAAGAGATCGAAAAATAGAAGAAAATCGACAATGTTTTCCAGAATTTTTCTCATACCTACTTTTCTGTAAAAGTGCGGAATGCACCCACACAGTTTCTTAGCCAGAGTTGCTCTGCACTCCATACGGCAGAGGACATACGAATATACAGGGGAATGCGGTAGTTTACTCTCGTAGTAAAAGCGACACTTTCTCTGTTTCACTCTCAATTCTTTAGCATCTTCGCTGGTAAAGATCGTCATACCTGTGAGATACAGTTGCAGGAAAATTCCGTTAGAGGCGTATACGTATTTGCTAGCTATGTCTGGCACTTCGTAAGGTCCATGAATGAATACCTACAAAGATTCCAGGTTGATGACTTGTTTTCCAAAACAGTTCAGGTGATATAAAACTGAAAGTTTTCGATTTTCACAAAAATCCATCCTCTGATACCAGAATTATCAACGAAATATATCGAAAGTATATTTTTTGGCAAATATAACTGTCTAACCTTGTTTTTAGCTGAGTTCTACATACACTAAAAAAGGTTATCATCTCCAACCTGGAAATTTTGATTTTCAAATATTTTTACTACCCCTACAATAATTAAGGGCCTGAAAAATCCTAATCCTGCACAAGTATTCTAAAGAAATGCCCACATTTATTGGTCCATCTGCTTGTGAATATCCTGAATTGTTTTTTAGAAGAAGGTATCTTTGCCAAAATCAAACCAATCAACAAATTGAGTAAGCTTAATGAAATCAACTACAGACCAAATTCGTTACTAAGTTCATTCACCAATGTAATGAAATGTAGCTAACTTTTTTACAGTTTCTTTGACTTTCCGCTACTATTCAGTAGTAAACATTATGACTGAAGATTGGAATTTTTGATAATATTGAGCTATCTCAGCTAGAGGTTATACAACTTCAAGTGTCTTTCTAAACTTCAGCAGGTCTTTCAAGTGGTGAACAAAAAGATACTCTTCAATAGTTTATAAATGATCTGATCCTATAATAATCCTGTTATGTTGAAATTGTTAATCGAACATCGTATAGACCAGAGTTGGTGTTCCACAAGGATCAACTTTGGGACTCATTTGCATTCATTGTATATCAATGTTTTTGTCGGCAGAAACTACATCATGTACCCTGATGATACGTATCTGTTAGTGACAGTCAACATCAGAATTGAAAATAGTTGATACCAACAATGCAAGTGTCTGGTTCCAGAATAATCATCTGAACATAAATGGACCAAAATCTGTCTTCATTCGTTTTCAGCTGTATCGGAAAAATCTGTACTATAGTTCATTAACCATTATTCTGGAACAATAAATTGATGGATGTAGCCGTTACTACGTGGTAGGAAATCATAATGAAGAAAAGAGAAATGAAAATGTTTATGTTTTTACCACATTCTCACTGCCTTTGTCTGCGAATAATCTAGCTAGGGAAATTGTTATAATTACACAGATAGGTCATAATAATGGTTTCAACGCAGATACTATCCAGAAGTTAGTCAGGAAACAAAGCCGGAAATTCACTTATAGATTAATATACCTTCAGGTCAAACAACCAGAAATGAAGAAATGGGTAAGTCTAACATATTTTGGAATGGAAAAAGATAAGACATGCCAGGTTATCTCATTTCCTTTTCAATGCCAAAGATAAGGTGGACAAGTTGGAGAAATCTGTAGTTCATAAGCTTAAATGTCCGAAGTGTGATAGTATTTATGTGGGACAATGTGGCCGAAATTTCCAAAAACGATATGCTGAACATCAAAGGTCCTTCAGAATAGGAAAAAATTATTCGACGATTTCAAACCATTCCTTGACATGCAAGCACGAATTTCCGAATCTAAACGATACGGAAATTTTGCACTATGCAAGGAAGGGTTACAGACTCCATTATTTAGAATCCTTGGAAATTCACAAGCATAAACATTGCGTGTGAAACCTGTTAAATGATCAAATCGATTTAGTTTACTCGTGAATTGACACATCCGCATTGTTAACTGTAAATTCAGGTACTCCATCAAGCCTAGTACCTCTATTAGTACCTACAAAGGTGGTATATAAGGGCTAATGTAATGAACCATTGTCAGTTTATTGTATAAGTTTGAGAATGTCCGTATATGACGAAACTGCAGTAAAGTTAGATACAAATGGAAGTGGTAAAAAGCATATTAAGTTTAATTTCTCTTTACTTCATTATTTCGGAACAACTTGTTTTGTTGACTTCCTTATTTGAAGATACCTGATACGCACTAGAAATATTCACAACATTAACGAAAACTTCACCATCTAATGGGCTAATAAAGAATAATTCGGCTTGAGAAACCAACTTCCAGCTTCCTGAGTCCCAATATCTGAAAATAAAAAACATTATTACATAAAGGCTGGGAAAAGAACCATGCCCCACACTTGTTAATATTCACATGGATAAAATTATTGAGGAAAGCTCATCAAGTAAAAGGATACAGAATACAGAAGGATGTAGAAACTTACAAATTGAGGAAGATTAACAAAAATACTCAGAAATGATGGTAACGGGATAAACTAGAATGAATGGAAATTAGGATTTGATGAGTAATTATAGATCAAGATAGAAATTGATGGAAATGGTGGACATGAAGTTGATACAACAGAATTGATGAAGCAATGTGAAAAATATTTTTTTAATAAATCCAAATTTATGTTCCATCTACTGATGGTACTGTGAAATTGATCCCTTCAAAAATAAATCAAAGCTCGATAGACTATGTGAATCACGTGTCTTTTATTCCTTGGGTTTCATTTCGATTGAGGCATTAATTTGTTGCCAAAGTCAAGACTGAAATGGAGGTTATTCCAAAAAAAATTCTATAGGGATCGAACTTTGCTGGTCACACTGTATACCCAAACAGTTGTAAATATATCAAAGTACTCACTTTTGCGAATTGTAAACAGCAAGATGCGAATTGAAGCTGTAACACTGCCCCATTTCCGTGATAGTCTGCTGAAGGGACAGAGCAGTGCTAGCGCTCAAAGAATTCGTCACCGTCGGATTGAAATTAAATCGAAACTTCCTGATCAACTCCATGTAGTCGTCTGGAGACACTCCATTGTACTCAACAACGGACTCCAGATTGCTGTACGTTGCTTCCGATAGAGATATCACGAACTGTCTGAAGAGGGATTTGTTCGATATGTCGGTAGCTGTGCTCAGGTAGTCGTCTAGTTTTTTTGTGTCTACTTTGAGAAACGGACAAATGGTAGCTGAGGGGAAGGAGGTGTTCCAGGAAAATCTGTCGCGTTCCATCGATATCACAGTGGGGTTTTCCTGATATCTGAAATTTGACAGTATAATAAAAATAGGGAGATGTTTTGAACAACTGGCACCACTCTGAAGAACAGGCTTCACCGTGACACCTGGTCAAGTCCAGACAGAGCGGATCACCTTCACAAAGGTTGTGTTCCAGTGATTTCCCCAGCCCCTTTCTTTCTGTAACTATTGCTGCCGGAACCCTGAACAGTGGAGACATGAGGTCCTTCATTTATTTAATATGGATGACCTTCCACTCTACGAGCATATCTCTGTAGAAAAAGATCTCAATCTGACCTCGAGGGTGGTGGAGGGATACACGTCTGTTATCCACACAGAATAATTCTAATTAGACAAAATTGCAATGGCCCATCTCGAGAGAAGTTGGTACCACAAAGCATCTGTTCATTGGGTTATTATCCTTTTAATTTCATTTCATCTTTATTTGTCTCAGGAAAATTTTACATTTTATAGGCACGTCCAAACCTTAACCCGAATAACTGAAGATAGATGATAGAATAATTTGTAGTCCTGGGAATATAATCGAGGTTGACAATGATTGTGATACGGGATATTGAAGAATAAAAACATATTTGATCTACATACAAGATAAAATACATTTTAAGGGATTACTAAATATGAATATGTAAAATGTGTGAATTATATATAAAACGTAAATGTATAAAATATATGAAGTATGCTGTATAAAATGTAAAAAATGTATATAATTTGAAATGTATAGAATGTCAAATGAATGAAACATAGATAAATGTATGGATATATACCGTAACAATAAAATGGGAAATTATATTCAATCACTGTGATTATCAATGAACAAATGCCAATTTTCAGCGATCAACTGAGTAAATTCTTGGAAGTTGTAAATACAGTTACTAGATAAGATACATTTCAATTTGGATTTGAATTTTTTTGGAGGTAAATCTCGAAATTGAGATGGTAAGTTGTTATACATTCCCGTATTAATTTTAGTGGTTTTTTGAAGCCTTGTTTTTGGGTCAACTATTCTGGTTTTGAACCTTGTATCATATTCATGTATCTTTTCATGACTTTCGCTGCATTCAATATTATTTTTAATATATATTAGTTTGGGGTATATAATTAAGGCATAAACAGTCATTATTCCTAGAGCCGGAAATGAAGGCCTACAACTAGCCTCCCAATTTGACTTTGTAATACATTTTATGGCAGACTTTTGTAAAATTAGTAGTTTAACTAGGTGTGTTTAAGCTGCATTACTCCAAGATGAAGTAGCATACTGAAGGTGTGAATGGAATAGGCTGCTGTTTGATTTACAAGGTCTCGAACTTTTTTATTAGCAAAAACAGCCTTGGAGAGTTTAGTACACAGAAAATTCACATGTTGTGACCACTGGAGGTGACTGTCAATTTGTAAACCTAGAAATTTCACATTTCCATACATTTGTTCCTGATTAGCAGAATTATTTGGCCTACAATCAAATTTTAGGCTTATAGTTTTACTCTCGACAATAGAAAGGTCATGAACTTCTGGGTATGGAAAGTCTACATAATAAAATGGTACTATATGGATCCTGTGAAGTCGTCAGGAGTTCGGATGTCCTGCTTCATCCTCAACCATGAGAGAATAGTAATTAGACGTTTTATTTTTGAAGCAGCTGCTTGAGCGGCGGAAAAACTTGATTCGGTTTGCAATACTGAACTGGGTGACCACAACTGTCAGTTCAGCAAAAAGTCTACGTTAACACCACAATTGTACTCTTGCGACTACTCAATGATGAACATACGAATGAAGTCTTCTTCAACAATATCGAAAACCTCACTTTGGAAAAACAATTCATGATTTTTGCAACGCAATAAAGCACTTGCTCATTGGTCATTGCTTATTCGTAATATTTTGGACAAAAACAACACCGTAATCATGCCTCAGCAACCGAATTCACCATGATTGAAGAGATCTATGGAAGGACGGCATTTCTTCTGAGGGGAAAAAATAGAAATTGGTGAATGAATAAATATTTGTTAACAGGACTGAAAATTCCCCTTATATTTTGAACAGACACCGTAATCAGAGGTATCTTTATATTATTTGTTGATACTTACCGAATATGTATGTTTTTCCAAGAGTTATGCATTCTACATTGAATGGAAAAACTTGAAACAAATACGATTTCCTACCTGGTCCATGTCAACGAGCTCAAAACGGATGCCCCGTATACTGCCGCTGCTACCAAGACGAACCATATGAACCTTTCTATAGGATGTCTGTTTTCTTGTGTGATATGCGACAATCCACCAATTGAACTCTGAGAAAAAAACAGTTTAATAAAATCAACCAACATCCTGCATATCGACGATTTTGGTTTCGGAGACTTGATAAAGTTATTTCTCTGAACTTTTTTCGGTGACATCCCAGCACTTTTACGATCGGAGGTATCTAGAGTACAGAATAAGAGAAAAAGTTGTGCTTTTGGGTCTACCTAATGATGATTTGTATATGAATAATGCGTCGGGGAGCTTTCAAAAGCCTTGATTTAATATTTTATGACTCGATTGTGTTGTTATCGAAACCATCTGTGAGTACAACAATACATTTGATTGTAAGTGATAAAATGCTTTCGTTTTCATTGTTATTTCTTCATATCGCTATGGATTATGATTTCGTTTCGACTGAGGAAACTCATTTTTTATTTTTTCCTATAAAATTTTAATATTTTCATCAGTATTATTGATATTAATTTCAACTTCATGAATACTTTTATTTTCCAATCTCTGCTCAACTCTCCGCTTCCCTTTTTCTTTATTGTTCAGGAATATTGTGTATTATACTTTTAGAAACAAATTTGAACATGATTAAAGTACAAAGTACTGAAATATTCATAACTCCATTTTTTCAATAATAAAAAGGTATGAACGAGATCTATCCATGAACGAAACGTTCATGAGCCTTCTTCAGCCTAAGAAATACTTGAACTTCTCTGATTGACGACTTGTTTATTTTGTGGAAATTAATGTTCACTGAGGATACACTATAAAAACACACTTTTGTCTATTTTCCACGGTAGTTCTATATTTGTTGACTAGTTTCGGTCATTACGCCATGTATCCTCAGTGAAATACTTGAACGTACCTTATGAAGTAAGTCATAATTTGAAGAGAAAATTCAACTCCTGATAGTTCAGGAGTATATCAGTCGACTTCTATTGATCAAATGAGGAACACTTTCTTTAAAACTATTAAACATTAGCAAATCATCTTTTGGCAGAGTAATGAGACTAATTATAAATTTGATGTATTACATTCGGAAGAGGGAGATTTAAAACTCGGTGTTTTGGAATGGAACCAACAGATTCAAGGACAATTGAAAACTGCTCAATAACCAGGTGGAATTAAATCATTCTCCTCTGAATTGAAGAAATTGATATTTTTTTGACAGTTTGGTAGAATACAGCTTATTCTTATGATGATGGTACAATTATTTGTCTTTGAGTAATGAGTGAAAATCAATATAATTTCATTCATTTATACACTGCATCTTCAGTATACTTTGTTTTAGAAATATTTTTAACAAATGTCAGCGTCTCATGACATTTTCCTAACAATTCGTCTATTTCCGCTCATAATAACTTATTTTATTCCTAGGCTGATTTTTTCTTTCTTTCTTTCCATCTATCTTCAATCAGTCATCAATACATTCAGAACATAATTTTGTTCTACACCCAATTTAATAAAATCGAAAAATCTTCCTTCGGCCCAACTATCAAAATAAACCGAATATTCAAATCGAATCTCATTTTGATATCCCCCGCCAAACAATTCACCGATCCATCATGCGGGTGGGCCAGACATATGCGCCAGTCTAATGGATTTCTAGACGAATGTTTGTTTTATCCTGCTGTCATTTGTATCCGTATCAGGTTCTCAAATTAAAAAACTAACCACTTTTTCGAAGGAGTGACGAATATGTAGAGAGAAATGAAATTAATGCCACTCAATATGGCGTAATTACTTCGTTTTTGTGTGAGGAAACAGGGTTGGACAAACACTCGAAAGAATCCGCATTGGCAGATCAAAATAAGGGTAATGACTTTCAAACAAATCTTGAAAACGACAAATTTATTGGCAATAATTTTTTCGGTGCTTGCTGGATACCCCAGTACTTTCTATCCAGACCAATCTGGAATCAGGATAGTTCTAAAAGTGATTCAGAAAACTTGCTTGCGGTTTAATATGGTTCCTTTGAAACTTACCTGAAATTTAAGACAGAGATAAGCAGTCTGTGCCATCATCTTCATGGCTCTACTCAAACTGGCCGTTTTATCTTCTTGTTTGTCCTTTTATACGGTTAGAACACCTTAGTGCAGGTATTTGTCCCCTCGTGTCATTCAGATGTCTCTTTAAATTTGACAGAAGGGGACAAATACCTGCACTAAGGTGTTCTAACTGTATAAAACAACAAACAAGCCTGCTATTGTAAACATATATAATATTAAAGTACTGTCATGGATCTATGCAGGAACTAACAGAACCTTCAACAAACTCTGATGAAAATCAGTAGCATCCATATTGTTACTTGGGATGCCTTCCAGAGAATTAAGAACTCAATATTCTGGACCAATTTCATCAACTCAATCTTGCTCTCCTGTCACACTCTTCATTTTTCCTTCTCCAGGTCCTCTTAGGCGCAAAAATATATTCCTGACAAAAGACGACTAGCATTCGTATTGCATAACTCAATCTGTGGTAATTGGGTGGTGGTAAATAAAAGACATAATTCAGAAGCTATAACATTTACTAGTTAATAGGTCGCCAATACAGCTACGACACCTCATTTGGATTGGTGAACTTTTTTTTTACCTGGAACAGATTGAAATACTTTGAATAGGCATTCCAAATAATGTATGATTCATTTTGTGAGCAGTATCTCTGTTGAAAATGAGCATGATGAGCTTACGAAGACCCCTACCTAAGGAACGAGTGTTATATCCCATAGAACACATAGGACACAGGTCAAAACAGCACTCTGTTTTTGAATCAAGAATACCTTGTTGAACTCTGATCATATCTGACATTTTAATAATTTTGTGATTACAGGAGTATATTTGTGAGGCTTCCTTTATTGCCTGAGAAACGGGGATGAAACCGAACAGGTTTCCAGGGAATTGGAAAAATGTTGTTTTCTTCATCATCGGTAACAAATACTTAAATTTTTATGTGTTTGACTCAATGAGGCCCACACAAAATGAACTCATGATACATCCATTTACACACTCACTAAACATCGGACTTACTTGGTTTGAAAAGAATTCCTTCTACCCGAATTAGAGGCAGCTCGTAGAATATGGTGAAGAGGAAAGCCAGGATGAACGAGCTGAATAAGTCTGACATTGCGTCGTATATCTGAAGTTTTATGATGGTGAGTCTTTTTGTTGAAGGTATTTACCAAAAATACAGAAACTTACCGCGTTAACATCAGAAAAAGACATGGGTACTTTGGCTGATCCACACTTGTACAATTGGACAATACTGTGGATCAGAAATATCCCGTAGGTGATTCTACTTAAAACTTTGAAGATGTGGGCAGATAGGAAATCATTCATGACTCCTGAAACAGGGGATAATAAGGTTATCGTTGATTAATAAAACAAATAATACATGAAAAAACATTTGATAATTAAATGGAATATACAAATGTAAGAGGAACTATTGATGGTATTTCTTGTGGTACCAAGTTCTCCTAAATGTCAATAGATGGAGCTAAAAATAATGTATTACTACTTCAACAACTTTTACAACTAATAATCAAAATTTGAGAACGTGGAAATGTTTTCTACTTACCTCCTTGTCCATGCATGCAAGACCACATGATCCAAACTAATCCTACAGTCCAGGCAGTCCTGGAAAAGGTCAAATATGCACTTGATTCCAGTTTGTTGTAATCGTGAGACTCCAGATAGAAAAAGTGGCATCCAAGCATCGCTGTAATCATGAGTACTGAGGAAATAATCCAGAGTACGACATTCATAGCTCTACCAAATGCAATTTCTTTCTCCTTGGTTTTAAATATAACGTATCCAAAAGTGAGACCTATTATATATGGAGCCGCCCGAATGTGCGGGGCTATATAATATTTTGAGAAATATTTCGTTTTGAACAGTTGGTTCCTGAAAAATTACATCCAATACTCACAAGAGCCTCGACAAATCTATTCCAGCAGTTAGATGCAAGTTAGACTTACGTTACAGGCAGCATTTCACCTGCATATTCATTTATCCACGCGTAATAAAAACTACTGGCCATAGATGAGATGAACAATAGGACGATTATCACATATCCTAGTCTGGGATATTTCCAAAGTGGGTACAGAATGACTGGAGACAAGAAATAGAATGGCACCTCGCAAGATAGATACCAAACTGGATAAATGCACTGAAAACATAAAAGAATAGTTGAAACATCCAACAGAAAAGCAGCAGAATAATTCAGTTGTTGAGTAACTGTGAAATCATTCCAGAATATTTGTTTTTCCAGGAACATGGGATTAGATTTATTAAGTCTCATTGATACTAATTGCTGGTTTAACGAATATTAACCTCTCCAATTCAGGGTTACTTTATATAGTCTTTGCAAGATACTAACAATTTAATTTGATGTAACCTTCACGAATCAAATAAGATGCATTCTGAAATTTCATATGATACCTTGATTGATCAGTAACACTAGTTTTTGTAGTGATTGCAAGAGAATATATAAACTTTTATACAGACTGTCGTGAATAACTGAATAAATAATTGATAATGACCAACTTATCTGGGTTGACATAAGACTGGAGGTGCAAAAGCGTCGACCACCAATAATCCTGGCAGAATTTCTGATGATCTACATAGACATTATGAAGTACAGGCCCGCTTCCCAAAAACTGGGGCAAAGTGGCATAGAACAGCACTACCAGAGCCAAAGGTAGTGTTATCCGCAAATATCTATGTAAATAAAACAGCGCCAAATTGAAACTGCCAGTTTTCGAGACGTATTCGAAAAATCCAAGAGAAACCAGCATCCCACTAGTCATGAAGAATGAATCTACGCTTACGGTACTACCAAGGATCAGAGTACTGGAATACCGGATGATCCACTGCAACACAAATATCAGTTTCTCACATGATGATGGTATTTTCATGAAAAACTCACGTCTAGCTCTTCCAGTTGATTTATGACAGGAAACATAATGTACATGATGTATCTGTGCCCTACTACAACGTAACAAGAACTCAAAATCCGCAACCCGTGCAGAAAGTCCATTTCTTTCTTTCCAGTGCCCGTTTTTAGAACTCTTTGCATGTTGGCGTATCCAGAAAAAGTATCCAAGAATATGCTGTTGTGATCTAAAATCAAGAATTTGAATCAAGGAACTATTTCTATTTGATTTACTTTTGAATCATTCACCTGAACCAGCTCGATAATCTATTATTCCACTTACGACGCCTATGATTATGAAACTTGAGAAAATTGATCTGTGAAAATAGGAGTTTTTATTGCGCACTTGAATATAGGACAAATTTTTCAAAACTATCAATAATATAAGAGCTCCGAGATTTGTAATTCTCAATTACTCACAATACAACGTACTGGCTCCTCTCCATGACAGGTTGATCCAGAATGCTGTTGCAGTAACTTTCATCCAAATTTACTTCGAGATCCAAACCCTCTGCCATCTCGATTAATGTCTTGTTGAAGTGTCTTAAAATATCATCTCTTGGACAGGAGTGCGGCAAACAAACTGACCAACCGATTTCAGTCATTTCAACCATGCTATATACTTTTCTAAACCTCTAAAAAAATAATGGAATCCTGAATTCCACAGCGTACAAAAACATCATACCTTTTCCGAAACATTTCTGAAAGCCAACACCGTTTTGATGAGTGGAACGCTTGGTTTTATTTTAAGTAGACAATGTTTTCCGTAAATTGGCCCAAAATCGGTGTTCTGGTATATTTTGATGCACTGCGAAAAAGAACCAAAGTCCACTAGGTTGCCAAGTAAAATACCACCCTGTAGTTTGGAGGAAGAATCAAACACTGAAAGACATAAAAAAGGAAATGTATACATTCTTTTACGGTGAGTAATTTCGAATTTTGGACCTATTTATAAAACGAAATTTTCTGTGGTTCATACAAATGAACAACAGAACTAACTTCAAATCATCTAAAATGCAATATTTTTAACTTCTGTATTTCTAAAATATTATAGACTGAGATCAGGTGATCCTGGTGGCCTTTCCAAGAATCCTGCTGCTTGGATTCCACTATTTTTGTTGCAATAACCCAACTTCTTGAATTTTCAGGACTTACTTTGAAGTGCCCATGGCTCAAACGATCTCAGCCCTTTTTTAAATTCTCTGGTATGGTTAGCACACAGTTTATTCTGTACATGGTCCAAGGCGTAGACTGCCAATATTTGGTTCATCAATATGCCCTGTCGTGTTGTCAACTTTACAGCTCTTCTCGTAGACATGTCCTGTTCTGAAGCTGAGGTGGGGCTCGTGTTATTTTCTGAACTATTATTTTTTTCATCTTTGGATAAAATAGGAGTTGGCGAAGTTTCTGAAAAATTACAAGTTATGGATGTCTATTTCTAAATTTCGTACGAGTACTTTTTGTGATCATTGAGAAAATATTTTGAAGAAGCACAGACAGCACTATTAGAAATAATAATCTGTTCATCTTTTCACCGAATGGGGAAGAAACTGCCTGGGGAGTTTATTTTATAAGAAATATGGAAGTTTTTCAATTTGATCTAATGATATGTTATTACTCGTAATACTTTTTCAAACTTTGACTGGAGGAGAAACTAAACATCAACCAAGTTTGCTAGAATGTCAATGTATGAAATAAAAGTAAGTTTTAATAGGGAGTTGCATATGTTAAAGTTCCCAAGTGTAGAATTGGAATTGGAAGGAGTAAATTTTTAGGAGCCATCCATTTTTAGGGAAGATTAATTTTCGGTATTTGTTCGGTAGTTATTTGAAGAGAGCTTTTCTGGTTTGTGTGTGAAAGTTACTTCTTTGCATGATCTACACATCTTTGTAAAGAGTTTATTTTGAAATAAACTGCTTTCTTTCTTTGGAAGATTTCCCCTTTTTATGTATAAAGATAGAATAGGATCGAATTGTGAAACAGCTATAATTCAAAGAGTTATTTCACACAGCCAAGTATAAAGCAGTTGAGTTCAGAAAGAACATCTGATTTTGTGAATTGAAATGAATACAAAAGGTCACAGGTCACTCGATAAGTTTCGATTATTCTTCACTAGATATTGGGTAAGACTTTATTTCGATAAGAGTTTATGGGAATGAACAACAACGACCCATCAGTGTTTATCTAAGATGCTCATGGTGTTTGTCGGTAACATTAATAAGAGGGCTATCGTTTTCGGACTGAAGAAGAACCTAATGAAATTGTTTAAAAAACCTGTGTAAGGTTTTCGAAATCTCAAAGTGGAAAAAGTCAAGGGTCTCTGTATCAGTTTGAAAGAAATCATCAAGATGTGGAGGAACGGCAAATCTTTAGCTGAGAAGCTCAGAATGGTTTCTAGGAATTATGTGAGTAGAATTACAGAGAAAACTAGGTATGACAAAAAATTTTTAATGCAAAGATTCAGACAATAATTCAATATTCTTGTGTATCTACCTGAGCACTATAAAAGCACTAGATTGAAATGAAAAGGTTTCTGAAATTGGGACAAAACGCAAAACAATTTTAACAGCTTTCTGGTCAGAAATAACATAGGCAGTGAGATTGATTTTCCTGAAATCATCATGATATACTAACATTCTTGTGGAAAACTGACTCCCGTGAGCTCAACATCAAATTCAACTTAGTTACCATTGATATCAACATAAATTTCAGTTGATCAATAGTATAATAAATTCATTTATTTGATGATGATTTATTGAAGATTTGCCGATTTGCTATTCATCATTATTTAAGTAGTAGGTATTATCATAGTTATCTTTTGATACAACACCACCATAGATTCACTATGAAACATCTAAACTGTGAAGATGTCATGAACTACACCTTCGATTTGATCTCCACAAACGATGTGATCTTCACAAAGTTTGTGGAGATCGAATCGTGATCTTCACAAAGTATTTACTCTCAGAATTTATTCTACACTATAATGTCTTCACTTATAAGATCCCTTTCGCATAATTCATTTCGAGAGGTCAATTGATTTCAGTAATGCATTTCTTTCTCAGCGCATAAAATGTTTTTTGAAAAAAACAACTTTCTCATGTGAAAGTATAATTTTTCAGCTCGTATCTAAAAAAGTATGTCTATGATGTATATTTCTTCGTACGCTTAATAATAGAGGAGCCCAAGCAGGAATTTCGGGATTCACTAAAGCGCGGCAGATTAATATACAGGGGGATACCTTGTACCCGGTTAAGTACCTCTACCAAATATGAGCCCCATATATAAGGCCGCCTGTGAGGAATAAAGAATCAGATTAGTAAATTCTCGAGCGCGTCAGATTAAGGTAGGGTGAGTTAATTACCTTCTAAGAAGTGTATATTCCAGTAATTTGACAATTTGAGAGTGACGTAAAGAAAGGGGAGGGCCGCAAAGTTGTAAAAAAATAACGTCAATTCGATATTCTCGAGCGTAGCTAATTCATTTTTTATTTTGAAGGAAATAATTCAAGTATAACGAAAAATATATAATCTGACGATTTCCGCAAGCCGAAGTATTTAAAAAACATACACTTATTTATTTGCATGCTATTTCCTGAGCTTTTCAATTAATTAAGTTCAATGAATTGAAAATAATTATTTTTTTTTCATATTGTTTTTGTCAGATTAAGCGAATCCCTCTAGATAATCGTCAGATTATGAGACAGCACGTCTAAAACATAAAGATGAACCATATATATCTTAATCTGACGCGCTTGAGTATTTCAAAATGGCGAATTTTTCTTTCACATTATAATAATGGCCGCGAGTTTGCGTCAGATTATTGAATGAGAGCTTTTTTTGTTGCACTTAACACCTCCTTAGAAAATCTGACACGCTCGATTAATTTTTTTTCTTTTCACTTTCAACCCTTACGTACAACCACCCAGATCATGCAAACGATCAGATTGACATACCAACATTATTAAAAATACGTAGGACATTGATGCTATTAATATCTGACGCGCTCGAGTATGTCCATGCAACAGTATTTTTTTACATATTTAAAACTCTATTGCCGCTTCCCCCACCGATGAAAAGGTATATATTATATAACATTTTTTTCTTATTATCATCTAAGCTTTGCAACCTAATATGTCTCAATGACGCTCGAGTAAATCCCCATTTTGCATCGTGAGCTCCCCTGCTATAATGATGGGTGTTTCCCACAATCACATTTTTTTGATGATGGGACGGTAAAAAGCCAAAAAGTTTTTTTTCCCAAAGTACTAATATCCCCATGTCCATGTGTGATATATAAGCATACGAGCTCCATATTATTTTCTTTGATGCAAGTATGTCAACACAGCATTATTTTCAAAATGTATCTCTTGATAATATTGCATTATCTTATCTTGAACAGTTTTTATCTGAATTTAAAATAATCAAGGCAGTCTCCAAATTGAGTAACGATGGAAATGTTTGTATTTGACGGTTTTAACAAGATTATTATTAATAGATTTATTTTGATTATTGTGAAACAAACAGTGATACGTAAGAACTCAATAGCCTAGTCAATTTTATAGTGAAATTAAGGAACTCCAATGGAAATGGATAATCATACACGTATTGTAAATCTTTACTGATATAAATGTGAAAGTTTGTATGTATGTATTTATGTGGCTCTTTCACGCCTAAACGACTGTTTAAAATCTGTTTAAAATCTGTTTAAAATCTGTTTTTCCGTTAACCAGCTGTCGCACCCCTACGAACGACAACCCTCAGAAGTCGAAACTTGTGCGAGCTAAGGATTAACGAGGTCTTACCTTTTAACGTGTGATTCCTGAACAGATTCAGATGAAACTTTATATTAATACAGCTCATACATCAGAATGACATATAGGATACAATTCACAAAAGTTTTGTGTAATTTTGGTCATAATATAAACGATAAGTATTAAGTAAGTCGGAAAAAATCTTGCCCCCTGAGATCTATCTATTGGCGTGCGCTGCCTATACCGTTAGAGTTACATGTAGATAAAATATCGTAAGATTGTTTATCTTAAATAGTTCTAAATAAAATTTCGCGATAGCATATAACTACCTCATATGTGGTAGCCACTATATGCAAAATACTGAGCCATAAATAGAATTGATTCGAATACTTTTTTTCAGTCCACGTTTTAGAATATCTGTCAAAGTCTCATGGAAATTGATACAATTTTCTTTTCAAGTATTTAATATAGATAAACTGTGTCTGTTACACTAGATAAATTGGACGAATCCTTCAAAAGGTATTACGATAAGATTAACTTTACGCAACGCAGTAAGCCATTATGCGTCGCGTCTACTGTAAGACGTCGGGGGAAGATGCGCAGGGGAAGAGGGGCGATCTAAGCAATGAAGCGCCATCGCCCAGAACGCAATCCGAACGCGGGCAGACGCGTGAGGGCAGACGTCGTTGACGGTTGTGTTACTTTTACGAATTCGATTCCCGAAGCTATTCATACGCAGTGTAGTTGGCATATTTTTTTAGTTACTGTATTTTTTAAGTGAAAATACAAATTACGAGCTGATGCCCGCTCTTATATTGACGTACAGCCGAAGCTACGGAACCTAGAATCTTGAAATGTACAGGTAGGTTCTTTGTATAGCGTAAATAAGCATAAAGAAAGTAAATTCGTCAGTTTCGAAGTTGGAAACCTGAAGTTTTGGGATAGTAAACAAATATTGTAACTATTTGTTTAAACAAACAAACAAACAACTAGTCATTGATAATACATATAATACAGTTTCTGGGACTCTTCATCGGCTCTCATTGAATTTGGGAAGCAGATTAAACATTTGAAAAGTTAGTTATCTTCGGGTTATCCAATGAGAGTCATTTCGTGAGACTTTTGACTCTCTTCGGCAAAACGGCACACCATACCGTAATAGAGTCACACCTAAGGCATGAAATACCTTTTTGTGGGGTCAGATTAGAAAAAAATTGCGATTATACGTATATGATGGATCTACGTGACTCAGACAAGCAGGTTTCTGAAGACAAAAATACTGACAGTTGTAGCTCATTTCAACTCAGAAACTGTTCGTCTTCAGAAAACACAAATATTGTGACTTGATAGAACATTTGTCCTATGGCCTAATCAGAGAAACTTTTTGTATAATGGTGAGAAAATGTGAAATCATATACCAGAGTAAGTTGAAGAAATCAATTAAAACATCAACTCATTCACGAAAAACTTCAAACATTCATTGATAAATAGGTCCTAATATAGTTTGACAAATTAATGAATTAACTGTCTTAAACAAATTTATTTCCAACAATATGTCAATAATCACAAACTAATTTATTTATTATAGCACTTAGCAACTAACGCTTAGTTCATTTCCACTATTCGAATTTCTTGTTTAGCCGCTCGATTCACTTTCTAAACTGCCCTCTTGAGTCGGGAAGGCGGGCTTATATCGGTAAATGACCTTTCGAGAATTCTGTAGACGGTTCGGTACTCGTCTAGAATTTTACCGGCGGTTCCAGACTGCATTCTTTCGAGGTGAGGCCATGTGTTTGTTTGATGAGTCGGCTATCGTATCAACTCAACCGGTCAGGAGCAACTTCAGATTCGTTACAATAGTTTTCATGAATGTCATAATCATTCAGACAACAAAGTACAATTATTATTATGATAATTATTATTTTCAGGTTACGGCCAAAACCAAAACTATCGCCATCAGACGCGAGGACCAGAGCGTTTGGGAGAGACGCGCCCCTTTTGCTCCCAGCCATGTCCGCAAACTAGTCAAAAGAGGGGTCAAAGTTATCGTCCAGCCCAGCAACCGCAGAGCATACCCCATGCAGGCCTACATCAACGCGGGGGCCACTGTGCAAGAAGACATCTCGGAGGCGACCGTCATATTCGGAGTGAAGCAGGTACATCAGTAAAGAGTAGTAAAAGCAAAGGATATAAAAACAATAACAGCGAAAATCGCAGGAAATCTTGATTCGAGATGCGAGAGACGAAATGGAATGAATTTCCTTCGAAACCACACCTTCTGCTCGAAAGAAAAACGTGGAAGTTGTAGTAATATCCCTCGTATCTTGAATCGACTATTTTTTTTGTTGTAGTCTCACTATTTCATTTCTTCCACACTAACAGCATGTCGTTATCGATTCATTTCACTTCAAAAATTATTTGCATCGGCAGGTACCAATTGACCAGCTCATACCCGACAAAACGTATTGTATATTCTCGCACACGATCAAGGCGCAGGAATCCAACTTGCCGCTCCTGGACGCCATTCTGGAGAAGCGGATCCGTCTCATAGACTACGAGAAGCTCATGAACGAGAAGGGGACCAGAGTGGTGGCTTTCGGAAAGATGGCCGGTATTGCAGGAACTGTCAACATCCTGCACGGTATGGGGCTGAGGTTGTTGGCACTTGGACATCACACTCCTTTTATGCATATTGGACCTGCGCATAACTACAGGTGGGTTTTTGCTGACGGAATTGCTGATGAGACTTATGGCCGTATTCTCCGTAGAGTATTGAGCCTGGCTTGGACCTCAAGCTCGTCTAATTCCTATATATATACGCATCGTAACAAAATTCGGATTTGATTCCCCTTGAAGTTATGCACTCCACTCTGGCAGTTAAGAGCTTCCAAGCTAAGCTTTCATGAACCTAACCTAGCTGTCCTAACCTACAAATAACATATATTTAATGGTCTACGATATTCATCCTTTCGTCCTTGTGTTAATCTAAGCAATTATATAAGTTTACTGTGCCATTGATTTACATTGTGACAACTTTCTTAAAGTAAGAGTTTGGTATAAGCTGTGTTAGATATAATTCCCCTATCAGCTAATTTCTCAAGATGAGGGCATTTTCTGCCTCCATGTCCCAGAATTGAGTATCCAAAATATGGAATATATTGTCTGTACCCGAGACTCCTTCTACTTTAAGTGCACAATTTCGACCAGTTATCATTGATTTTGACATAAAATTCTTCTTCTCTCTGTTGTGCTTGGTGAGCATGACTTACTTAAAAATTTCTGCAATTTCAGAGCATTACCACATGTATATTCAGCTTCATAAAGTCTGGCTCAAGTAATGGCGGTGCTTAATTTTTCAACCGACCTTAGTAAAGCCTGGCTTTGCATGATATGCGGAGAATACGGGCATTAGACTGACACTGGCACTCCCATATTCACTTTTTTATTTCTGCATTCATCGTTGTCTTTCGATGGCTTCACCATACCTTCACTGTACAAACTGTTGCTTTTACAGAAACTCCAGTATGGCCAGACAAGCCGTCAGAGACGCAGGGTATGAGATAGCCCTGGGGCTCATGCCAAAATCCATAGGACCTCTCACCTTCGTATTCACCGGATCGGGAAACGTTTCTCAGGGATCTCAGGAAGTTTTTCAAGAGCTGCCTCACGAATACGTCAGTCCAGAACTTCTGAAGAAGGTTGCAGAACACGGGAGTTTGAACAAAGTCTACGGGTGTGAGGTAAATGCTTTTCCTTCAAGATTGGTTTCTTCCCCGTAGTCATTAGGCAGAGGCTGGAGACAACTCTGTTGAAAATATTTTCCGTTTGTTCGTTATGAACTGCAGATTTTTATGACGTCTACCAACTGCGGCATAGCTACCTGTAGATCACGATCAACAAAATCAAAATATATATCAAATACAGTCATTCGTCAAAATTAGTCGTACAGAAAGTATGAAGATTCTGTTGTTGTATTAGGTTAGAAGAAGACACTACCTGGAACGTGCAGATGGTGGGGGTTTCGACCCTGTGGAATACGAAGAACACCCAGAGCGATACATATCTACGTTCAACAAAAAAATTGCTCCATACGCCTCAGTGCTGGTCAACGGGATATACTGGGCCGTGAACAGTCCAAAACTACTGACGATTCCTGATGCTAAACATCTTCTTAGGCCGGCTCACACTCCATGGTTACCAACCTCCGTAGGAGCTCCAGCATTACCTCACAGGATGTTGGCCATATGCGATATTTCAGCAGATCCAGGTAAAAATGCAATTTAAGCTTTTGTATCTCTCAATTTCTCGGTAGTTTTCACAAAAAAAAAGAAGAGAAGAAACATATATCAAACTCACACTATAGTTTCATCACCATTACTAATATTTTATGTATATCGGAGTCACTAAGAAATAATTTTGTTTACTGGCTTGAACCTGTTCAGTTCTCAAACTCGAAATCTCTTTTTCTTCAGAAAGAAATATATTCAGGCTTGTTCTTTATGGAGACTTATTTTGAATTCAAGGTTTGAGAAAGGTTTGAGTTCTGTGTAATTCCCATAGATGGCGTGTTCGTAAGGGGAATTGTCATCGTCTCTAGCTACTTTGACCTGTCCCTGGACAGTTAAATGGTACTGCCATCACCACTAATGAGTCCTAACATGGTTCGAAACAGCGCTATCTGGTGTTAGATCACAGCGTTGATGGAGATTTTATTAGAACGTTTTGATGCCGGTTTAAGTTTTGGGTTCACCAAATTTGAGGTTTATCAAATTGAATTTCTTGCAGGTGGCTCAATCGAATTTATGAACGAATGTACGACCATAGACACCCCGTTTTGTCTATACGACGCAGATCGAAATAAAGACACCAGAAGTTTCAATGGACCAGGAGTGCTGGTGTGCAGCATCGATAATATGCCCACGCAGATACCTAGAGAGAGCACAGACTTTTTTGGAGATCTGCTGTACCCCTTTGCTTTCGATATAATCCAAAGCAATGCTCAAGAACCACTGGAGAGGCACAGCTTTTGTCCTGTTGTGAATGGGGTGAGTAAAAAGCGAAAATACCTTTTTCCCAAATTTTTTTATTTTCATGGTCACAAAAATACAAGTACTCTTCATGTTTAACTTTACAGGCTATAATTGCCAGTAACGGACGACTGACTACCAATTACGAGTACATTCAAGAGCTGAGAAAAAGCTCGAGGTAAGTTTATTGTTAGTATGGCTTTTGTTTGGTTCACCCACAAAAATCTATTACACAGCAAAAGCAAACACAAATCAAGCGGTGATGGCACTCCCAATGAAAAGAACGTTCTCATATTAGGAGCAGGCAGGGTAGCATCCCCATTGGTAGAATACTTATACAGAGATAAATCAGTCGGCATCACAGTCGCTTGTGAACAAACAGAGCTAGGGGATAGACTAGCTAATGATTATCCAGGTATGTATCAGTCTTCCTGTATTTGAATGCTAGTTTAAACAATTCCAATCCAGATGTTTGTTTTCATTAAGGAACTATTCAATTATTACTCATGCTTATATTATTTCATAGGTGTGGAGAGTACCTACCTGAACGCAACCGAAAATACATCTTCTCTGCAAGATCTAGTCAGGAAAGCTGATGTTGTAGTATCTATATTACCTGCTAGTTTGCATTCTGTTGTGGCTAAGGCCTGTATCAACGAAGGCGTGCATATGGTGACTGCTAGTTATATGTCCCCGACAGTTAAAGACCTTCATCAGGCAGCCCAAAATGCCGGAGTGACCATTTTGAACGAAGTCGGTCTAGACCCAGGTGAGATACATCAAAGTCAAACTAACGTTTCATCTCATATAGCACGCGTATTATTCGATAAGTCGGAATAAATTTCCGATAAAACCCCTTTCACAACATAATAAAAAACACCCAGGTAAATTTCCTGGCCGCCTACCCCTAGTAGCTGTGGCCACGCAGATCATGGAACATTATATCAAGAAATTGTCTTTTTCTTCTTTATTTGGTTGGAAGCGCTTTCAAAGCATTTTGCCACGATATATCTGGATGGAAATTGAAATTTTTAATGATAATGTGGACGTGGAATGAAACTCAAAATTGAATAGCCCATATGTGAAGTAGTTCAGCTGAAGAGAGCCATTTCACTTCAACACATATCGCAGTGTTTCTATAATTATTATTTGATGCTGAAGATGTAGGCATCAAAAATCAGTCCAGCCGTACTTGAGTTATAAATACAATTCTGTGACTTTATTCTTATATCAGATATATATTATATCAAATATACTGATACCAATAACATTATTTATTCATAATGCACACATACAACCGCGAATTCACAGTGATAACGGTAAATCATGACCAGCGTCTGTAGACAGCAAACTCCTCGCATGTGAACTTTTAAACATCAGTTTGTTACATTTATAAAAATGGAGAATATAGTAGATTGATAAAAAAATGTTCAATTGAACAAAATCTGACCTCTAATCTATCACAGTCTACATTATAGGCAAACATAAACAAAGTATCCTATAAAGGTCGGCTAATTTCTGCTTTTCATGACAATTCGAATGATTTCAGGTATTGACCATTTCCTTGCCTTGGAATGTATACAGGAAGTGCAAAGCAGTGGTGGAACGGTAACGTCGTTTGAATCCTTCTGCGGGGGATTACCAGCGCCAGAATTCAGCGACAATCCTCTGAGATACAAGTTCTCCTGGTCACCAAGAGGTGCTCTTTTGAACACCGTATCGTCAGCAAGGTAATTAATATTTTTGAGTTCATGTTATTCAATTTTTTTGGATATTGTCAATGCCGTGGTAACTGAGTACCTTGAAAAAAGACATTTCAAACTGATTTTGAGATGTTATTTTTAAAAAGAAAAAAATCTGATATTAATATCAGAGTTTCCAGAGTCTTGTGGTGCATACTCAATACGTCCTCATTCCAAAATACCATAGTGTGAATAATTTTATACAAAAGCGTGTTATACGGTTTCCAACTAGTCATATTTCAGTATCTTCTACAGATATTTGAACATTTCCACCTCAGATCGAAGGAGATGCCTAAATATTCGATATTTTCTACTCGTTGGATATTATTAGGACAACAGAGAATGTTGATATCTACATTTTGGAAAGGAATGTTTTGATTTGCTGCATGTGAATGTCATACTTACGTTTCAGCCAAGCTTTTTCCTTGAGTTCTCCTCCAGTTCTCGTCTATTTTTTTGAAACTTTGAAAACACATAACTGTTATGCATAACTCTTCTAGTCGATGAACAAAGCTTCATCATCAAAAGAAAAATAAGATAAGGTGTATTGTAATATTGCAGATATCTTAGAAAAGGCCAAATCGTTGAAATCAGCGAAGGAGGCGAGTTGATGCGAGCAGCGCAACCCTTGGATTTCCTCCCCGGCTTCAACCTGGAAGGCTTCCCAAACAGAGACAGCTTGAAGTACGCCAAATTGTACGGCATAGATGGCGCTAACACGATCCTCAGAGGCACCATCAGATACAGCGGCTTTGCGCAAGCTGCGAGACAGCTTCAATTCCTGGGGCTGCTCGACAGCGAAATCCACCCCAGCTTGCACTTGCAAGGACCCGAAATCACGTGGCGGAAGTTCATCTGCGACCTGCTGGGGTTAGAAGACTCAAATATTTTCTATGACAACTTGAAGAGCAAGATTACCGAAAGAACGGGTACAGAGACCGCCGTGGATGTTTTGGAGGAATTGGGGTTGTTGGAGGAAAAAAGTGTGGTTAAGTGTGGAACGCCTTTAGATACGTTGACGCATTATTTGTCCACCAAACTGGCATTGGGTGAGATGTTTATCCTTATATCAAAAAAATCGTTGAATTGTACTTGTTCCAACCTCCAGAGTTGAGATTTTGATTTAATCTGATATTATGAAGGAAAAAGATTTGATATTTTCATGTTAATTTGTACTACATAAACTCAAAAGACTAATACTTGAATGATTTTAAAAATTCTTTCACCTATAAACAGTTACATTGTTGCTGAGTGATATTCTCACAATATCGCAGTAACTTAACCCAAGGTAGCAGGAATTTTACAATGAAACTGATTATCAGGTGTGCAGGGCAAAATATCGATGACACTTGAAATTACGTACTAGATGTTTATAATACCCATCATTACTCACAGAAAGTTTGACATGCTATATGTTGGAGCAGCACTCGTTAAACTATTTCTCTACTAGGAATGTCTTTGAGCTCTGATATTTCATAGCTGAGACTGCATGAGACTCATTTTCAATGAACCCTCGACATGGAGTGATAAATTTGTAAATCAACATCTTTTTTCAGAAAAAGACGAAAGGGATATCATAATCCTCAGGCACGATGTTGGAGTTCTATGGCCAGATAACAAAAAAGAAACTAGAGGAATCAACTTCGTGGTATACGGAGATATCAACGGGCATTCAGCCATGGCGAAAACGGTCGGTTATCCAGCAGCGATTGCTGCAAAAATGATTCTAGATGGTACGTCATATATATTATTGAATAATACCAACTTGAACAATATAATGTGTGCTAATTTTCAGGTGAAATTCAGGAACGGGGTTGCATACTTCCGTTCGCTCCAGAAATTTATAGAACAATGTTGCAAAGGCTGAGGATGGAAGGTTTCAACAGTAGCGAAACATCGAAGTTTGCCTAGATGTCCAGCTCATTCTCACTTGTTGATACAATTACAGCTGAAGGACTAAATATAATGTGTGATCTTACTTAATTAGGTGTTTATTCTAAGTAAATATTTTAGGCACCTGATGTTCTTTTCTGGGAAAGATACATTTTATTCAGTCGTTTTATAGACTGAAAAAAAATAGATTGATTAGTCCTTAATGAAAATGTATTATTAAGTATGTTCATTAGTTTTTAGAAGTCGATTTTTTGTTTATATCAACAGAAAAAAGAGTTAGTATTACAAATAATATATTTGTGATGACACATCAGCGAAAAATAAACCCAGCATTGTTTTATTTAGGTGATAAGAAAAAATGTTCATGATGGAATTTATGTATGGATTTTACTAAATACTTTTTTGGGTTTAAAGAATGTTCGAAGTGTTTTATTGCTTTTTTATTAGTTCATTTCATTCTATATTAAACTACAGACTAAAATAATATAGTGATGATGGTTCAAAGAAGAAATTCAAACACCATTTACCTCCACAGATGTCCTCAGAAACTTTAATCCATCCATAATAAGTTATTCGTAAGATTTTTAGACCATAATGAGATTAACTCATGAAGATAAATATTAGAAAATACCTCTCACCCTTAATATATTGTGCTTCTATGTACTATAGTCCTGTCTTTACCTTTGTTGTGCTTTCCGTTGGCACTAATCCCTTTTAGCAGAATCACGTCAAATCCAGAATCTCCAATATCTCACACATATATGCATGAAACGAAAAAACACATAGATAATATCAAATAGTGCAGAAATCCATTGGCTGCAGTATCGCTGAGAGCGAGGCCAGACTCTCACTGAACTTTCAATGTGTTTTCAACTCCATAACAAAAAAAAAGTATAAGTCATAACTGAACACAGAAAAATAAAAACCAAGAATAATGATTTATACGATGTTTTATGTTTGGTCATTATTAATTTGAGAGAACTGTTGTTAAACAAGTCATCCTCTTAACGAAAATATAGATCTGTAGAACGTATGACTCTATTCATACTCTGAGTGAAAAAAAAGTTTTGTGACTGAAGATAAAAATGAGCAACAATGTAGTTCAAATTTAAAATTACTAGATGACACAATCATTTTTTAAAGTACTTTATTTTGTATTGAAAAAAATTTAACGGTTTGACCCACTGAGTTGAAGGAATTTCGGTCAAAAAATGTGGAAATGAAGCTATGATATTTGTTGTGTCTCATCTGTTCCAAGATTTGGGATCAGTGATGCCAATCGCCAATCGATTATAATATTTTGTTTTCTTGGTTGGTAGTAAAATTGTGTCTCGTAATTAGACAACCAAACATACAAATTCACTTTTTAGTCGACCAATCAGCTTCAAGAGCAGTCCAAGTTCCACTTGTCAGAAATCGAGCTGCAGGCAAAAAGTCGAACTACAGTACCGTAACATACTATTGTTTTTTTGTGTGGTTTTATCTCCTTAGAAATGGTGCGTGCTCTGAAATCGTTAACAAAGGCGTTCCACCAAGTTTCCTAGTGTTCCGAAATACGCGTAGCGTCCCAAAAAAGAGACTTGGGAGAATGGAAAACAGTTCACAATCATCTACTAACCCCATTCCTCAGGGGTGTGGCCCAAATACCCAAATAAAAATACATGTGAGCCCCACCACGGGGGGCGACTTCTTCTTGTGTGTAGACTCGGACATTACCATCGATAATCTCAAAAAACTCGTCTCGAAAAGACTGAGAGTGCCCAGGAATAGGATATGTTTACTGTTCAGAGATAAGTGGGTTTCAGAGCCAAAGTACAGTTAGGCAGTTTTGTTTGCTAAATCCGATGTTTTTTAGGCAACTGCAGGGCGGAAATCTGGTTCAGAACGGAATTTCAGATGGGTCTAGGATTACTTTATTACCTAATGTGGAAACTGGGTTAATGGTAAGTAGTTTTTGCATAACATTGCACATTATAATTGCTATACTTTGATCTTGTGTTCTTGGAACTTCAAAGCTGATCCATTGTTGCACCATGATCGTGGATATTGACTAAACTTGTGTGATCTGTACCTAGTTGACAACAAATTAATTTATGGAACAAACATGCCTAATCAATAGGAACTATAACTTTTAGCATTGATTTGAATCCAGTCATCTAGTCTGGTCATTTCTATTTGAGTGGGATTAAGCTCTCAAGCTCATTTAATTTCAAAATGGGGATTTCATATGGTTTTAGATGATTTTTACACTCGAAAACTATTTGTCTTTGACATTGATATATGGGTTATAAATACATTTCTATCATGATATGTCTTGATTTATGATAATCACAAATTTTTAAATCTTTATAGAAGCAGGATATCAAAAAGTGTTTTTTTTATAGAGATTGCACGATTTTAAAGAACTTTCTTTCCTTGATTTTTATACAGGAATTTTTTAGGAAGGAGGAAAACGCAGTATCACTGTAGACTCCTTTCTAAAATTATAACCCAGTCACACATAGTTTCTCAGCTACAAGGTAATGAATTCTTTCTAGAAAGAAAGACAATGAAATCAGAATAAATGTTTTTTTCTATTGTTTTTTTTTGAGGTGTTCTTTGTTCCGTGAAAAAGAGTTGGACTTTTTTATGATCAATTGGCATTTTTTGCATAAAAAATATAGTGAGTGTTTTGTTGAGTTGGAAAATTCCGAAATGCAATACTCTTTTCTCAGGAGATGAAGAAAACCATCTCCATCTCCTGAAGATGCCAACTTTGTTGATGAAATGCTTACGGGAAGAGTATTGCATTTCCAGTGATTGGTAAAAGCGCTTAAAAAAGAAAAATATTTATAGAGAACAGTCGAAGCACCTTTGTGCATTTGCGCATTGGAAATAAGTCGACAAAGTTGATAAAATGATGGAAATGAAATGATGTTACTGCTGCTCCGGATTTGGAATTCGGCTCATGTTTTTCTAGCCAGCTCTCATCAGTGCAAACTATTATCCAAAGAAGAACTCTCTCTGATTGAACACAATCGTTACCTGTTTTGTGTTTGGTTTTCACTTCTAAAAGAAAAAGATGCTGCATGCAACACAATGAATTTTCATATATGTTAAGTCTTAAAAACTTGACATATGATGAATAGTTGATGGATTGCTTCAAATCTTCACCCTCCCACAAACTAAATAAATTGAAAAATTCCCAATATACAATCTGTCAAATCTATTTTTCTGCCCCCCTACGAAAGACAATTCTCAGAAGTCGAAACTTGCTTGAGCTGATGATTAAAGAGGTCATTCCTTTCAACGTGCGATTCCTAGCATAATGCTGTCTCATTTTGAAATTAATTGACATATACAATTGTGATAATTCTTGATGATAACCTCCAATGCAAAATAATATATGTATTTGTTCCTTTTAAAATTGTTATATTTGTATATTATGTGCTGTGATGATATTTAGGTTTTTAATTTTGTTTCATCTTCATTCTTTACTTTTTTTATGCAATTTTGACATCCTATTGTTGAATTTCTCCTGTTGTTTCAAATGGCTTTTTCTTAATTTATCATAATGTTTGTAATGTCTTCGATTGTATTATGATTATTGGGCTCATCAAAGAATAATAATGTAATATTTGTGCATACATTGAATACGATGAATTGTTTGATGTCCCTATTACCAATCCAATATGAATATGAGTATCGATTTGAAATTCATTTTGAAGGTCGTATGTGGTTAGCTTGTTGCTGTTAAAAAGACAAGCCGAATTGATTCAAAGTGAATTCTTAACGTGGCTGAATCTATAATCTAAATCAGAATTTCGGAAGTGATTTTCTTGAAAACATTCTTTACTCCATTCATAATTGTAAATCAAGGTTCAACATTACCAAATTCAACATCAATAAAGTACTATATTAACGTGCGCAGTTAATTATTTAATTGCTTGTAAATCAGTTCAATTTTTTTTACACGTCGTGTCAGTACATTGAAGGAAGTAATTTCAAACTGATTTTGGAAGGTTGTTTGTAATTATTAAACCTGAATAGATATTTACTGCTAAAAAATTCAAGGAAATCACGTAGGTACTTATCATCTTGATTTGACTGTATGACCTTTGCATTGAGTTTGACAAATTTACAATAGGAAATATAGTAGCAAAAGCTAGATCAGTTGAGACTGCTATTGCTAGAAAATTCGAGTTTATTTACAATTAAATTGATAAGGGAAGTATGTAGTTGCTAAGGTGTTTGATTCAGTAAATTGTGAAATAATGGTTAGTAAATTAGATAACAACAGCATTAGAGCATTAGAGGGATAATATGTTTTATGGAAGATAGGAAAATGGTAGTGACTGTGAATAATGCAGTATCTGATATTCAAGATATTATCCTTGGGGTACCGCAGGGATCCATTTTAGGTCCACTGCTTTCCTCTATTTATATAAATGATCTACCTGTCTGAAGTGTCCGATCTGTGTTTATACTGTAGACCGTTACTATTGTTTTTTTTAATTTATGACATGTCTAATATCATGTGAATGATCTAAAAGATGAATACAGTTATTATTATTATGTATCCCAAGCTTTGGCATCAAAAAAGTTCATAAGAGGCTCTTCTCAAGTATATTCTTTCCACTATAATTTGTGATTGTTTCAGTCGTTTCAACAAAACCATAATAATGAATATTCTGATTGGTCGATGATGCTGTCATGTCCTCCAAAAATGTCAGAGCCTCGAGTAAAGGGCCCCACTTTTTAAGATTACAACGAATAACTGAAACGTAAATTTGACTGTTTTCCAGGCCCATCGGTCGGAGACGAGCATACTGCAAGCTCTAGAATCTCTGAACGACACGCAAGTGAACGAGTTCCTCTGCGGCAAGGCTCCCCTCAACCTGAGCATGCGACTCGGCGACCACATGATGGTCATCCAACTGCAGCTGAGCACGATTTCGTCCGTCAAATCGACGTCTTCGAGTGGTGGGTCTGCTTCGTCGTCCCCCTCCTCCTCAGGTACCCCCACGGCGGGTCCTTCTCAGCCGCGCCCGTCCAGCCCCCCGAGTCTCCTGCAGGCCTCGCGCAATCTCCAGCACACACTCAGAAAACTGTCCTCCGACGTTTTCTCCGGGAAAGATAGGAGGAGTAAGTAACAGTAACAATTTTATCTCTTTTAATCTTGAAATTTGTTCCCATAATTCTTTTACAAATCATCTCTTACTCAGAGCAGTGTAACAAACTTCAAATTCACTGTTAACTGGTTCAGTGATCCAATAATTTTTCTGAAAAAGGGGTTGGGTGGGTAACAGGATCAATTTTTTCTTTAATAAAACAATTGTATTATTGCCGACGTTTCGAATTTAATTAAATTCCTCTTCAGGGCTCTGTAACAATGAATTTTCATAAATATACCTTCCACAAAACTTATATTTTTCATCTGATCAGTACCGTAGATTGCCGAGGAGAGTGGTGTGATGACTGCTACCTAGGACCTCCCTAATGATTTTTTTAGTTTTCAGTACATTTTTCAATAAAACCGTTTAACATAGAAATTTTTTGTTACTTTCTTATTTTCAAGATTTTGTTTCTAATTTTCAACCACCCTAATGCCACACAGTTATCGGTACGTTTCAAACTTTTACCTTAACTTGGGTGGTGTACCACTAACGACACGACATATTATTGTTAGCCATACATTCCTCTCCAAACAGCTAGTTTCATATAAACATTGAATTACATGACAGAAATATACTTTCGAAACAAATACTTTTATATGAACGCTGAATTATACTTTTCTCTATTCAGTTTGTATTCCAAACATTCGTATGGGATCGAATCAGATTATATTGAATTTGCATCTTTTTTGTAGTGTACTATCATAGTACTATTCAAGCCCTTGATGCCATATTGAGGTCGTTGTTGAATAATATGTAATCCGCCATTGTGTAGCTGCAGCCATCTTGAACTTGCCCTATTATTTGATATCTATATTGAGGTAGTTGTGAAAAAATGTTTAGTCCGCCATTTTGTAGTTGCGACCATCTTAAACTTCCACTATCATTTGATATCTATATTGAGCTAGTTGTGAAAAAACGTGCAATCCGCCATTTTGTAGCTGCGGCCATCTTGATCTTGCTCTGTTATTTAATATCTATATTGAGGTAGTTGTGCAAAAAACGTGTAATCCCCCACTTTGTAGCTGCGGCCATCTTGAACTTGTCCTGTTTTTTGATATCTATATTGAGTTAGTTGTGAAAAAACGTGTAATCCGCTATTTTATAGCTGCGGACACCTTGAAAAATTCAATGATACAGAATTTATTAAAATCTATCGTCATCAAAAATGAACCAAATTCCAGCCAAATAAGTAAACAAACGAGCAGGGCAAACTAAATAAAACTGTTTAAAAATAAATTATCTTTACCCTTCAGTGAAGATTTTTCAAGGTGTGCTTGTTTTATAATCTGTTTCAAATTATGAGTTTCAAATTAACACAATTCAATAGATTATTTTTAGGGCCTTTACATCTTTCAGGGATTTATTTTTCTTCCATACTTTCAGAATTCATCGAATATCTAACAAATGATAATGCAACGTTTGTTCCAATGAACTTTGCATATATATTCTATTCAGTGATTTCACATAATCAAGTAAACTTTGCTCATGGTTATCAATGCAAGTTGTTTGTATGGTAATTGTGTAAGAGTGTAAATGGGTATGTGTCCATTGCATATCGTAACTTTTCCAACTCATATTTCATGCTTACAATAAAACCAAAATTGAGAAATTGAACTGATGCGGTTGACAATATTTTTTGTTTTCTTAAATAAAAGTGTGTCTCCTACACAAGTTCACAAGGTTGCCATGTTTGATAGTTTTAGTATAGACAGAGCAATATCAAATATTAATCACTGTATTTGTGTTCTCCAGGGTTCAATTTTGAAGCCTTTTTTTATATACAGGGGTATTACAATTCAAGTCTGTGCATGGTGATCTTGTAAACGGTGGATGTTAGGGAGTCGGTTAAATTGTGGCAAAGTTAAACAAAATAGAAATCAATGGATAAATGAATATTTTTTGAGAAAAATGAAAAATCACCTTATTTTTTTAACAGACCTAGTATATTGATATCCAACTGATTGAAAGTTTTCTTTTTGTAACTTTTAAGCACTTTTTATAAGCTTATTCAGTAATAAACACTTCAGTAACAATTAAAACTAGAACCTAATTTATATTCTTATACATATTATACAGTAACGGACCCAATCCTGGTCCTTCGTTGTTAACCTGTATTGTCCAAATATATGATATATGTCTTTCGTTAGTTTTTCAGTATAAGTAATGTCCTTTTTCGTTTTCAGTACGAAAGGATGGCATCTATTCGGGAACGTTTAGCGGGTCCCTCAACCCAGCCTTACAAGACCGGAAGGGTCGACCTCGCCGCGACATCTCGACAATCGTTCACATTCTCAATGATCTCCTCTGTACGGTGCCGGAAATCCGCAGGGTGCATCTCAATGGTGAGTAATTGTTTCAATTGACAAATTTGTAAAACAGAGACCATTTATTGGAAACGCTTTTATTTTCTGAAGAGGAGTATTGGTTGGTGGCTGAGGGCCCTCAGAACGGTCCTCCAGGTCTCCAGAACTGATCAATAAACCAAACAATTGCAGACCGCTGAAGGTCCCTGTGGTATACCAGATGCTGAGTGAAGAAGGGAGGATGGTAGACCTGACAATTCTTACCATATGATGATAATGAAGATTCTATTCTGTTAGTGTTTCCCTCTTCCTCCATAGTATCCACTATTCTAATTAACAGTCGACATTGTTTTACTGGTTCGTACAAGTCGACTGTTTTGACCATAGCATGAACTATTCTAAATAAAAGTCGACATTTTTTACAGGCTAGTAGCGTTTCGGCCATACTATTTCAATTAAAAGTCGACATTTTATACAGGTTCATACGAGTCAAGCGCTAGGATGATAGTATCATCAACTATTCTAAATAAAAGTGGACATTTTTTACAGGCTAGTAGCGTTTCGGCCATACTATTTCAATTAAAAGTCGACATTGTTTACAGGTTCATACGAGTCAAGCGCTAGGATAGTATCATCAACTATTCTAAATAAAAGTCGACATTTTTTACAGGCTAGAAGCTTTTCGGCCATACTATTTCAATTAAAAGTCTACATTTTTTACAGGTTCATACGAGTCAAGCGCTTGGATAGTAGCATCAACTATTCTAAATAAAAGTCGACATTTTTATCAGGCTACTAGCGTTTTGGCTATACTATTTCAATTAAAAGTCGACATTTTTTACAGGCTCGTAGCACTTTGATCATACTATCCACAGTTTTAATAAAAAGTCGACTGTTTGGACCATAGCATCAACTATTTCAATTAAAAGTCGACATTTTTTACAGGCTCGTAGCGCTTTGGCCATACTATTTCAATTAAAAGTCAACAGTTTTTACAGGTTCCTGCAAGTCGAGCGCCCTGACTTATAGTATCCACTATGTTAATTAAAACTCAATATTTTTCTATATGTTCGAACGAGTCGAGCACCTATTTCAATTATTCAATTAAAAGTCGACATTTTAACACAGGTTCAGAATCGAGCGACTCGGCCAGCCCCGACGAGCGACCGGACGTGCCGATCTCTGTGGCCGAGCCGATGCCTGAGGCCCAGCCGATGTCTATAGACGACCCGAGCACCATCGAAGACCAGAACCTGCGAACGCGCGGCAAGCTCGAACACCTGCGGCTCGTGATGGGCAAGAGGCGGGAACGCCGCCGCCTACGCAGGCAGAAACCTTACTCGCTACCTCAGAGTGATACCGATTCTCAAGTTACCGCATGAAAATTGCCCCACCCCACCCCGACGCCCCTGTACATAGGTTTCCGTATCTGAAGCAGACCCTTTTCCTTCCCCCTCGTTCGAATGTCTGAGATTCTTAACCTCAAAATGACGATGCTGAAACGTGAAGGTGGTTTGTGAGAGTTTTGATGAAACTCGGTGTGGAAGATTGGTTTTCTGCTGCTGATCAAATCACAGCCTGATGAGTTTTTCATTCATTTTATTGATGAGAACATTTTCTGAAGAATCCCGGCATTTCTGAGCAGAATTTTTTATTTAATGTCAAAGTTTCAAACAAGCGTTTTTACAATGTTTCAAGGTTCATTGGAGCACACATGGTTTTTTATAGTTGGCTACACTGTGCCTGTCACTAGTGTCAATTGTCATATGTAGTTGATGTTCCTCTATTTTTTTAGTTTTATTAGTTGTTTGAAAGGCGTTTTAGAGAATAATTGACGTGATAAGTGACACTTATGACAAATAGAGAGCGGCTAGTTGGGAAGAAATGTTGATGCTTCAAATGAAATACTTCGATATGGTTTCTGCTATCTTTTTTGTTTGTTGTAAAACTTTGTTTACTATGAAAATGTAGAAAAATATTTTTCCGAGAATTCAACATCGAAACTTAGATTGATGTGTCATTTGTTGAGTTGATATATTTATTTGCTCGAAAATGTGGCAATCTAAATGAATCTCAAACTTTTTATAGTGTAGGATTTTGTTGAAAAAGGATTTCAGATTGCTGTTTTAGTAGAAGAGGAATGCGTAATAGGGAAAACTTTATTTTTTTCTGTATTTGAACAGTGTGTTGGAAGTTTTTGTTCTCGGTTTTTTTAATTCCGGAGGTTTCCTTTTGAATTTGGGAAAAAATATGCAGATTTTTCTCTGACATTTGAGATAGTAAAAATTTGCTTTTCTTGATTTGGGTCATACAGAATGTAGAAAAAATTTGAAATTGTATGTCTCAAACATAGAAAAAAAAATTTTAAATATACAATTTTCACTGTCGCAGTAGAATAATTAAATGCATTTTTGGCACGAATATAAGAAATCGAAAAAGCCTCCTTTGATCACTTTTTTTAGGGTATATAATTAATCAAAAGTATTGAAATGAAAGGTAAAATCTCTGGCGTAGAATAAATCTAAAACGAGCACTTTTCTCAAAACCAAAACTGCAATACTGTTCTCGATGCGCGTTATATGATGAATCAAAGTGTTGTTTGACATTTCATCAACTCAACTCAACTATGAATATAAAAAGTATTGACGTTTTCCATTTCCAGAAAGTTTACAATAACCACATTTTGAAAATTCAAATTTTTTCCTGAATCATGAATTTTGACAAATTTTTTGAAACCTTTTATATTGTTTTATGTTGCACATATTCTTGAGATCTAGCAAAAAATACGGGAAACACCAACAGTCCAATTATATGTATTAAAATAATTTTAGTGGTGCCGACTGAAAAATACTACTTTCATGCTTAATGAAAATACTTTTTTCAGTACTCTTGTTTCAGGGAGACATTTCAAAAACTTGTAGGCAACAGCCACTTCTTTGGTATTTTTTTCATTTCGAAGCCTGGGATGAAAAGAAATAAGACTAGTGTCACATCATTTACTGCGGACAATTTTTTCTTGAAGAAACATTCAACAACACGCTCACAATTCGAATTTGGTACTTTCTGTTGTACATTTCTTGTCGATTTCAAAATTCAGGCGAACCACCCTGTACATTCCGTTTTTCTTGTTTAAATTATCGGTTTTTACCGTTCGCGATACAGGGAGTTGGGCTTCGGCAGCGATCCGCGCAACACCCTGTACATCGTGTTTTGAGGTTATGATCGCGTAGGAGTTAACGACGGTGACAAGCGAGCAGCTGAACACGTATGTGCGCGTAAATACTGACTTTGTTTTTTATGAATAGGAGTATATAATATCAAACTTCCTTTATTTTTAGACGCCCTCTTGCAATCCAGAGTAGACATTAAGGTTTTCATTTATTATTGATGTGATCTGCTATTAAATGTTTGTTTTTGTTCTAATATTTGGTATATGAAAATTGAACGGTTATGTTGAATAAAGTATTTTCAAAAGTATGGACTGTTTGTTTTCAACTGATATTCAGGCTGATCTTCAAGTGGCGTAATTTGGTATATGAAAATTGAACGGTTATGTTGAATAAAGTATTTTCAAAAGTATGGACTGTTTGTTTTCAACTGATATTCAGGCAGATCTTCAAGTGGCGTAATATTGTGGTGCTCTGAAATATTACCAATGAGAGCTTTTTTAGAATTCCTTCAATGGGGAATGTTCCTCAATTTGGGTTATTACGATGTTGCCATATGGTGAAATAGAAACGAATCCCTTCAAATGTTGAATGCATTATTTCATTTTCAGTATTCAAATAATTTTTTAAAGAAAAAGGTTGAAATGATGAGTTTAAAATGCGTTGTTTTAAAGCTCTTTCATGAAAACTACTTGATTTTCGTCAGGAGGAACATTCCCCATTGATGACCTAATTATTTTGTGGAAATTCATATTAAATATAGAATAGATCAGTCTCTGTAGGAAGTCTTCCTGCAAACCCTGAGATTGAGTTTGTAGAAATCTTCATACTGTAAATGTCCAAAATAAAATCTTTCAGTATCAAAATTATTCTTAGCATCACAGATTCCTTCTCTGCGAACCTTCATACTAAAAAAAACCCGCATCCTTGCCACGCTAAAAAGTTAGCTCCTCACATTTGTGACGAATCAAGCATAGGGGCCTCTGTTGTGGCCTTCCAGCGAGAATTCACTTCAACGGCTGAAAAAAATTGAGAAATTGACGTCTTGGCATCTACGTGCTCATACACTTTACGTCAGATACGTAGCGATTACGTGTTGCATATGTCCATGTGAACATTTTTGGGATTCAATTTGTCACATGGTGTTGTGACGTAGCAGCCAAAACGTGTGATCTGCAGATGGATTATATGTAAAAGTGACGTCACGGTCAGTCCATATTATCATGTCAATGATGTGTTTCAAAGATGAGACACGTCAAAAAGGACCACAGAACATGAAATAGATTAGAGTTTCTATGGAGTGCATAACCACATAACACCCTAACTATAGTTAGGGTGTTCACACAGAACACCCTAACTATAGTTGAGGTGTTCTGTGGCATAACTCTCAGCTTGACGTATTCAAGAAAAATTCCCACTAAACTATTTCTGAAAAATCTTACAAATAAGTAAGTTGAATGCACAAAACACAAAAAATTCTATATTTCTGTCGAAGCAAAGTTTTCAGTACACTATTCCAGGGTAAAAGAGAACAAAACCCGGGCTTTTGAATCATAGTCGGAGGGAATCAAAAGTACAAAACATTTCGTTGCCACTGCGGCAGACATTAGTGATACGTACGTTGACAGCGAGGACGAAGGTTATATCTTGAAGTCTTAACAATGGCTGAGTCGAATTTCATTCATCGTAACTTCGACAACTAATATTTGGAAACTCATGATTATGGTTTCTTTATAGTAATAATGAATGGTTTCCTACGTCAGATGTTCGAATTCAAAAATCTAGGTATTGTCCGCTCCGTGGTCACCTCGAATAACCGAACGCCCCTAATTTAAGTTTCAAACTGTATCTAGCACTGATAAAAAACTGGCTCTGCCATCTCTCTGTCACTAGTCTAAATGACATTTTGTTTCCATAACTTACAGCTTACTATAAATTTATGTTTCCAAACATAACCTCACCCCATTCTAATTTCATTTTCTGTTTGTTGTGATTTTTTGTTTGATAACAATGAAAATTCTTGATACTTTACTCTTACTTCAGTCTGTTATACACTCATGATTCAGTCTTCAATTTTAAATTTTGCATTTTTTTTTGCTGCTTTATCATGACTGTGCTGAATATTTACAAACTCGAAGATGTAAACCAAACTAAGGCTGTATCTTCGCTCCGGAATGGAGAGCATCACATAGGAAGAGATGGAATATTGAATTGCACCGACAAAAGAGTATCCAGACACCACGCTATATTAATAATCACAGATGAAGCAGTCACTCTAAAATCTCTTCATGTTAACCCTTGTTTTTACAAAGCGGCCAGAGGAAATTGCATAGTTCTCCTGAAAAAGGACGAAAGCGTTAACTTAAATGATGGTGACCGATTCGCTCTGCTCGCAGACTCCTACTGGTTCAAGGTGAGGTTGTCATCAGAAGGGGTCAATTCTGAATCCACCAAGACACAAATTCTCCAGGAGTTTGAAAAGGTGTGTAAGGCTAACACAACTGAAGAAAGTGAGGTTACGGAGGCACCCAATTCTTGCTTACGGAATGTCAGTCTATTACTAAATACATCACTACATGCTGAAGAAGCCAAAATAAATCCTTCTCTGCTGTTGAGCAATCTGGAAAATATCGTAGAGCAGGATTTTGGGACCAATACAGAAAACATTGCTGCTGAGGATAAGTCAAATGATAGCATGGACTTTTCAGAGCTACTCACGAGAAAAACTGAAGAAACTGATTCAGCTCTGGCCAAAGAGTCGGCTAAAGGGGAAAATGGTAGTGAAGCGGTGGGTCAATCAAGGAAAGAAGTGGACTATTCTGATGCTGGAGAAGAGTCAGAGAAAGCTTCAGGTAAAATAGAAAAACCGTCAATAGTGGAGGATGTTGACACTACTAAAACCCATGGCGATTCAGATGATGAAAGTACAAATCATGAAGAACCCAGCGTCAGTACCGACAAGCCAAAAGTGCGAAGAGACCGTTGTTGGTATGGAGCTAACTGTTATAGAAAGAATCCAGCACATCGAGCTGCCATCAGTCATCCGGGTGATGACGACTATGACAGTGACCCTGCGGATGATCGTCCTTTATGCCCCTTCGGCTCTGCTTGTTACCGAACCAACGTGGACCATAGACGGGTATACAAACACTCTGCTCCGCCTTCAATCAGAAAGCCTGCACCACCAAAGCAGCCACCCCAGAAGAAAAGTGAGAGTTCTTCTGATAGCGAACATAGCAATAAAGATGATGATAAAGATACTGGGAAGAGGAAGAAGAGAAAGGCTGCCCAGAAGGTGAAGTTCAATGAAACTCCAGAAGATGACTATGACTACGACGACCCTTTCTTGAATGATGCCAGCAGCGACGACTTTGAACTGTCTGAAGATGATGACGGTGATGACACCACGGACTGGGAAGATTCCCAAGCCATGGATGAAGAGAGCCACGAGAGAAAAAGGTTGTTGAAGGAAGCGAAAAAGTTTACCAAAGGAAAGAAGAAGAGGAAAACGTAGAACAGAATATTTTATTATCCTTATTCATCACATATATGTTTATTATATTACAAAAATCCATTAAATGAATATTTGTTGTTATTGAACCATTCAGTTTTTGAAAACTTGGTAGGAATTTCATTGCAAAGAGTCACTATTTCTTTCAGTTTCTTAAATATTATTTATATGCTTCTCATTAGTTTTCAAGAAAACATCTATATTTTGTTGATGGCACCATCTCGTTGCAAGAAGCTGAACTTTAGAACTAACCATTAAAATGAAAACTGTAATTCACGGTTTGCAACTTGAAAGTTGTCATGGCATGTCAATAGATGGCGTTACTATCGAAACAACAATCGTTTCAAAAATAGAAATAATTTTTTGAAATTATTACAAAACCGAATGTAGTTTCAGATTTTGTATGTAGGGATCTTTCTCGTGTGCATTTTCAATGATTGCTATATTTCACCCGGAAAAAAAAGATTATTTCTTGAATCTACCAAAATTGTAGTAACTGCTTTCCTATTCAATAATTCAGTATTCATTTACAAAAGTTGAGATATTCAATGAACCATATGCATTATCAGGGAAATCTATTTTCTATCGTTCACGCAAAATAACAAAAGGGTCACTTTCTTGAATCGACAAAAAAATGAAAATACGTGTTTTTTGTTGAATCCTTAATTATAGGCAGAAACCAATTGCAATTTTGAATACTGCACCTCCAGATATGTCCAGATCTTACTCTGTGCATTCTCAAACAAACTTATTTTTCTCCAGAAAAAAATGTACGTCATCTCGTGGAGGGAAGCTCAAGGCTCTGAGTTGACCGCATAAAAAGAAACCTGTGATTTTGCAGTTTTCACTTAGAGAGCAGTTGTGTGAGTTTAGTGGGGCTATCGACTAAGAGATGGCGCTATAGCATAAATATTTTCAAAATAAAAATGTAGGATATAACATCCTACAGCTGCACTCTTTTGGGTGCGTTATCAGCAATATCTAAATATATTTTTGATTGTCTCTGAAAAAAGCAAAAAGTTTCTTGAGAAGAAAAGAGGTTTAATTAACGAAATGAAATAAACAATTCAAGACCGCTTCCTCATCAAATACACACTCAAAAGACCGAACACTATGGTCCACACAGTGCTGATTATGATACCGTTGAACACTTTGAAATCGCTTAAAGGCCATCCTTTCTTGGAGACGTTCCTCAATGATTCTGTTGCGAGAGTGAATGGGAGGCACCTCGCAATTGAAGCCAGAACGTAGGGCATTCCTTGAATGGGCCAGAGTAGACCTGAAAAAGACAAGAAATTTTGCATTTCTAAAATTGCCGTTGGAAATAGAACCCACCGTTTAACATCATCATGGGAAAGAAAATGCCGGAAACGGAAATTGTGGCCATTGTATGATCAGTGGAAACAACAGACACCAAAAACCCTGAAACCAAAATCATATCACGGCTTGTAATCGCCATATTTCAGATCATGTGAGCTGAGAAGTTATCCTTCATGGATATACGGTTCAAAACTATCAAACTAGAACTCTTAGATTCATTTATTGCACCAATACTATTTGTTCAAGACATCAGAGTTGTATCAGAAACTATTGGTGAACATAAAAATTCAAATGTTCCAAAATTAAATGTACCCACTTACCAAGACTCATTCCACCGATTGCTTGCAAGTAAACTATGATCATCATGAGGATGAAACTCCCGACGTACTCCTGCTGGTATATTATATACGTCACAAGGAACATACCGAGTGTTTGGATGATTGATAAAGAACCCAACAAGATGAAATGAGTGGTGAGGATTTCCAACGAAGTTACTCCAGCTACTATAGATCGATCCCAGATCCCTTCCTGTCTTTCTTTGACCACCACGTGCGAAGTCATGATGGCACCCAGAAAGAAAATTGTTCTAGAATATGAAAGAACACTGTACAAAGGGATATTATACTTACTTTTTGAATCAATCTACAGTAACGTTTATAAAAGGGTTTACATATATAAAAATAAGCAGTTTGAAACATCCATCTCTCCCTACGTGCCTAGGTTCCCGGAAAACGAGTATTTTCCCGGCTAATACCACGATAGACAAGCAGCTGGACCACATTGAAATCAATCGACTGTAACCTATTGTGTAGGTACGATGGGAGAGATTGTACGTATGTGTCTCACCTCGACACAGTCATCAGACTTAATTTGATTTCAGATTTTTGAAATGTTTTGTTAAAATTCCTTTTTCTTAAAGATATGAAGTATATTGTGGAGGTTGTGTATCACACAATTCATGACCATAAAGGGTTGAGCCATTAATTTATAAAAGAAATATTATCGGTCCCAAAATGGAGCCCAGAGAAACCAGAAATCGTTCTAGAATTCATAAATGAGAGCATTCACGATAACAAATTACCACGATAGCCTTTAGTAGAGAGAGAGCGTCATGAACGTAGTTAAAAAATCAGAATGTGAAACTTCTACAGCATATGCGGATAATACAACTACATGCCATTGCTTGGTGTCAAAAAAAGGTGGTACTGAATCCATCAAAATCGGTTATTGAGAACCCTCTTTGCAAGAGTTGTTTGACTTACGTTACCAGTCCACTGGGTAGCATATTCACTATTTGCTCCTCTCCTTTCCACCCGTGTATGAAATCCATATTCAAAGGTACCCCACTCAATTTTTCTGGCAACCCACAATCGATATAAAGAGACTTCTGAAACTGTAGAAAGATTTGTTGGAGCCTCATTTGCACCTCTCCACCCACACGAAGACCTAAACAAATCATGGGATAACGACCTTTGTTTCGCAGAAACAGTATGTTGCTTACTGGACAGATCGAGCCAAACTTTGACCTGGCTGGAATCCAGAACGTTGTCACTCGTAGTCCAATCCATCCACATGCGTTTTTCAAGGCTTTCGCTGAAATTTGCTGAAAAGTACACGAAACCGATTATCAAACCACGTTCTGTGTCCTCATGGGCGTCTTCAACTCTGTCGTAATACACCTGAGAAAAAAGTAAATAGAAGAATAAATTCCATACTGAATAAAAATATCCCAAAGGCTTTCCTACCTTGCTTATCATCGGATGATCCAAATAACCCAAAAACCTGCAACTGATGTCATGAAAATGGCATGGAGGGTCTTCTCGGTAGCCCGAAATTATCACCGAACTGTTTGCTGAATAATGCAAGCATCCACCAGGAACTATTTCGTCATTAACAATTCCCAGAGGTATGTTCATCACATCTCGCCCAAGAGTTTTCATGAACACGACTTGCTGGATTACCGGCAGCAGCACCAAGAAAAACAGGTTGCTGAGGAAAAGTTTCAATTACCAGCAATGCCTGTTATAGTTTTGTTTCAAACTTACAAGGGGTTTCTGTAGAATTGCTTCCAGTTCTTGTCCATCAAAGCCAAAATTCGATTCGTATTCAGGATGCTGTTTCCTATTTTTCCAGCCAGTGTCTAAAACAGTTCCTCATCATAAATGCTCTGTAATGATGCTGAATGTTCTAAAGAAAGTGGGAATGGTAGTTGATATATTCTTTGTACAATCTGAACAAGAGAATTTGTAGATGAGCAGAATTCTGGAATATGATGAATTGTTGAGAAATATTACAACAAGAGATGCAGAAAAAGTAGGACGAAGACAATAAATAATAGAAATAGTCAGTCCAGCAATAAAATTAATTCAAGGTTTGCAAATCTAGTGGAACCCAATATAGCAATCCACTCACAGAATGTTCAAGGAGGTTTTATAATATTCACTTTCTGTTTCTGTGCTTTTTCAGTATTGAATTTCATTAAGATCTTTGTTGGGACAAAATTGTTGTCGAAGAAGTGCATTGGCAGCGGATATGGAAATAAGATTAAAGTCTACAGTGGTCAACAAATCAATTATATTGAATTGTTAGTCTTTTCCAATAAAGCATTGATGTATAATTGAAAAAGGGTTGGGGACAATGACGATCCCTTGAAAAATCAACGTTGATGGTGGATGCAACTTTAAGAAAAACCTCGATGTGAGGAGCGGTCTCTAAAGAAACTGGAGAGCCATGATTTCGAAGTTCAGTTTATTTCAGTTAGTTCAAGTTGTCGTGGAGCAACAAGGAACATTCAACTTGTTCTTTTTGGATACAAGTATAACTGTAAGGGTTGAGGAGTTTAAAAATTACTGGTGTACTTCACGAGACTAGAAACGTTGAGTTTTTCAAAATTTGTGTACTTGGGTAAGATTCCAAATTAGAGTTTTCCTGCTATTTTGTTTTCAGTTCACTAACTTGGGCTGTGAAAATATTTTCAAATCAGTTTTTAGTGTAGTTTCTTTAAGAAATAATACTCACGTCAGACGCAGGGTATTCCTCTTCTGAATCTTTTTTATAACACACCACATCCATAATATTCTCATTATGATTCTGACAGGTATCGGACTTTTTCGTCGCTTGTTTTTCTTGATTTCTGGACAATATAAGAAATGCTTCCTCTAGCGTTTTGCAGTTGAACATCCTCAGTATTTCGTTTGGGGAATCTTCTGCAAGAAGCTTACCATTTCGTATCAACCCAATCTGAAAAATTATCTTCAAAAGGGAAGTCAGAAAATAAGTTGAGTAGCTTGTTCACCTTGTCAGCTTCTCGACACTCTTCCAAGTAGTGGGTGGTCAAAATTATCGATATATTCTCAGTCCTTGTGATTTCTATGAGGTGTTTCCATATCCTATAACAAGAATGTTTTCTGGAGTAATATTCAGCCCATATAATAGCAGGATTGGCCAGACTTCTTAGAAATACTACCTGGGCTGAAAAGTCTCGAGCTTAACACATAGATAGCGCTAGTCGTATTGAATTCATCGCTTTTCAGTTAGTACTAACCTTCGAAAGAAAGCTGTTGAAAGTTCATGACATCCAACTCCTAAGTTTGTGAGTTGTTGTGCTAAGAGTGATACTTACTTCTGTTATTTTCAAAACAATGGACCAAAAACAAGCAAAACCATGGCTTGAAAAGTATGATAAGGACTCTGCTCCATCAGAAACAATAATTAAACGTTGGTTTGCTGACTTGAAACGTAGAGACACCAATGATGAAGAACGTAGTGGACGTCCAAATGAGGCAGTAATATCAGAAAACATAAAAAAAGATCCACAAATTCGTTTTGAATGGGTGCCGCGTGAGCTCACTGTTGACCAAAAACAAGAACGTATTGATCATTCTGAGCAGTGTTTGGCCATGTTTAAACATAACAAACCGAAATTATTGCGTTGATATGTGACAATGAATGAAACATGGATCCATCACTTCATTCCGGATCCAAAATGATCGTCATATGAGTTGAGAGCAACCGATGAACCTCACCGGAGCGCCGGAAGGCACAACAATCGGCTGGAAAGGGTATGACCTCGGTATTTTGGGATGTGCTTAGTGTAATATTCATCGACTACCTTGAGACGGGAAATACCATCAACAGTGAATGTTATTGTTACGTTTGCAGGTCGAAATTGCAAAGAAACGGCCGTTTATGGCAAAGAAAAAGCATTTGTTGCTCCCACATCCACTGTATTCGCCAGATTTGGCTCCTAGCGACTACTGCTGTTCGCAGACCTCAAAAAAAACTCACCAGTAAGAAATGTCGCTCGAATGAAGAGGTTATTGCTGAAACTAAGGCCTATTTTGAGGCAGAAGATAAATCGTTTTACAAAAGTGGTAATGAAATCTTAGATTGGCGCTGAAAATATTGTGTGGCTCTTGATATGGAGATTACGTTGATGAATAAAGCCAATTTTGAACAAAAAAACGCGTTTTCTTTCGTATGCCCGGAACTTTTCATCCCATTTGTTAGATCTCTGTGTTTCAAACTATCAGATTTTCTCGTGAAACTTTATTCTCACCTGAATCTCATTAGAGGTTCAACTCCAACGGTAGGTTCATCCATGATCAAAAGTTCCGGTTTGTGAACGAGGGCAACGGCAAAAGAAACCCTTCTTTGTTCACCACCACTGCAATCTCTCAGAAATCTAAAAAGTGGATATTTGAAATACATTTTGCTAGCAAGTTTCGCACCTATCTGCTCAATGTCGTTTCACTTCTAGAACTATTCACAAACGGGTATTGTTAGAGTTCTTTCTTTGAAGAATAAATATTTCATGAATTGTTTTACCTATCTTCAGGTGGAAGCTCGAGTAGGATCTGCATTTCTCGAAATCTTTGCGCAATAACTTTGTCTTTCATGTGAAATATCCTTCCGAAATAATATATCGAATCTTTTACGGTGAATTCTCCAACTAGAGCCATTTCCTGAAAGAAATGGGACCAAACAACTTGTTTTTAGCAATGAGTCTAGACGAAATTTCCCAAACTTTCTAGAAATATACTAACTTGAGGCATGTAACCTATTCTTGCTCCAAAAGTAGCCATGTCACATTTTCCAGGTGTTTTGCCCAAAACCCATATCTCGCCCGCATCAACTTTTTTTATTCCAACGAGGCTACTCATCAAAGTAGATTTTCCACATCCGCTGGCACCCAGTAATCCATAGCTGTAGCAATAAAGAAATCATCTTCAGGAGAAGCCGTACAAGATTCAGAATGTAAATGAAACTAGCAAATTTCGAGCCACTTAACTTTTAAAATCCGCGTTTTAACAATTTGAATCTTTTGGCAAACAGTATAAACAACAGTGGTCTGTTGATAATCTGATACATGAATGTTGTAATAAAAAATGGTTCATTGTTCTGGTGGAAAATAACAAAACTTGACTCCAAGTGTTACAGAAAGAAATAATCGATGACAAAATATTCAAGAAATACAAAGGCAAAAAGCTAGCATCGAATTGAAACTGAGTTGATTTGAATTTGCTTGTTTATATATGAGGGGCAAAAGAACAGCACTTATTTTTTTACCAAGAATTTTTACTGTTTTTTCCACATTTTTGGTCTGAATTCAAATATATGAAAATAATTTAAAATGTAATGTTTCAAGACCAATTCACAATCAACTCTTAGATTGTTATGTATTCGTCTATTCACTTACATTTGTCCTTTTTCTACAGTCATAGATAGTCCTGTGAGTATTTGATTATTACCATATCTTTTCACTACGTTTCGTACGTGAACTGCAAAGTTATCCATTTTCTAAAGAAATCAAAAAGAAAAAATCTTCAACAATAAAATTATAATGAAAATACACCAATAAAGAAACACTATAAGTTATCAATGGTTTACATAATTAATTTTTACCCAATTCCAGAAGAAAAATTGCGTCGTTATTCACATTTTCTCAACCTTCTGTGAAAAGTTTGTACCACTTATAAAAATATTTCTGGCCCAGAGTACAATCACTGTAGGCCACTGTCAACATCTCAAGTGTTTTTGAGCAAATAATTCCATTTTTCACCTAACATTTATTGTTTTAATTATTTCAATCTGTTCATGAATGAGAAAGTTGTACAAATCAAAGAATCTCGTCTAACATTTGTTGGAAAAAATATTATAAATATATTCACTTGATTTGGCTAAAACTTTGGATGAAAACATTCATAACATAATTGGGAAAACACAAATACTGAGGTTTAAACGAAAGTCACATGTAATAACTAGTTCTAAACGATATTCCAAAGGTTACTCAAAATGAAAGTGTGTAATTTAGATAATTTTGAAGTATTCAGTGGATTGAGAAAGAAAATTACTGCTTTCACTGAAGCATGTTTCGAAATGGAATAAAACTCTCACCTTTTAAAAATTTTCGGTCTTTCTTGGCCTCCCCAAATTTTTGACTTTCTGGATTTGAGTAACAAACATATACACGACTAAAATGAAAGTGTTTGTCGGACATTATACTAATTATTTTGTTCAATTCGGTCGTTTTGCACGTTTCATGGATAATTCTATATCAAAACGCCGTTTCAAACGATAAAAAATAGCATTTATATAATTTGGCTACTGCTGCATATTCATATCAATGTGAAGCATAAATTTCGCAAAACGGCCTGGGAAACTTTACTTTTTCAAAGGATTTCGGTGTATCGAATGAAAGGAGAAAAGTTTTTCGAAAGTGTATCAACTTGACTTTATTATCTTTTCAAAAGGAATACCTCTGAAAGAAATGTTTCAACACTCACCAATTACCAGCATGGAGACAAAAAGAGAAACTTAATAGATTTTGCAGGTAGCCGTTTAACATCCCCCACATACATACACATTCCTGAAAATTACTTTTTATCGGGCTAAAATATTCATAATACTCACAGTTTCTTCATTAGCTGATATCAACAGTGACAGCAATCACTTCAGTGAACACAACGAACTGAAATTTATTGCAACTCATATTGAAGTACAATAAAACCGTTTTTTTCTGTTGACTTTCCAATCACCAGAAAGTTCTGAACAAAATGAATTAATGAGAAGCAAATGTCGATGAATTTCTCAAACGATATGTATATTTTATGAAAAGTAGGACCTACTTTTCATAACCGGAATATATTCGATTTGACAAAATTATATAACAGCTGTTATAATGTTTCATTTCCTAAATTGGTTTTATCTCATTGTTTTATCTTTTAGATCCTCAAATTATATGACTATGAAATAATTATGCATTTCCGATATTACCTTTATATAATACAGTGTGACCCATTTTTAATTGAAACACCCCCCCAAAATTTGAAGTTGTAAATCGATTTTAATATTTTTTTTAAATGTCAAGTACTAAAATGTCTACCTTGGGACAAAATTTGAAATGTTCATTAAAGTTTCAGGGCATACTACGATATTTTTTCTACGCCACTGGATTCAGAGTGCCTCTAAATAGTTGTGACCAAAATTTCATGAAAAAATATTCATTATTAACAAAGTTATGACAACTCAAAAATTCGAAAACTCACACAGCTAACAGTCACAATATATCTTTTTTTTATGATTTCAACAATAAAGTGTCGCCAGATGAAAAAAAAACAAATAGCGTAAATATTTTTAATGAAAATAACGGAATTACATTCACACAATTCAACTAACAATGAAGCAAAAAATTTTAATAAACGTAACTAATAAGTAATTATTGCAATGTTTCGATTCAGTGCAACAATTATTTCTAACTCATATTCTAGTAGCCTCTACTAATCCACCACGTATTTCGATACATGTGACGTAGCACTTACGAACGTTTCTGATTACGTTCCTCAGTTCTTGAGGGCTAATATCTGCACATACCTGTCGAATTCTTGCACAAAGTTCAATTCTATCTCTTGAGCGGTTTTTGTAAATCTTTTGTGTGAGAAGTCCCCAGAAAAAAGTTCAAAACTGTGAGGTCTGGAGATCTGGGTGGCCACTCTATAAACGGACTACCACGGCCTATCCATCGGTTTGGAAAATGTTCGTTAAGCCATTGCCTCACAGCTCTGGCATAATGAACTGAACACCCATCTAACTGGACAATTAAATTTGATCGTTCATTGATTGGCAGCTCGTGAATAGCATCCCA